CGAAAGAAGACACATGCCTGCATAATCTAAAGTATATGCATAGATGCAAATCTAGAAAGAATTACTCTAAGAGAAATACAACACATACTGCCCCAATGGATGAGATGATGAGCAGGGGAGGGGAATATTGTGCCTGCTCAGTCTGCTGTCTTGGACCAGGCAGCCTTTCAAGCAGAGGATGCCTGCAGGCAGAGAAGCATGCCCTGTACAAGTAGGACACACAGTCACCTAGTGCGCACCTCAACCTAAAAGATATCAAAATTCCAACGTTTCATGATGGAAAACAAGCAAGTTTGAAGGCTTCCCCTAGCTGGTCTCCCTTCTTATGGCCAGAGCCAGCCCAAAGGTGAGGGTGAAGCACCCGCCTCAGGCAGTGGAAATGAAAACAGGCAGGGCCCCTCCTGCCCTATTGCTTCTGCTGCCAGTGGAACACCCTGCCCCTTGCCGAATTTCGGCGAGAGGAGAAGTGTTGTGGCGTATTGCGTTACTGCTTGCCTTGCTGCCCCTGGGACAGAGAAGGTGCACGGAAATGCCTTGGAGAATAATGAAGATATTATTTATACTCCACCCATCTGGCTGGGTTGCTCCAGCCACTCTTGCTGAATTCAGCAAGAGGGGAGCATTCTGGCAGAACTGGAAGTGGGTAGTGGGCCATGGGGGTGGGGACAGAAGGGGGCAAATTCATGGTTTGCCTCAGGTAGTGAAATGGGATGGGGGACACCACTCCCTGTGGTTCTTTACCTTTATGCTGGACTTGTGCCGGACACCTGTGCTGGCAGGGGCTCATGGGAGCTGTGCTCCACCTGGAGGGTCCCATTGCTGATGTGTGCCCTGGCACAAAGTCTGGGATTTTCTAAGCAAGAATTTATCCAGCTCCTTAACAATTCTGCTCCCAGCTGGTAGGGAAGGAACCTGCTACGTTTTCAAGTTAACAAAAGCTGAAAACACACAAAAATGTTTTTGGAGCATCAAGGACTCTGTGTCAGTTCCGTCATTGCATTATGTGCCTCTTCCTCACCAGGGTTGCATTCTGGAGCTGGGGGAGATGGTGCAGCCATGTTGGGAGCAGAAGATGGCCAGGCACAAGGCTCATTGACCAGTATCTGTAACGTCAATAAGACACTCCAGCCCCTAGATCAGTTTTGTGCTTTTAAAAATGTTTCTTTTTATAAGGTGACAAATGAGCAAACAAACACATGCACATTCACGCAATGTTCAAAAGAAAGAAGAAGAAATGGGCGGGAGAAGTTAGATGGACCAGTATGGACCTAGTTGGACCAATTTTCTGACTCAGCACAAGGCAGAGTCCTATATTCCAAATCTTTGCACAGCCAGTCTTGAGTCCTTTAACGGCATGAAACTCTGTGTCCTCCTTTCCCTTCTGCTGCACCAAGATGGTGCCAGCTGCTTCAACAAAAGTGCTTTCCCTTACAATGTTTAGGGTCACCTAGTGGTAAGGATTTCCCCTCCCTGCTAAAAGCTGACTGTGGGTGGATTAGGAAGGCCAGAGTTCAGCCATTGGGGTGACTCAGTTAACAACCATTAAAATTCCAAGTTTGGCTTCATAGTGCTATTGGTAAAATGGAATTATGTCAGCAATTATAAAATAAAGCCAGGGGAAAGGGAGCAGGAATACTCTTTGAGGAACCCGGAAATAAATGAAATGTGCAGGTTATATTATAGGCAGACCTGGCTGGCTTGCATATTGTTATGGTTAAATATTTCCTTTAAGAGCACATACAAAAAGGAGATTCATTCTTCATTTGATTTAGTCTGTGTTCCCTAAGTATCTATAATCTCTTTTTATCCTAGATGGAGCTGGATGAAAATTCATCCAGCTTCCATTAAACATTCCTCACACGGTTGTGAATATCTGAACTATCTCCCTTCCCACTTATGATCACAGAATATATTATCCTGTTTTTAATTTTATTTTTTTAAGTCTCAACACACCGCTTCAGCATCAGTGCTCACACTGAAGGTGAACAGCAAATACTCTGTCAAAGGAGAAAAGGAAACATACCACGAGGGCTATCAGCTGATCAACAAAATCGACTGAATCAGACAGGTTTTGCTTTGATTCCACCTACATAAATTAGCTTGCAACAAAATGCACTCTTCTGAGGAAAAGTATTACTTGCTTTTAGCTGTCAGAAGTACCTTTCATCCAGTAAGTGTCTTCTCAGAAGAGGCACCCCCTTCCGACAGCAGAGGGAAGGGACTGCAGATTCAAAAGTAGAGCATTGCTTTGCATGTAGAAAGTCTCAGATTCAATTCCTGGAACCTCCAAGTGCAACCCTAAAGAGCCGCTCATTCAGTGCTGATAATCCTGAGCTAGAGGGACCAATGGCCACACTCAGTCCTCAGTGGCTTCCCCATTTATCACATCCCTTTATACAAGTCAATGAGGACTATAATATTTTATTTTTTAAAGGATCCAGTTAAATCCAGTTTCACAAGGAGCAGGAGGACAGGGGCATTTTTTCTCAGTCTGAGACCAAGGAGTGGCCTTGCTAGAGAGTCCAGATTAGGAATGGGGAACTTCAGGTCCGGGGGTCCTGTCTGCCCCCTCCTCAACTGGCCATCAGGACTCTCCCTAGGCTATGTCCCTTGCTGGCCCTGCTTCACTTCTTCCCTGACTGCTTTTGCCTGGCTAGATTGTGTCTCTGAACTGTGAGCGGTACATGTCTTCTCTGTGTGTATAAACAGTTGTGTCTGTCTCCTTGCCTACATTTGCCTTTGGCCAATACAAAACACGGACATGCGGCCTCTAAGTCTCCAGAGCCCTGGAGTAGCCAATATAGGGCTATATATGAATGGTCTGACCTGTTAGAAGAGAAGCTCTGCATATCCAAAGAGAGAGAGAGACTGAGGCCACACCATACATTTGAAGAAATATCATGCCACTTTAAACAGTCAAGGCTTCCCCCAAATAACCCTGGGAAATCTAATGTATTGATAGTGCTTAGAGTTGCCAGCCTCCAAGTTCCCTGAGTTTCCTGGGAAGAAGGCTTGATTGCAACTCTAGGAGAGGAATAGCTCTCAGCATCCTTAGTAAACGGAAGCTTCCAGGGTGCTTTGGGGAAAGTGGTGCCAGAGAGCTTTCCATGTGTGGTATGAATGCCTCTTCTAAGCCAGCAGAGGCATTTTCTGGTGCTGCTAAGTCGTGAAGCTCATGCAGTCTCCCTCTCTCTCAAACATGGGAGGGAAAGCCACTTCCCAGATGCCCCTTGCCGCTTGATTGTTTTCAATGCAAATGGTTTTTACAAAAACTATTTTTAAAATAATAATAATTAAAAAGTTGTGAGCTATATCCAAATAAGTTTTACTCAGAGTTGAGGTTTATCCACACTACAGGTGGCAGGTTCGATCCCCAAAGGGGACAGCTGCATATTCCTGCTTGCAAGGGGTTGGACTAGAGGATCCCTCAGGGTCCCTTCCAACTCTACAAGTCCACGATTCCATGAATCCTGGGAACTATAGCTTGTTAAGGGTGCTGGGAATATTAGCTCTCTCTGTGTGTGAAACTCCAGTTCCCAGGATTCTCTGGGGGAATGTATGGTGCTTTAAATGTATAATGTGACTCTGATCCAATTTAAATCCATCGGCTTAAGTTAGGGTGGTAATCAGTGCTAGTCCTGCACAGAGTAAACTCATTGAAATTAAACGAACCTAGGTTCATTAATATCAATAGCTCTATTCAGAGTATAACTTGGTGAATACAATCCAAGGCCACCCTCATCATTTTTAAAGGTTGTATCTAATGCTAGTACTACATAGAGTAGACCCACTGAAGTTAATGGACAGTTATAACTTAGGCCTGCTAATTTCAGTGTGTTGACTCTAGGTATTACTCATGCTGGGTACAGCCCCTCGGATTGATTGGGGCCACTGTTTTAACTCGACTGAGATGTTTTTAAGTTGATTCATCTAGCCAATATGTTGAAGCCCTAGTTAAAACCCAAAGGGCACACACATTCACACACATGCATGTGAAGCTCACACACTCCACAGTGGTGAGCAAAGCTTGCTGCTGTGCTCTTAAGCCCTCGCTGCTCAAAAGAAGCACTACTGAGGGATCTCTGCAATACTCCCAGGGAGCTCAGGACAGCGACTCCGGATCATAGGCACCCAGGCAAATGTAGTCCAATGCGCTGTGGTGCCCATTGCATATTCATATCCATAGAAAGGCCATTTCAGAAACCACTGTGTTGTTGTGCTCTGTGCCTCAAGGGTGCAGGTAACAAACAGTTGTTATTTAATGTGAAGGGAAACCTAACTCGGTTTTCCTGATTATCTAAAGAAGTGCAAATCACCTTTAACTTTCTTTCCTGATTGCGATTCAAGGAACCTTTTCCCCCTTTTTTCTCTGCCCACCAAACCAATAAATAAAGTAACAGGCATTTAAAAAGAAAAAGAAAAAAAGTGGGGGAAAGCGTTTCCTCTACAGCTTCCACTCAGCGGATCTTCACTCCGAATGGCATTTGGTCAGTTGCAAAGTCCACGTTCCCAGAAAAAGGTGCAATGAGGTACCTAGAGTTACAAAGGTGGGTCATAGAGACTCAGGGGCCAAAGCATGGCCTGGGGTCAGGCAGCTCACTGGCTGTTGCTGGCTTCTTTGAATTGGGTGGGGGAATAAAGAAATCAGCAGAGCCTTTTCCTTTCTTGTTTGTAACAGAACAAAGCTAGAGCTGTCTGCCAGTTGCACGGACTCCTTTGGAGAGTGGTGGACTCTCCCTCCTTGGAGGTTTTTAGGCAGAGGTTGAGTGGCCTTCTGTCAGGGATTCTCTAGCTGTGATTCCTGCATTGCAGAGAGCTGGACTGGATGACCCTCGGAAGGGGTCCCTTGCAATGCTAAAAGTCTATGATGCTGTGAAAAAACCCCCGAAACAAAAGCAGAACACAAACTCCAGTATGACGAGAAGGGGCACCAAACCCCTCAGTTCCAGGGAATACCTGACGTTGTGAGCTAACCGCCCCGTGTGAGCAGGGTTAAGAAATCAGGCGAGGACTGAGGACCTCCGCCCGGCGTCTTCCCTGACACACTCATCTGTTTGCTTCAGTAGCCTCCGAACCAACTTCTCTAGATCTTTCCTGCACTTCAGCTCTTCCTCCAAACACTGCTTCATCTTCTTATTCTCCTGTAGGCAGAGGAAGCAGGGTGTTAATATTCCACATAAGAAGCTTCTCACTTTCTCTCCACTCCCCAAAACCAACCCATCTGCAATGATGTCTTAGTCAGCGACAGAGAAATCTTGACTGCCAAGCCTAAGTAGGCTCACCAGGCAGGTCACCACAGGGGTGGTTAGCCAAGTCAGGCACATCTGAGCCAAAAAAGGGGTGTTTTCAGCAACGTCATTCAGCTGGTTGGCAGAACCTGCAAAGCCCATGGCCTGCAAAGAACCGTACACAGTACTTTGTGAGCACAATATCCAGCTGACTGTCAGGACTTCAAAGCTCCACATGGGCCAAAACAGGTCCTCTGATGTCATTCTATTGTCAGATAAGAACATGAGAACATAAGAAGAGCCCTATTGGGTGAAGCCAATGGTCCGCCTAGTCCACCATCCTGTTCTCACAGTGGATGACCTGGTGCCTGTGGGAAGCCTGCAGGCTGGATTCAAGCCCAAGAGCCACTCTCTCCTCCTGTGGTTTCCAGCAGCTGGTATTCAGAAGCATTACTGCCTCTGACCGTGGAGGAAGAGCATAATCATCATGGCTGGTAGCCACTGAAAGCCTGTTCCTCCACTGATTTGTCTAATTCTCTTCCAAACTGATCAAAGTTACCAGCCATCCCTGCCTCCTGTGGGAGAGAGTTCCACAGTCTATCGACTGGTGAAAAGTCATGCCAAATATGGCCTAAGGGAGGGTGGAGGAGACCCTGGTCCACTGGACAGATCCAGGATGGTATTCAACTAAGTTTTACTCAGAATGGACCCACTTAAACTTATAGACCTAACCTAGTCATGCTCATTCATTACTATGGGTCTATGTTGAGTAAAACCTTGCTGAATACCACCCTGTTTGCCACCTGCTAGGCTAAGTCCTCTCCAACACTGATAGAAATTACAGCCTATACTTTGATCCCTGATTTATACATTTATTCATTAGTGTATGTTCAGGGGGCACAGATTTTTTGGGGGGGGGGCAGCCAAGATGGTGCCTTCCAAATGTAGCTGGGCAACAAGCGCCATCAGCCCTGGCCAGCAGAGTCAGTGGTCAGGTTATTTGAAGTATTTTTGTATTGCTTTTCCACCAGAAAAGGTCACAAAGCAGTCTAGGAGGAAATCAAATTCAATTAGATACGGCAATTAAATAAAAGAGATGAAAAAATCAACATCAATGAAGTAGGGTTCCATTCACTCAGAACATTTCCACTCACTCAGTACCCACACAAATCCCCCACCCACAAACATATGCATATCTCAGTCAACCTACCTCCCCTCACCCATATTTACACATCCACACCCACCCACTTATTGCATTTGGAAAACTGTACGGTTCTGGTTGCCTCACTTCAAAAAGGGTATTGCAAAGCAGGAGAAGGTTCAGAAAAGGGAAGCGAAAATAATCTAAGGGTGGAGCGCCTTTGACAAAACGAGAAATGAAAGGCTGCAACGTTTAGGACTTTTTGGTTCAGAGAAATAATGCATGGCTTTGACGGAGTAGACAGAAGAGGGGGGGGGTTTGCTTCCCCCTTCCTAACTCTGGAACTCATGAGTATCCAAAGAAGCTGAACACTGGAAGATTTGGGGCAGGTAAAAATGAAGCCCTTCTTCACACAGCACATGGCTAAGTTATGGAGCTCCCTTCTCTGGAGGCAGTGAGGGCTACCAACTTGGATGGGCTTGCAAAGAGGAATGGACAAATTCGTGGATGAGAAAGGTATTGATGGGTTACTAGCCATGGCTACATTCTGCCTCTGTGATCAGAAGCAGTGATGCTACTGAACACCCATTGGGGTCCTGCTTTCAGGTTTCCCACAGCATCTGGCTGGCCACTGTGAGAACAAGATGCTGGATCCGCCATGCGTCTAACCCAGCAGGCTCTTCACTTTGTCATTCTCAGCAATTACAGGTCCCAGCAACCCTCAGTGCACAAATTCAGAAGGTGCACATCACAACACTGGCAGTCTAATGATATGACGCTAAAACCATATTTAATTTAAGGCTTCACTAACCTCAATAAAGGCCTCTCAGTCCACGAACATCTAGGCTATGCCATGTTGTCTATCCCTAGCTCTTCCCTCTTCAACCTTCACAACAACCCTGCGAGGTGGGTTAAGCTGAGATGACGACTGTCCCAGTGTCACCCAATGAGCTTTGTGGCTGAATGGAAGTTTCCTAATCCTGACATAACGCTCTCAGGACCTTGCAAACACATCTTGCAATATTGTGCATGTATGCGAGGGTGCGCATAAGAATTTTTCCGGGGGAGGGGGAACTAAAACACTGAAAGGGGGGAGCAGGCTAATTTCTCACAACCCCTCCACCTTTGAAAAGAACAACACCTGTACATTTTACTTCTTATCTTAGGTTCTACTAATGCTTGAAACTTCCTCTGTTTTTTATGCGAAAGATGGAGTTAGGGTTCATTCTAGATGGGGCAACTGTCTCCCCGCCCCCCGGTGGATGCCCATTTATGTACATGTCATCCTGGAATAGGGTGATGCTTTTGATTACCTGTCTAAGTTCCTTGACCTCATCCTTCAGTGCATAGACGGCGTCCACCAGACTCCTAGGAAAAACAACCCAACAGTCAGCAGCAAAATGCTAAGAAGCAACCAAAGAGAACTCATAGACAAACACACTCCCTGCAGTTTCAAAAGGCCCTATAGATTATTTAATTAGTGTAAAGGCCTAGGAGAAGAGGAATGTCTTTGCCTGGTGCCTAAAGATACGTAGCAACAGTGCCTGCCCGCCAGGTAGGTAGTGGCAAGGCACCCCCAGACTCTTGTATCTTCTGGGAGGGATTCAACTGGGCTCTGGGAAATTTAGGTTTGTGTAAAGAAGGATAGAACTTTCTTTATGTATGCCACAACAGCAGCAAGAATACTTATTGCAAAGTATTGGAAGACACACGATCTACCCACTCTGGAAGAATGGCAGATGAAGGTGATGGACTACATGGAATTGGCGGAAATGACTGGCAGAATCCGAGACCAGGGAGAAGAGTCGGTGGAAGAAGATTGGAAAAAATTTAAAGACTATTTACAGAAATATTGCAAAATTAATGAATGTTAGAATGATGTCAGAATGAAGTTAAGTGGTTTTAGCAGCAATGTCTTAAAGGTGTATGTAAAAATGGATTGTTAATAAGTGAGAATCTAAAGCTATAATATATTAAGTTAAAGAACTAAGACAAAAACAAAGAGGGGAAGGAATTGCTGAATTAACCAATTGAACTGGAATACAAAAAAGGGAGGTGAGAGGAGGTCAGGGAAGCAAGGAAATGAAATGTAAGATACGGAAGGACTGATTTGTTTTTAAGTGTTTTTTATCTTTGTTTTTTCTGTACTTTGTATTTTGTATGTTTTTTCTCTTTTTTATTTTTTCCCTTGTTTCTTTAACTATGTAATTTTTTTGTTTCTGAAATTTTAATAAATATCATTTAAAAAAAAAAAGAAATTTAGGTTTGTGCAATTAAAGCGACTTAAAACACTTCTTTGCCAGGGTTTCCCAAACTTGGAACTCCAGCTGTTCTTAGACTACAACTCCCACCATCCCTAGCTAGAAGGACTAGTGGTCAGGGATGATGGGAACTGTAATCCAACAACAGCTGGAGACCCAAGTTTGGGGAACCCTGCTAAAGCAACAGATCCCCTGGGGGGGAAGGACTGTTTGTGGTTTAAAAAAAGAGACAGAAATGTGCTGAAAACACAGTTTGCCTGTCCCCATCTGTTTTTCTTTCAGCTTTGGATTGGGCAGCCCAAGGGTTTGAGTAGATGACCCTCTGGGTCCCTTCCAACCCTACAGTTCTATGATTCTATAGGTCATATGCAGAAGCAGCGAACCTCAACAGGAATGGGATTGATGCCCCTACAGCATGTTCCCTTTGCAAAGTTCAGGCCTTCTGCACTACAGCTTCGCAGGGTTCTGTTTTGTTTTTTTGTTTCATTTTGTTTCTTTGTTGGCAAACAAGCCTGTAAGGAAAGGATTCCCACAAGTGAAGAAACTGGCCAAAGCTTAAGGGATAAGCAACAGAAACAAAATAGCATTTAAAAAGTGGCAAAAAGTCACAAATCTCCCTCATTTTGAGGGGGGAAAAGAAAATTCCACATATTCGTTTTCTCTTTTATAGGCAATGCTTGGTCCTATTGCCTGCTTAGGCATAAGATGAATATGCAGGGAAGTGCAGTGTTGCGGAGTTACATAGCAAAATGCCCAAGTTGTATTACGTTGCAAAGCTTTGTGCTGTGTGGTTTCATGGTGAAGTTACGCAGTACAAAGGTTTGCAACATTCCAGTCAAGGGCAGGATGTGGACACTGGCAACATTAAATGCTGCTTCATTGAATGCCTTCTTCATTGAATTGTTTACCTAAACATGGATTCCAAATGCAGGGCAGGAGCAAGATATTCTGCTCCCCAGAACAGAACTCTTGCCACCCTGCAGTCGACCTCGCGCACTGACCTCCTCTTGCTCCTTTTGTTATTGGGTGGATGGGGATAGGACACCCACAATTAAATTTCTTAGGCTTCAGCTCACTTGTTCTGGGGCCCACCCCAATCTCACTCACTTCTCCTCTGTGATAGTCTGCCCATTGCTTCTTGTTTCCTCAAAGATGATTTTCTCTTCTTCCGGAAGCAGGACCTGGGGGACGGAATCCTTACGGGAACCTGGTGGCAAGAGAGGACAAATCAGGGGACAGCTCTGTTTTGGCGCACACAACAAATAAACAAGAACGTTAACAGGAGAAGAGCGTTTCTCTGCTCTTTTCCCCACTGGTGCATCATCATTGTCAAGATTGAAAAAAACAGCAAGAAAAAGACTTCCTGTCTGGCCGCCATGGCAAACGGCTGTCCCCAGACCAGGGGAGCCTTTCTGTGCGGCTAATGAAGATAATATGGGGGTAATTATCATCCCCAAAAACCCCCAGGGCCGGGGGGGTGCTCTACCCACAGATCATCCGATACCTGCCGTCCGTCCTGAAGGAATGTGGGTGGCAGGGGGCGCTGGGTGCATTGCACCGCGCCTTTCGGGAGCTCTCCAAAACTTGCGCCATGAGCGGTGGACACCTGTTTTTTTAAAATAAAATTCAAACTTAATTAACAGGCATGCTCTGAACTAGGGGGGATAAAGTACTCTGATAATTGATTCAGCCACTGGGTGCCAAGGATTCGACCTGGAGAAGGACTTTCGTCGTAATTGGATCGGTATGTTGGGGGAGGTGAGCCTCCATTATTCTCTCTTGATATACTTTGCATTTGCTGTTTTATTCGGCAAATCTCGCCCGAAAGGCTGACTGTTTGAAATATGAAAGCAGAATTGAAAGAGTATCTTGCTATAGTTATTGTTATGGTTTAACTACAAAATTGATTGTGTGAAATTTTGACTATGATTCTGGCCACAACTCTTAATAGAATGATAAAAAGAATTCATGATGGGAGCTATGGTGTTTTCCTGAGACATCAGCTTGTTAGCAGCTGGAACGAGATCACAGAAGGGAATTTTGTATATTAGCCCGGCGCTAATAGCGGAAGGCTAGATCTCCCTTTGTCTTGGATGTGATGCATGAGATTTGCCTTTGTGTGCAGAAAGTGAAACTGGCGTCGATGAGGACTTTGGACTACAACAGGAACATAAAGAAGAAGAAAATTAAAAATATTTCACACAGAACTACAAAGGACTAACCCGCTTGCTAAACTAATTCAGAGGCTGTTAAAAATAAATGAAGGATCAACATTGGAAATGTTTTATTAGGATTATTTGGGCTAATTAAGGAATGCAGTAAAATATTAAATCATCACTCCCTGAACTTCAGAGCATAGGAAGTCACCCAAAGATATATAATTCGGCATTGGATATTTTTTGATTGTATTATAATTTGGAATGTTTTAATGTGGTTTTTATTGGATTGTTAAAATGGAAAACTTAATAAAAATTATAGGAAGGAAGGAAGGAAGGAAGGAAGGAAGGAAGGAAGGAAGGAAGCTATTCCATAAATGGGGTGTCACCACCAAGAAGGCTCTTTCCTTTTTAGCTACCCACTTCACCTCACTTGAAGGCAGGACATGGAGCAGGTACTGAATATCAGGGGCTAGGAATCACAAATAACAAGAGTGTTGTTGCTATTGTGGGCCGACACCATAGGTGGACTTCACCATAGGTATCTGGTTGGCCACTGTGAAAACAGGATGCTGGGCAAGATGGGACGTTGGCCTGATCCAGCCACCAGCTCTTCTATGCTAAGACACTATTTCAGGTAACCTGGTTCCAAGTCTTTCTGGCTTCGTTGGTTAAAACCATCACTTTAAAATAGACCAGGAAATGGGCATGTGTTTTCTAACAGCTTAACAGCTGACAAAAGTTGTACAAAGCAGCCACATTTCGGAAGGAGAGGGCCACACCCGTTTTACTACCCCTCTCTTTCCCCTCTAAGAGTACACGGATTTTAATTTGCCCTGTCAATGCGACTGACTAAATGTTTGCATTTCCATCACTTCAGAAGATGTTAGCACCTCACTCAGGAAGCAGCTTTTTCTGAAAGGTGCAGCAGATTAAATGATAGCATCTTGTGCTTCCTAGTCAAAGCTATCTCTTGCATTCTAAGATAACCATCAGTTTGCTTGCACAGTGGAATAGGAGGAAGCTGGGTGAGAAGGGACTGCCATCGTCCTCTACTGTGCTTCCTTTGCCGCAGGGCATGAGGTAAGAGTGAGGCAGCGGATAGGAAACATAGGAAACTGCCTTATTTATAGGCAGACCATCGGCCCTTGTAGCTCAGGGCAAGTGAAATGATCAAGGGCAACTCCCCCATGAGGAACAGATGCAGCATTTGGGACAGATGCAGAGGAAACACAATGGAAGTTTAAAAAACTAAGCATGGCACGGAGGAAGCAGATATGAAGAAGTTTTTCTCCCCCCGTTCAGAACGTTGGGCATCCAATGAAGCTTAGTTTTGGAAGATTCTGGACAGATAAAATGAAGTCCTTCTTCATTGCAGCACATACATAAACTAAGAACTTGCTCCCCAAGGAGGCCAGGACGACCACTGACCTGGATGGTTGAAGGCTGACAGGTAAACCATGGAACTCCCTCCCACGAGAAACAGTGTTGGCCACCAACTTAAGATGGCTTCAAAAGAGGACTGGACAATTTCTCAGAGAAGGCTATCAATGGATACGCATCACTACAACTCTGCTCTGCCTCCACAGTTGGAACCAGTCAAAGTTCCAAATCCCACTTGCTGGGAACCACAGGAGGGGAGAGGGCTCTTGCGCTCAAATCTCCCACAAGCACCCAGTTGGCCACTCTGAGAACAGGATGCTGGACTAGATGGGCCATAAGCCTGATCCAGCAGGATCTTCTTATGCACAACACCTGCTTTGTAGTAGACTGTGACTTAAAAGGCATTTTTGACCACTCTTTATGGAGAGGGCTAATTCATGGCACATTATTTAGCCACGAAGCCTATGTGAAACATTCATATAGAACAGATGGTCTACTTCTGAATGCTAATTGCTAGGGGTAAACATCAGGGGAGGGCAATCACCCAATCCCAGTTTATGGTCTCAAGACAGGTGAGGATGCTGCTCTGCTGAAAGCTAAACAGGTCTGGGTCTGGTCAGTGCCTGGATGGGAGACCTCCTGGGAACCACAGATAGGCTACTGTGGGTTCCATGATGGAAGAAAGGAAGGACATAAAGGGTTAAGAAGATAAATAAGAAAGTAAACATCTTTCTCATGCCCTGCTTGTGGGCTTCTAGGAGGTATCCAGTTGGCCCCTGAGAGCAACAAAGAAGATGGGTTTAGATGGACCTTTTGGTCTGATCCTCCAGGGATCTTTGTAGGTTCTTATGAAAGGGAAAGGTTAAACACAGATAACTAACCTTTTGCCCTCCCAGTGTCACTGGACTACAACTCCCATCACCCCTGCTCAATGCCCGTGTTTGCTGGGACTCATGGTGGTTGGAGTCCAACAGCATCTGAAGAGGTTTAGGTCAAAAGAAGAGCCCCACTAGGAGCTAAAGACGTCAAAGGTAGATAATCCAAGGCTTATAAGGACCAATGCTCTGGCTCACTGGAAGAGATCTTTGTAAGTTCAAACCCCAACTAGCATGCAATGTTTGGCAGAGAGCCTCCCACGCACTGCAAGAGGAATGCACCAGGCATATGCTAAGCTGCCAGCTCGGTGCACCTCACTTATCTCAAAGCTACCCCACATTCAAAAGTTTCTAGGTACAAGGGGCTGCCTTTAAGCCACTCACCTGAGCTGTGGGTTTGCTGGGTGCTGGCGCCTGTGCAATAGGCTTCAATCACTTTAAGGATCTGTGCATCTTCCTCCAAGGCAGCAGTACCTGTCAAATGTCGCAAAGGCAGGTGAATGCAAGAGACGACTCTCACCCAATCTGGCTTCTATTAACTTGAGAAGACTTAGCTCAGCATCTAACACTGATTTCTAGCTTTGCTGTTAGGTGGAGCGGCACAATTTGCTTTATGTTTCATCTCTGCCTCACAAGGGCTAAAACACTCAAGTGTTCTAGTCAGAAGTGAGGGTTGTATTCAACTAACTTTTACTCAAAGTAGGCCCAATTAAATTAATGGCAATGACTAAGCTCATCCAGACTTCTTTTTGTGTCCAAGCACTTTTTTCTTTTTGCTGTGGTGCTTTCCCCATGAAAACCCACTCTTTACTGCAATCTACAAAAAACCCAGTATTAAAGAGAGGTTTTTCCTGGGGAAAGGGGCAGGGCGAAATAAAAATGAAAAGTCCTTGAGCAGAGACTGTGGGAAAGCTCGGAGCAAAAGGTAAGTGTGGATGAGCCATCAGTTAGGTCTATGGATCTACTCTGAGTAATAAAATGTAGTTGAATACAACCCTGAGAAACTGCTGATTTTCTAATACAGTGGTACCTCGGTTTTTGAATGTAATCCATTCTGGAAAACCATTCGAGTTCTGAAATGTTCGAAAACTGAAAACTCAATAGCTGACAGCCAGGCCTCAGGATCTTACAGTCAGCGGAAGCTGTGTTTCATGTTCGACTTCTGAGGTGTGTTCGAGAACTGAAGCATTTACTTCCAGGTTTACGGCGTTCGAAAACAGAAATACTCGTCAACGGTGAAGTTCAGAAACCGGGGTACCGCTGTATTAAAATGGAGGAAGCAGGTATAGTGGTACCTCAGTTTACGAACTTAATTCATTCTGGAAGCCCGTTCTTAAACCAAAACTGTTCTTAAACCGAGGCACGCTTTCCCTAATGAGGCCTCCTGCCATCGGTGCCTTTCCACCATTTGGCTTCCGTTCATGTTGTTGTTGTTTAGTCATTTAATCGTGTCCGACTCTTCATGACGCCCCTGGACCAGAGCACACCAGGCACTCCTGTCTTCCACTGCCTCCCACAGTTTGGTCAGACTCATGTTTGTAGATTCGAGAACACTGTCCAACCATCTCATCCTCTGTCGTCCCCTTCTCCTTCTGCCCTCAATCTTTCCCAACATCAGGATGTTTTCTCTTCTCATGAGGTGGCCAAAGTATTGGAGCCTCAGCTTCAGGATCTGTCCTTCCAGTGAGAACTCAGGGCTAATTTCCTTAAGAATGGATGCGTTTGATCTTCTTGCAGTCCATGGGACTCTCAAGAGTCTCCTCCAGCACCAGAATTCAAAAGCATCAACTCTTCGGCGATCAGCCTTCTTTATGGTCCAGCTCTCACTTCCATACATCACTACTGGGAAAACCATGGCTTTAACTATACGGACCTTTGTTGGCAAGGTGATGTCCGTTCATAGACCGAGGTAAAGTTTACAACCCAGGACACTATTTCCAGTTTTGCGGAGTTCATAAACCAAATAGTTTGTAAACAGGGCTGTTCTTAAACCGAGGTACCACTGTATTTATCTTGGCCTCTGTAACCTTGAGTGAAGCAAGAAATCTTTTTATACCAGTCAGAGTCCTTCCGGACGCAGTTTGTATTGTGTATTCATGAAGTTTTCTGCTCACAATGGTTTTGGGGCAGTCATATGTGCTCCCACTTTCAATACCTTTCACACCTGCGGAAGTTTCAGGGTGGTCTGCTTCATTTCCAAGCAGTGCATGAGCTGCAACTTCCTACAGAAACCCAGTAACTTTTCTTTTCGTTTTACTGCAAATGTTCCCGTTCACTTTCCCCCCCGTCCCTATGCATGGCAATCATATAGTAACACTGGGGAAGCATCACAGAACAACTAATAAAGCAGAATGCTAAGTGGACTGTCCAGTATAATAAATCCATCACTAATGCACTATTATGCAGAATACGCGACCCCAAAAATAACCCACAGCATGCCTCTGAAGACTAGTTGTTGTGAATCGCAAGTGGGGAGATAGCAGGTTGCATTCGGGTCCTGCTTGCAGTTTACATTTAGCCACTGTGAGAACAGGACACTGGATTACACAAGTCTTTGGCTAGAACTAGAAGGACTCCACTGTCCTTAATCTGACCAGCTCTTTCCACTGTGCTGGTAGAGTGTAGTGAAAAATCACCTCTAGGGATCCCTGCTCTGATTCAGGGGATGCAGAACTCCAGCAGAAGTCTGTGGTTCAGCAGCTGCCCATCTGCTTGCTGGCTGACCAGGGTCACATTCTACTTGCTAAAAGGTGCTTAAAGTTGTTAGGAGACCCCACCCCCACCCCCTGCTCGCAGAACTACAATTCTCAGAGTGGTTTAACAACCAATCTCTATTCCCAGGATAGTCTGGGAAATGTAGCTCAATGAGGGGAATCTCCTGTTGAGATGGGTCTCCTAACAACTCTCAACAGCTTTAAACTACATTTCCTAGTAGTTGCCAAAATTCTTTGGGGAAAGGCATGGCTGTTTAAAGCAGCATGATACTGCTTTAAATGTACAGTGCAGATGGGGGGTCTTAGATATTACACTGGAGAATTCTGCGGGTTTTCTTTTAAATGCAATCCCTACAAGTACAAGTCATGCAAGTCAGCTCACTTTTTCTAACGACAAATTCCTCATCGGATGCTTTCCTGTCTTTCCTTTTTGGAAGGAACTTCTTCATTGTCTTTGGGCTCTTGCTTGAGTCCTATTTTTTTTTAAAAACAACAACAACAACACATACTTCACTTAATAATGAGATAGCCAAGGTTATGAATAGAGAAATCTTAGCTAACAATCATCTCGGTTTCAGCTGATAAATCTGGGGTTGTGGGACAAAGCAATACTTATAGGACAAAAAGCAGGGTTGGAACTTGGTAATAGGGCCAGAGCCGTCTTTCCTATTGGGCTTACTGGTGCGTTGCGCCAGGGCACTGGCCTCTCAGGGGTGCCCCAGCGAGTGGGGGAGCTGCGCGGCTTTGCCGGCGGCCTCCCCTTTCCCTGCACGCCCACCAGCTGTGCCCTGTCAACCATATTCCTGGCGGACGTGCAGCTTGCCTCCCAAGCCTCCCCGGGAGGAGAGCGATGCCCACAGAGGCATGGGAAAAGGTTGACAAGTCGACAACTCTGGGAAACTGGGGGGGGGGGCACCGGAGGGATCTTTCCATCACGATGCCAGATATGCTCAAGACGGCCCTGAATACAGCACCCTGTGTGAAAACAAAATTTGACACACACACCCCAGCACCTGTGTCACCTTTTGAAAGCTGGCTAAGCAAGGTGCTGGTCTTTGGGAAGGAAGCATGAGGGCTGTAGTAGGGTCCAAGAGACCTCCCGTCTCCTTCCCAATGCTGGGTAAGTGCTAACTAGGCTTAAGGAAGGAGGAAGGAGGAAGGAGGAAGGAGGAAGGAGGAAGGAGGAAGGAGGAAGGAGGAAGGAGGAAGGAGGAAGGAGGAAGGAGGAAGGAAGGAGGACTCTGGGACCCTCCTTCCGAAAGCAAGGGCTTACTAGATTTTGGGAAGCATGTGGGAAGGCGTCCCTTGGGCCTGGCGCCCTGTGCAAGGGAACCAGTCGTGCTGCCCAAAATCTGCCTCTGCAAAAAACAGTTTATTTGAACTTAAACAACCCATGTTTGTGACACAACAGATCTCAACTTAGAAGAGGCACTCTCCTCTATGTGAGAGAAAGGGAATGAATGCTTCTCTGAGGAGACATGTCTCTCACCCGAGGAGATGCCTAAGAAGCATTCCTTTCTATGTTCAAGAAAAAGTATTTTGAGCATCTATTCATCTTTCCAATTAACTGGGGGTATCTTTTTAGCAGTCAAAAGTTGTTTTATCTGAAGGTGCTAGTAAAAATTAGATGAAACCATGCGACAACCCAGTCTCTAGCCCTTCTAGAAAGAAAGTTATGAAACAAAATGGGCAGGTACACTTCTAAGTGATTTCTGTGAAATGAGCAAATCTGGTCAATGAGTCAACTCAGAGGTGCGATTGGTGAGTGAGTTGTTTGGACACCATGCAATATAAATCTCTGGGGTTCCAGAAGGGATATTATTTTCCCATCTCTTATAATGCACTTTTCCTGCTTCTGTCCTATTTTGTAAATTCTGCAGGCTAAGCCTTTTTCTCATATGGGAACATATAATTATGAACCGATGTGGATGCCATCTTGAGATCATCATGGAAAATTACAAATGTTTTCCATCATGGAAAGTAGAAATGATTTCAAACCTAGTGCCTTTTGCATAGTGCTGAACTCCAACTCCACTCCCTGCTAAGCAGGTGACAGCAAAGGTTGCAAGGTTTTTAGCTGGGGCAATCAGAATAAGATCCACTATTTGACTATTGATTCAAATCCCTAAAATGTATTTTATATAATTGACTTTTTATTTCTATTATTTGTATATTGTATTGTTGTTTTATTGCTATGGCCAATGGCTGACGCAAATAAAGATTCATTCCTTCCCCTCCACTCTCCGCTGCCCATTGGCTGCGCTGGTGAGGGTGGATGAGAGCCATTGGCTGCACTAGTTTATTCTGTTTCCTAAACTGTTGATTTCCACATTATTTCTGAGCTCTCGCATGACTTAGAAGCCATTTCCAGAATCATAGCTGAACATAGTGCAAGTTTTTGTGTTATTTGTTTCCGGGGGGGTGGGGGGGGTGGAAGAGGGAATCTTTTGCAAATAAAATGGAAGTGAGAGCTATACTCTAATATAGTTTTATGTCACATGAAAGCTCAAAATATAATGCGGAAATTAACACTTCCTAAGTGTTTTCCCAAAACATCGGGGAAATTGAATAAACTGCCTCATGAATGCACACAGAGTCCATAACATCTGGACTCTGTGTGCATTAATGAACCATAATCCCAAGATTTCCAGCTTTCATTAAAAAAAAAAAGAGGAAATTTCTAATATTTGCAGATCCTGAGATGTGATGCAGAACGTACAGCCGCTATTCTTCCCAGGGCTTTCTTTTGATAGAAATCAGCTTCCTCCCTCACACACCCCAAACATTCCTGTGGGCTCCCATGATCTGGAAGGCACTAGGTTGGGAAAGGATGACTTAAGAGCCGCAGGCAGATGGATCTTTTCCCCCCATGCTCTGAATTTCAACCGCAGCATTAAGTGTCCTTTGCAGAAGTGCTAGAGAGTAAGTCCCACTGCTTGCAGCCAAGACAATGCAGCAAAGTGAATGGCAATGAATTGCAAAACAAACAAACACAGAGCTTTGCTCTGGGAAAATATGACACACGAATGCAGAAGGTGGTGGGTGGGTGGGGTGGAGAGAGAAGGGGAAAACCCACTTGTCCTTTGTTAAAACATACATGCAATGCAGCGACCCAGGAAGCCATGGCGATGATTCCATCCTTACCTTTAAAATGTAAGTCATCCTCTACCGAATGAACATAAAAAGAAGAAGACAAAGACAAACATGAGAAGGTAAGCATGATTCATGGAAAAAAGCAGCTGACTTTTTTCAGCCTGGTATCTTAACAGGGTGGGTAGGATTTGCCTTTACTGATACACCATTGGAAGAGCATTTTATTTATTTTGCATTGCTCACTGTTTAAGTTTTACTTTCGCTTATTGCATTTCTTATCTTGTTAAGCCGCTCTGTAAAATAACTGAAAATTTGACTATTACTATTCATAATAACAAGGAGGAGGAAAGGCGTTGATTAAACACTGGAAAACTCCCGTGGAACCAGAGGCTCTCCATTCATGGAGGAAGTTTCCTTCTGCAACTCTGAATGACTCACTGCTCAGGGTCTCCCCACTTCCCAGTTAGCCTCTGCTGCAGGAAGGGGGTTAAATCTTCTACTCACCCATGTTGCATATGGTCAGCTCACTCAACTGCTCCTGAGAAAAGGTCATCCGCCCTCAAAGGGGAGTCTGCCTGTCATGTCTCTGTACGAGTCGGTGTGGGCTCCAGGTTTTGAGGGGCACTTGGGCACTGCATTCTCAGGGGGACCTGTTTCTACCCACCTTCACCTCCCGGCTTCACCACACGCATCCCCCAAAGGAGAGTTACTGCTCACTCAAAGAGGGCAGATGAATAGGCAGTTACAAAGAATAGTAGAATTGTATCCAGGAAACTCAAGGGCAGGAATAGATAACCTTTTCGCAAAGAAGGGTCATTGATTCACAGAGGAAAGTCAGTCAGGGAGCCTTGGCCAATGGTGGATGGGGCCAGAGCCATGGTGGGCGGAGCCAGAACACAAAACAGAGGCCAGCACAGCCTCCCTGTGAGCAAGGCTTTAGCCAAATATCTTATAGCATGGTTGTTGGATTTCCAACGCCCACTTGAGATTTCTCTGCGGTGGGGCAATGCTGACTGCCATGATGAGCTCCCACACTTAAAAACTGATGACCACACCAGTGCTCAGTTACTTAGACCCATGGACAGCAATGGAATATACTCCCAAGAAAAATGGACACAAGAATACTGAGCAAGACGAAACAAAACAAAATATCTTTGGCAATGTCTGACAATGTTCATGAAATTTTAGGAACAAAAATAGACCATCAGCCCCCATGTACAGAAGCCAGCAAGCCTCCAGCACAAGCAGTGTGAGGGGTGAGTCGTGTAAAAAATGAGTCATTAAAAAAAAAATCCCTGAAAAGTATTGAAGAGTGATTTTATAGTAACACCTTTCGGGGGTTGTGACACAAGTTTCCTGTATGATGCAAATAACTCCCCTATGTCAACCCAGTTTCCTGTGGGCTTAGATTTGAACACTGTTATAGTGTGAGAAGAAATTGGATGGATGCAATTAAATGGGGAAGTGGTTTTCTTTCTCTGCGAGACGTTTGGCTCCTGGAGCAGTAAACCTTTACCTTTTTACCAAATATGAAATATACTTTATTCCTAAGAATCCCAGTTCTTCTATGGGTTTAAAAAGACAAAAATACAACCAAAAGATAAAATGGGGGGGGGGCTCATAAGAGAGTTGCTCCACCTCCTTGATCATTCTGGCTGAACTTTCCTGAACTTTTTCCAAATCTACAATATCCTTTTTGAGGCGAGGAGCCCAGAACTGTGCACAATATTCCAAATGCGGTCACACAATAGATTTGTATAATAGCATTATGATATTGGCAGTTTTCTATTCGGTTCCTTTCCTAATAATGATCCCTGGCATGGAATTTTATCTTTTCAGCAGCTGCCGCATACTGGGTCAACACCTTCACTGAGCTACTGACATGACCCCCCCCCCCCGAAAAAAGGGGAGACATAAGAGCAGCCCTTAAATATTTGCAGGGTTGTCATGAAGAAGGCAGAACAGGTGTCTTTGTTGGACTAGAGTACAACAAAGCAGATTTCAGATAAACGGCAGGAGAAACTTCCTAATGGTAGGAGGTGCTCTCCTCTCTGGAAGTATTATGCAGGAGCCAAGTAGCCATCCCTCAGGGATTCCGGAGGTATGTCCTAAATTACAGCTCCTGCATTGAACAGCAGGATTTATACTAGATGACTTCTAAGGTCGATCCCAACACTAAAATTCTACGGCAGTGGAAGAGCTTGCCTCTGGGTTGCCCTTCTGCCCGGATTTGTAAACTTGTTGCTTAGTGGGGCCAGCCTCCTGTGTTAAGCTTACACATCCAGCCACAAAGCGAGACAGCAATGCCCAGTATTCATCCAGCGGCACAACCCAGACCCATTTGTGACAATAATTACCTCTTTGTAGCTGAGTGCCACCGATGGCCTGAGGGGAGGTGCGGGGCGGAGGCAACTTAAGCTCCAGGGCTTAACGATTTTGGGCGGCTCCAATGGGCCACGGGCTTGTCCAGTAGAGCTGAAAGTCTGATGATAAAACAGTTCTTATTTATTGATTTAGCTTGTTAATCTGCTGAGAGTTCCCACATCTTCCAAGGAAAGGAAAGAGGGCCCATTTTGGTTCACCCGCCTTGCAAGCAGAAGGCCCCAGGTGCTATCCCCAGATAATGCTGGGAGAGAACACTGCCTGCAAACCTGCGGAGCCACTTCCAGTCAGTGTAGGCAATACTGAACTAGATGGCTCAACTCAGGATAAGGCAATTTCCTATGTTCTTGATGTTCAGATTCCACTTGAGCTTTCACACAACATAAAAGCCACAAAGGGAAATATAGTCGAGCACAGCACAAGTATGTTGCTCATTTCCACTAGAGTGGTATCTTGGTTCTCGAACTTAATCCATTACGGTAGTCCGTTCAACTCCCAAAATGATTTGAAAACCAAGACATGGCTTCTGATTGGCTGCAGGAGCTTCCTGCACTCAATCGGAAGCCATGGAAGCCATGGAAGCCTCGTCGGACATTCGGCTTCTGAAAAACGTTCACAGACTGGAACACTCACTTCCCGGTTTGCGGCGTTTGGAAGCTGATTTGTTCAGGAGCCAAGCTGTTCAAGTACCAAGGTACCACTGTATTTGCAAACTTTTTTTGCTAGTCTCTCCCCCCCCCCCCCATTTTTTGTTTCTGGAAACTTGCACTAAACTTGCACTATTAAATTTCCAGAAGTGGCAGAGGAAGGGAAATTTTTGTGGAGTATCTGGAAAAAACCTGTAAACATGTGAAATCATTGGTAGGATTAGGGTGAATTCAACAGTTTAACACATAGCAAAGGTGTTAAATGGATATACAAGAATATGCAGGATAGGTGGGAAAATTAAAGGAACCAGGGAAGAAGGGAAGTTGTAAATGGCTGGCTTTTTAAAAAGAAAGATAAAAAGGTAAAGGGACCGCTGACCATTAGGTCCAGTCATGGCCGACTTTGGGGTTGCGGTGCTCATCTCGCTTTATTGGCTGAGGGAGCCGGTGTACAGCTTCCAGGTCATGTGGCCAGCATGACTAAGCTGCTTCTGGCGAACCAGAGCAGCGCACGGAAACGCCGTTTGCCTTCCTGCCGGACTGGTACCTATTTATCTACTTGCACTTTGATGTGCTTTCGAGCTGCTAGGTTGGCAGGAGCAGGGACCGAGCAACGGGAGCTCACCCCGTCGCGGGGATTTGAACCACCGACCTTCTGATCAGCAAGCCCTAGGCTCTGTGGTTTAACCCACAGCACCACCTGTGTCCCTTAAAGAAAGGTAGGAGTGGGGAAATGTTTGTTTTAATGTGAATGTGGTTTTGTAACATTGAAAAAATATAATTTAAAATAAAAAAAATCCAGAAGTGGCTTTTCACAGTTGGTGAAAGCTCAGCTATAATGTGAGAATCAACAATTAGGGAAACATCAAGGAAATAAAATAAGCAGCTGCAGCTTTAGCCAACCCAAATAGTTTAATAAATGAGCACACAATCTAAGAGGCTTCAAAAGGGATCTGAAGGGCAGAGGGTGAAGGCAACCCATTCTTTCTTCAACTCCTACATAGGAATCTGGTCATAGTAGATTTCCAGCACACTAACACCCCCTGCAGGAACAGAAGGTGTGTTGCCACCCTCCCCAGGAGCCTGGAACAGACCAAGATTGCCCCACTAAGCTGATCAACTTACAGAATGAGAGCCCCAGGAGTGTGTCTTGGAGAGGCTTGGAACCGTCCCCCTGGTGAGCCTGTGCAAATGGTCAAGCCAGTCGTGCAGATCCTGGCTGTTGTTGCAATGCACCGTAATCCGGTCGATCAGGCTCCCTGTACGAACCAGGTTAACTCATTTAAAAACAACAACAAAAAATAATAATAGCCCACTCATTCTGTTTTGGCTTCAAGCACCTGTTTGCACAGCCAAGGCAGAATTGAACCCCACCCTCCCTCCCTCCCGGCTCATCAGCTTCTGCCACAAGTGACACCACTTGATTGACAGAAGGATGGGGCTTGTGGAAAATGGCGCCATGGGCCAAACTGGAATGGCGTGCCAGGTCAGGGCCAGAGGTTCACCACCACTGCAATACACCATTTATTTCCACTAAATAAGGCTACCAACCATGGTGGCAGCATCTTCTTTCCACTGCCAGAGGCCATCAGAAGGATTCAACTCAGTGTTACTGAAAATATGCACACTGAAACTCATGGACCTCAGTCTGTAATTGTTTTCAGAGAGTATACTATGAGTAAAACTTAGCTGAATGCCACCTGACATCTCTCTGAGTACCAGTAGCTCTGAATTCACAAGTGGGGAGAGTGGCTGGTACACTCAGTTGCTGCTTGTGGGTTTCCTCACAGGATGTAGGTATGGCCATTGTGAGAACAGGATGATGGACCAGGTAGGCCTTTTGCCTGATCCAGCAAGGTTCTCCTGATGTTCTTACGTTCCTATGTATTTTATATTGTATTCAGCATTTTGCATCATTGCTATATGTTGCTTCTTCTTTTTTTGCCTTCTATTGCAAGCCGCTTTGAGTATCTTTACAGCAGAAAAGTGGGTATATATATATTCAATCTAATCTAATCAATGCATGCATCTAAGCCACTAGCAGCACACTGACCTGAAATTTCAAAAGCATGTTCATTGACTTCCACATCTTCTAATTTTGTGACCATCATACCTATTAAAGGGAGCTTTCCCTGCTCCCAAGAAAGAAAGAAAGAAAGAAAGAAAGAAAGAAAGGTATTATGTCAACGTTTTTCTGAGAAACCTTGACCAACTTTTTTTGCAATATGTAAATTTTAGTTAGGGACTGCCACCTTATTAAAGAAACCCAAGTCAACTCATCAAATCAATTAGCTGAATATGCTCAAATCGGCATATGACTCAAAGAGTAGTTTTGAAAGGAGAGCTGGGTTTCTTTGATCTTAAATGGAACACGTATACATCAGCGCATCTGAAGATAATGTGTGCCTTCCTGTGTAAGTGTGAAGAGAGAATGCCTGCTCTAATCTAGTGCCAGGTTTATGGTGCTTCCATAAGTATTTATACAAAATAAAAAATAAAAAGTTGCATTGCTCCTTAGAAAGATTGGCTTCATAAAGTCTGGAATTTGGCTACACTGTCAAAAATAACATCTAAGGATGAGAATTGCAAGTGAATATGGAAATAAATTTTGGGGAAACCGGTTGCCCCTTATACAATATTGTCAAGAAAATAATTTATTCCTGCAAAAGCAAATTTAAGTGGATTTTGAGGGGGCTCTTTTGGAAGAAATATTGTCATTTCATCTTAAGCCATACTTTATTGTAGAAGATTATGATTTGAAGTATTTTTTTCTGGAGCAGTTTTGTTGATTATTGTTAATAATTGTCAAATGATTAGATTTCTTTTTTCTTAAGGCAAACCTACCTCATTTACATTTCCTGAACTAATAAGGAAACTAAAACGGAGCTCTCCTTTGAAATTGCATGCTGCTCCCCAGGCAAAGTGTGTACACACACAAAAAAGCATATTCTGCTGCAAATAATGTACAAAACTACATTATTTCAGGGAAAGCTGTGTATTTTAGGCAACCTGCTTACAGAAAAAAATGCACCTGTTAGGACAAGTGCAAGCGCATCAATGTATAGGCATTTTTGTGCAGACTTTTTAAAAGGAACACCATCTCTCTCTCCACAAATTGTTGATGAAATTGACTGAACCAAATGTAAGGCTGGAAAATATAAAGAGTATAAAGTGAAATTGACAGAACTGTCCAACTCCAGGTGCAGCTATGAATGGCAGGGGTCAATTAGCAAAAAGGCTAGAAAAAGTCATAGGTCCCCCTCTGGTGGATTTTTTTTGGGGGGGGGGGACACGTGGCCATAATGCACAGTTGTCCTTCCAAAAAAAAAAAAAAAAGAAGAAAAAAAAGCCAAATTGCTGCAATCCCAATAAGACACTACTCACTTGATACATAAATCCACTCATCCGAGGACTGGCGGAGAGAATCAGCAGGACATTAGAAAACAGCAAGAGGTATCTTTCTTCTTTTTCCTGAAACAAAAAAGGGAAATTCACGCTGAGGCCCACCTGACTTAGGGCATGTTGAATTTTTCAGTTTTCAAATTCCAGAAATGAGGAAAATGCTAAAAAGTTGTAACATGACTTGGGGATTCTAAAAGATATTTTGATTAAATTAATATAATTTTGTTTTGGCCGGCAAGTAAAATGTGTGAAAAACTGCACAGAAATCATTAAAAAGATTGCCAAGTATTAACAGTTATAAATTGATATTAATATTAATATTATTAATATTATTTAGCAATGGCCAGCATTTTCAGAAGGCAAAATAAAAATTATTCAGGTTTCCAAAAGCAGTTCGCGTTCTTCTTATTCAAAACATAGGTTTACAAAGCTAACTGTTCTACCCAAAAACTTTAGGAGATTTGAATTCCTGACACCTAAAAACACATTTTTAAAGACTCCTCACTGTAGAAATTTGCAAACATAAAGTTTCACCACCCCTAAAATGGCACACCCTGCTGCTACCTGAGTCTCACACCATCACAAGCCTGGGAAGGGGCTGAATTAGATATGCTGGAGAATTCTGCCAGAAATGTAAATGCAAGTGAAAATCCCCACAATCCTCTTGTTCATTTAAGGTCAGGGATGGAAATCACAGAGGCAAACACGAGTGGTATTCACGGGTCTTCTTTTTATTTTTTAGTCTGCCCTCTCACCTCCCCACTTCTCCCATATTGGACTTGAGATGTGTAAATGAGAGAAACCTCCTTTTTGGTGGAGCTGGGGGGAAGAGGGTCATATCAGGGCCCTTGACCACAGAAAACAGACAAAGAGGTGATGGAGAAGGAGTCCAGCCCTCAAGGTTTAGGATATTAAGTCCTGCTGCTCTCACCTCACTCCCTCCATACTGGACCAAGGCTTGTGACATATACAGGACATTGCCCATTGATTTTATGTCTTCGCCCTCCCATCCCTGGATGGCCTCTGACAGGATCTGGAGCTCAAGCTGTTTCCTCTTCCTCATCTCCTGACACTGGGACTGCCAAGAGAGAAAAGAAAGGCTTTGGTTACAGATCAGAGGGCAAGCATAAAAAGCAAGGCGAAACACAAACCCCCGTTTTTCTTCCTTCTCCCAAAAAACCACAAAGAAATGGGAGGAGAGGGAATAGATGTCTGGTTCTGGATGCCTCATTTAAGAACTGAGGGATGGCAACAAAGGTGGTTCGTGGCTCCAGTGGCTGCTAGACACAATAGCAACGTTCTGCCTTATGTGTCAGAGTCAATAGGCCTCTGTTGGTTGCTAGGAATCACAAGTGATTCAGGTCCTGCTTGTGGGTTTCCCATTTGGGCATCTGGTTGGTCACTGAGAGAACAGGGTGCAAGACCAGATCTCCCCGTTATACTGACCCAGCAGGGCTCTTCAGGTGTTCTTCTGGTTAGCAGTGGCTCTCTGGGGTCTCAGGCAGAAGAGAAGGATCTTTCCTGCTCTTTCTTTGCGCAAATGTAGGGGGTTGAACCAGGGAGCTTGTGCAGGAGAAGCACAGCAATGCCCCCACTCCCCAGCTGTCTGAGCTAACTCAACGCCTCTTTTCTTTCCTGTTTTCAACCAACATCCACCTCCTTCTTTGCACCCAGCTTCAGAAGTCTCCTGCCCACCTTCCCACCAAAACACGTGCTTCTTCTCTGATGAGGAAGGAAGCAGGTTGTCCAGACTGGACTACAGTGAAGGCAGCGGAAGAGGCAAGAGAAAGAAAGAATCTTTGCTTTCCTAAGAACAGAAGATCGAGCTTTGAGTGGGGTAAGAGTGCCCCCATGTGGAGAGTTTAAATCTTTTAAATCTCTACAGCTTCTGAATTTATGTGAGCGAACGTTCCTAGGAAAATGCACGGGGGTGGGATTCAAAGGGGCACTCCTTACACATACTAGGGGTGGAAATGTCTGTACTGGGGGCCAGATGTGGCCCTCACTGTCAGATTCTCCCCAGGCCACACTCCCTCCCCAGCAATCTCTCCGTAAGACACGGCCCTCACTTCATATGCTCCTTCAATATTTTTCTGCCTGGCTGGAATGTCCCCTGAACTCCAATAACTTGCTTGCCTGGATGGATGATAGAGGTGTTGGTGGGGGTAGAAAGGAGCATGCCATGGAAAGGTAAAATGTGCATTTGTTGCTCTGCCCATTATTGTCTACAGCCCCCCCCCTCCCACCACTGGCACGTGGCCCCAGGGAGGTTGCACAGAAGTGAACTGGGCCCTTGGGTGGGTTCCTTACTCCTATCCCATACAAATGGTGAATTCATTCTACAAGCATAGACCCATATCAGGGCACCATCCATGCATAAGTCAGAGGAAGGATTAGGAAGACCCAAGGTTTGCAGAAATAAAAATAAAAATATTAAATATTATAATGGTCAATGCAGACCTTTCTGTGTTGCCTTTCAAACAGATCAACTTATTTTCTGTGCAAAAGAATGGGCAGGCGATTTGATATGCTCCAATAGATTATTTCAGAGTAGCTTAACTTGTGTTTTCCTTGTACGTAGCAGAACTTGCAACGACCTTCTTGAAACTGAAGCACCTGGTTTTTTCCCAGTTTCCCTAAATGCTGAGCTTTGGAACACACAGAACAATCTGTCCTCTGTGTTCTTCCTGTGCACATTCTCCAGAGTGGCCCTAGGAGCCAATCCTCAGCGGCTGACTCACCTCCTTCCACTTTGATTGGCTGCAGGGTGAGAAGACACCTTCTCAGTGGCTGAAAAACTCCCCTTTCATGCTGAATGGGCAGACATTGGAGACGGGGACCCCGCTGCAGAAATAGTCTTGGGTTTTTGACCCTCCATCATCCCCCTAGGTTGCTCCACTCCTGGTGATGTGTGGCTCACAGAGCCTGCTTCCAAGACTTACCACAAGAGACTTGAAGGAGGTGATTGCTCTCAAGACATCTTCATGGTCCGGATGAGCTTCCTAGGAAAAGAGAAGCTTTAGTGAGTGCAAAAGGGCAGGTATATCTAAGTGTGTGTGTGTGTGTGTGTGTGTGTGTGTGTGTGTTCATAACACATTCCCCACCCAACCCAAGATGCTGCTAGTTGAAAGAACAGCGACACAGGATGGAGCTGTGTGTGTGTGTGTAAGTCAAAGCGCAGCAGATCAAGGGGGCGTATATTAAGACCCATTCTTATTTTTTGCAATCATTTATATACTGACTTTTACCCCAGGGATACTAAGGCAGTTTACAACCATCTAAAACTGGGGTGGGGAAGTTCAGGACTTGTGGGATGGGTTTTAATGGATAAGAGAGGATATATTAATTGCAATTATCCCTCCAGGTGTCCTCATCTATAGGTTGGATGGTTTCAAAATCCCATCTTTGGCAGCAAAAGTAAAAGCATAGGAATTAGACTTTAAAATCTTGTTTTGAGCAAGTCCAGTTAATGAAGTAAGCTGGCTCTCTCTTTCTTAGACACCGCTTAACACAGAGCTGGGCAACAACCTGTAAACTAAGTTTTAAAATATGATTTACTTACTTTATAATCATGCATTGGTTTACAGCAATAGTAGCCATAAAAACTATGCAGACAAGATACTTATATTTACTGCATAACCAGCTTCAGGCATGTGCCTAAAGCTGGGGCAAGTGGAGGCATGTCTGCATCCATCACTGGTCAAAGGAAGAGAGAGAGGGAAGAAGTTTGATTATAGAATTGTAGAGTTGGAAGGGACCACAGGGGTCATCTAGTCCAACCCCATACAATGCAGGAAAGTTTCACACTACCTGGGGCTCAAACCCACAACCCTGAGAGCCTCATGTTCTACCAACTGAGCTATCCCAGCTCTTCCTTCCTCTGCAGGAGAGGAGGGGAAATGACATCACAAAGAACCCTCTCTACCCATTGCATTTCCATGGTCTGAGTATCTGCCTCTCAGCAATACAGCTCTGTGCTCTGAGCCCCTTCTCATGCTTGCAAGAGCATGCATCAGTTATGCTTTGCTGCTAATCTTCCACAGGGCTGGGGTTCAGATTCCTCCAAGCCTCTTTGTCAGCCCTGCTGTGTCACCTCCTGAAGCACTTTTGCTTGACTGGAATGTGCCTTGGACTCTGAAACTGCTTTTTTACTTGCCTGAATGGGAGCATAGAGGGTTTGAGAGAGAGGGCATGCAGAAACCAGCCTACTGTATACAAAGAGAACCTTCATTTCTCTGCCTGCTTTTGCCTCTGGACCTACCTGGTGCCCAGAAGGTAAGGTGAAACAGGACAAGCAAGTATTTGAGGCCTGAAGTTGGCTTACTCGTGTCGGCAAGAGCTGCAAATAAAAATCCACAGAGCAGGGGTGGACAACCTGTAGCCCTTGGTCTAATTTCACATGGGTGGCAATGAGGGGAAAGTGGGGGGGGGGAGGCAGAAAGAAAAGATTCCTTCATGGCAGGAGATTGGACTAGATGACCCTTGGGTCCCTTCCAACTCTACAATTTTATGAAAAGGAGAAAGAGCAGTTGAAGGAAGAGTAAAGGAGTGTGGTCACTTTGCCTTTGGCTCTGTGCATTTTCAGCATGTGGCCTCTGACTTACAATCCCCTGGGGAATGTGGTCTTTGAATGGCTGGCCATACCCTGCTGTTGGGAGTTGGCCGAAAGTACCAGGGACATGATTGCTCTTCTTTTGCTAGCAGGTATGCCTCTCCCAGCCACTGAGCTCACCTCCATGTGCCGCTCAAGCTCTTGCAGAAGGATGATGTATTTATCCAGTCGTGTGAATGGTTTGCTGAGGTTTGTGGTTAAGGTCAGTATCCCTGGGCAGGGGGCTCCCTGAATCTCCATGAACTTCTCCAGCTCGTCACTGGAAGACAGGTGCACAAAAAAGACATACTGAACAAGATGGACTCTTGCTCAGAAACAACATGGCTGCTCTTAGGGTCTCTAGCCGGCACCATCTTGAATGGCACTTTTAAAACAAAATAAAATGTTTATGAGTTTAAAAATATACTGTAATTCCCCTATCTGATAACTTATTGTTGCTACACATAGATAAGCAATCAACATAAATATCATAGCTTATAATATTATTTAATCACACCTAATCAGCAACAAGGTAATAGAGAGGAATAACAGGATGTGCCAAAATAATAAAAATTATTCCAGTAGCACCTTAGAGTCCAACTAAGTTTGTTATTGGTATGAGCTTTTGTGCGCATGCACACTTCTTCAGATACCATCTACGGTATTGTTTCGACTACGGCAGACCAACACGGCTACCTACCTGTAACTAGGATGTGCCAAGTTTAACTTGCCTTTTCATATTCTCCGTAATTCAGGATTTTAGAGTTCCTGGATTGCACAGGGCAGAAGGGGGGATTTAAAAGGGAAGGAGGAAGAGGAAGAAGACAGGGAGCGAGAAAAGCTAATAGAATAATATTTTAATTTTTACCTGTGCTGAGTCAAGACGTTGACTGCAGAAGGGTGGTTAGCACAATAGGTGAGGTACAGAGACCTGAACTGGGGCATCAGGCTTATGAAGCAACTCCCCACTTTTTGCTGGTGCTCTGGGAGCCTGCAGTAATATACAAGGGAAGGGTTTCAGAGCAGGCTTGTGTGCAATGGTTAAGGGAACGGGGGGTTGGTCAGGAGGTCACGTCTTGCACCTCAGTCAGGAGCTCACCTGGTTAGCAAAGCACAATCTCCCAAGTTCAAGCCCTTGCCTACACCATGCATATGAGCAAGCAAGGCCAAGAATTTGCTAAAGGTCACAGAACCTTTCCAAAGACAAGAAAGCATTTTGTAATCAGGTTTTCTTATATCTAAGCAAGGATGAAGCAAGGATGAACCTTAAATTCAGTTTTCCATATTTCAGTTTATTATTATTTTTAAAAGATCCCCCGAATGATATGTCAGCATGTTAAGTTTACATTTCTCCTGGTAGATAGATTCTGCCAAGTGTGCACCTCCTTGTGAGCGATTTCCCCTAGAATAAAGCACTTATGGATGGGATTTTCATGAATGCATGCATCCAACATTTTTTGGTTGGAGAACTGAGTTGGAAAATTCAGAGAAGTGAGAATTTTAAAAGGCTGGCAGTACTTTGGGTTGTGCATTGCTCTGGCAAGTGTGGCTTAGCCAGGCTCACATTAAAAGCTGAACTGCTATGAATTTCTCCCCCTTCCGTACATATATTCCAACTTGACAATCCTTTCTTCTTGACCCCACCCCTCCCAATTAGCAGGCTTCAAAGAAATGGGAAACATTTGCCCGAATGCAATGTCAAGCACTTACTGAGCACATTCTTCCAGCACCTGGTTGAGAGTTTGCTGAAAGGTGCAGATTTCATCCACATTTCCAAGTAAAGATGCAATATCCATGGCACTCAGCCTGGAAGAATTCAAATACCAAGACAATGGGCAAATCAAATCTGCTCATTAAAAAGCACTGAAGGAATATGGCGCTTTCATTTCATGTTATAGGAAGCTTCCATTGGGCATGGGGAGGAAAACCTTTTAGGGTCCACAGGCTGAATCCTTATCAGAATCGGCCTTGTGGGTCAAATTTGACAGGCGGGTGAAGCCATGCACATTGTCAAAATCCTTTGCAGGGTTCCCAAACCTTTGCAGACTAATTTGTCTCAATTTTGGGAGCATTGAGGACAGAAGCTACAGGAACCGGGAGACACTGGAGAAGAAGGAGGAGAAGGAGGAGGAGGAGGAGGAGGAGGAGGAGGAGGAGGAGGAGGAGGAGAAGAAGAAGAAGAAGAAGAAGAAGAAGAAGAAGAAGAAGAAGAAGAAGAGGAGGAGGAGGAGGAGGAGGAGAAGAAAAAGGAGGAGGAGGAGGAGGAGGAGAAGAAGAAGAAGGAGGAGGAGGAGGAGGAGGAGGAGGAGAAGAAGAAGAAGAAGAAGAAGAAGAAGGAGGAGGAGGAGGAGGAGGAGGAGGAGAAGGAGAAGAAGAAGAAGAAGAAGAGGAGGAGGAGGAGGAGGAGGAGGAGGAGGAGGAGAAGAAGAAGAAGAAGAGGAGGAGGAGGAGGAGGAGAAGAAGAAGAAGAAGAAGAAGAAGAAGAAGAGTTTGGATTTGATATCCCGCTTTATCACTACCCGAAGGAGTCTCAAAGCGGCTAACATTCTCCTTTCCCTTCCTCCCCCACAACAAACACTCTGTGAGGTGAGTGGGGCTGAGAGACTTCAGAGAAGTGTGACTGGCCCAAGGTCACCCAGCAGCTGCAGGTGGAGGAGCGGAGACGCGAACCCGGTTCACCAGATTACGAAACTACCGCTCTTAACCACTACACCACACTGGCTCTCCACTGAAAGTTGGAAGCGGGTGTATGGGAAGGTTTGCAGAGTCCACTCTGCACTGGTCCTTTCAACCTTGGACATTGGACATTGAATCAGCATGGGGAGGCTTCAAGGAGCATCACTGGGGGAAAAAGCAGTTTCTTCCCCTCCTTGCGCTCCTGCTGCCTTGTTCTGTTTCAGCAACAAGCAATCAGGAGGCTATTTTGAGCTCCTGATTGTCCCTTTGAAGCCTTGCCCTTACCCACTCCACCCCTGACATCACACATGACACCTGTCATAGGGTGCATGGCTGGGCTTTCCTAAAATGGGGAGGCATGGTGGGTCAAGTCCAGTCCAAGGGTCAGAGGCTGCCCACCCCTGAAATAGACTGTGATCATATCAGTTACAGTGTTTTCATCACCAACAACCTGTTCCTCAATTTCCACAACACACTTGAATTTTGAGTGTGTATCACTCCTCCTGTAATAAGACTCTTTTGTCCATTTTGGGGATAAGCTTAAGTAATGGAAAAGAAATATAACATTTGAAAGGAACCTTTAAAATCTGTGAGTAGGGTGTTTAAAAGGTTTAAAGCTGTGTCCATCACTAATGACTTTTGGATTCAGAGACGTGAGCACATTCAGGTAAAAATATTTTTTAAAGCATCAAGTCTAACCAGCGACAGGCTCTGGAGCTGGGGAAATCTAAATAGTAAATAACCGTTCAAGAATTTGTACAAATCAAGGATTAATCTCTACCCATCTTAACAGAAGACATCAACTCAATAGCAAGTTGGATCTTACTTGTCATAGGACTGGAGAGGTCTCAGGTACGTTCCCAGAAGCATCTGCAGCTCCTTGGCATAGTCTCGTTCTGTTTCCAGAATATTCTGAAGTACCTGTAGCAAGTGAGGGTGGGTGTGTAAGAAAGAGAGAGAGGGGAATGTGTTTTGAACACACACACACACACACACAGAGAGAGAGAGAGAGAGAGAGAGAGAGAGAGAGAGATGTATCAGCCTTATCAGGGGCTCATCTACCTGGGCAGGTAGCCCATCTAGGAGAAGGGAAACTCTGGTCCTAAACCTCCACTGCCTTGTGGGATATAGTCAGGACAAGAAATCTACACAAATCCAGAATGGAGACCCTAAGATGGTTGGGTGGTGCCTTGCACGCCTCTTTTCATCAACTCCTGCAGCCAAGCGGGTGCCAAACGCCTTGCTCTGCTTTCCTTTGGACCATATCAGCAAGGCCAAAGGGGAGGTCTTGTCCTCTGGGCAGCCCAGGACCTCCAGACACACTGACCAGGATTGCACCCCAGAAAAGTAATTTGGTGCTGCTAACACAGCAGTTGGACTTCACCCCCGGAGGCGTACTCCGTTGTTTCTCGAGACAGATGGATGCTAACAACAACCAGGAGATGCCAGGGATTAAATCTTGGGACTTTCTGCATGCAAAGCAGATGTTCTGCCACTGAGTTCCTTCATTTCCACATGAGGCCAGCATATCACGCATGAAGGACTTTGCTTTTGGGAAGCTTCTGGGTTCGAACCTGGATTTATTTATTTATTGCATTTAAGATGGATGATTTAAAAAAAGGAAAAGACACAGCAGCTGCTGGAGTGGGAGGTGGGAAGGTGATAACCATGTGGTGTGGAGGGAGAATTTAACCCTTTCCTCCCTGCTGTTGTCTCTCTTCAGAAGCTATAATTTGCCTTCTTTCTCATAATCCCCATAAAGCGGCATTCAGAGGCAGAATCACCTCTGGCAGTGGTGGAACACAGGCATCATGGCTAGCAGCCCCTGACAGCCTCCTTTTCCATGGATTTGTCCAATCCTCTTTTCAAGCCATCCAAGTTGGTGGCCCTCACCATCTCCTGGAAGAGCCAGTTCCATAGTTTAACTATGCAGTGCATGAATAAGTGCTTTATTTTCTCTGTCCTTAATCTCCCAACATCCAGCTTCCTTGGGTCTCCACAAGTTCTAGTGTTGTGGGAGAGGACTGATTTCTGCAGGCCGGGCACCTAATTACTGCGCCATAAAGCCTGTAGCTCCAATGAAGGAACCAGCTGAAGCCAAGGTGCTAACATGAGGGCCAGAATTTTCCAGGGATCAGATGCTGTCCGTAAGCCAACTCTATGCCACTTGCATGCTATGGCAATCACTCCATAGTTTAAAAAGGCACTGGCCATTGGTAAACAAAAGGATATGCAGAATCCCCCCCCCCCCACTATTCAATCCCTGCTCTCACCATCCAGCTCAATCTCTACTTCTGTGAGGGCACAGTGGAGGAGCTGAGTCTATAATGAAACAGGGCAAGTGGATACTCCAGCTGCAGAGATCACGAGGATCAGGTCTTGTAAGGAGTTTCAGAAGTCTAAGATTGGCATCCTTTATTGCTTATTTCTAATAACAAAATATTTTCTGGCATACGCAGTAGGAACACATTTAACTTCAGGCATGGCTGTTGGTGCACCCATCTCACATGGCAGGATCTTAGGATGCACACACAACATGCATTTAAAGCTCATTCTTTCCTGCAAAGAATATTGGGAACTGTAGTTTTCCCCTACAGAGCTACAATCTCCAGCACTATGCAACAAAATGCAGCACTCAGTTAGGACCCAATGTTCATTCCTCTCTTCGGTTTCTGTTCAAAAGACTCTGCTTGTGCTGGAACCACCAAGCCAGGGAATTCAACACAACGATACAGATCTGTTTTAAATGCCAATGTATTCTGCCTCCTGGTTCTCGAGGCCCACTCTGTTTCCTACCCCATTAGTGTCACATCCTGTGTGTCAAACTCAGCCACATAGCACCAAGATGTCTCAATGGTAGGTCAAGCAGATTTAGAGAGAAAGGAAGGGTAAGCAGAGACATACAAAATGATCTCATTAAATGGGAGCCCTGGGGCAGATCACTGGGGTAGCCAAACTTGCTAGCTTCTGCCCAGATGGCTGCTTGCCAGCATTTCTCAGTGAACTTCAGATTTCAAAGGGAAGATTAGGTTCCCCTGCCCCAATATTTAACACACATGGGCAGGCTGTTACACTGTGCTTGTGCAGCCAATAGACTGCCTCAATCTGCCTTCCATGCTCCAGGTCATCGAGTAAATGGATATAGGAAGGGGTTAGTTTCCTTCACTAATGATCATATTACATGATATGACTGTGTGATGATTTTATGTACGATATCATTATGTGATATCATATTATGATAGTGTGATCGTGTATTATGATTGTGTGATATTATGATTTTATATTAAGATTATGTGATAATATTATATGTGTGTGTATGATAATATATATATATATATATATATATATATATATATATATATTCAGCAGGAGCATGTGCTTCAGATTTTGCTCCACTCTTAAATCATTCTGCACACGGCAGAATGCTTGTGTAAATGCCTCCAGGGGGAGCTCTCTGGTCACTTCCAGAATGTGGTGATCGTGGGATTCAGTCACATCAATTTAGATGAAGCAATCAATGCTCATTCAATGGCCCTGTGCAACAAAACCTGTTTCCCCTTGGAAAGCTGGACCTTTTGCAGGAAGGAAAGTGATGAGGAAAATGCACTAGAAGGTAGGGTAACAGTTGCTTGATGCATCGTCGTCTAACCTCCTCCCCGCAAACAAGTCAGAATGAACGCTCAGTAAATAATTCCCTCGAAAAGTTTTTTGGTACTTCTCTAAATCTTGGGGCAAAACATATAATGCATCTTAAAAATCAAGAAATAAATATTTACATATTTTTTTATTTACTTTATATATAAATGATGACAGCAAATGTTCAAATGCCTTGAGGGAAATATGCTCCCATTTGGAACTCTTAGTAACTTCTCTGGTTCAAATGAGAATATTGTAAGACCTCAAGGACTATACCTGCAGTCTTCCAAACAACAACAACAACAACAACAACTCCCCTGTGGATAATAAGAGTAATAAGTCTAATTAATAGCACTGAGTGATAATGGGGACTTAACGAACTTACCACGGCATAGTAATTTTTGGTGAGCTGTGGGCTTTCAACTGCTTTCAAAGCTTTTGGAGAAAGTGGTTTATCTGGAAGAGAAGCAGTGGGAATTGTTATTCTGTCAGGTGATGGTGAGAAGAGCTGGTATTTCAAGCAAAATTTAAACAACTGTGCAGGCAAGAAGCAGATTGCAATTGCCAGGCTGTAGCATTGACTGATGTTGACAATAGGTCCTTTCATTAAAGCCAGCAAACTGGGTAGTTTTAGAGGTTCCTGAAGGAGCAGCACCAGCATTAAAAAAAAAAAAAAAATTAAAAATTTTGCAGCATTTTTTTTAAACCACCCAGTACAACCCTGGTGTACCAGGGTGACTCTCACATTTGTAAAACTGGCCATATTCCAGCTACACAAAAGCCAGAGGTTTTTACATTTGCAACCTGTTAGAGTGACAGAACCCAATCTTCGGAACTCCCTGCCTATTGACATGAGGTGGGTGCCTTCACTGTGCACTTTTCGATTCCTGCTAAGAAAGACTTTTGTTTAGGAAAGCCTCTCCAGACATGTAGAATGCTGACATGTGCCTTAATTTGGTTTTTAGTTTATCATTGGCTTTTATTATTTTTGAAGGTTTTTACATTGTTGTTTTTAGCTGAGAATTTCGTTGTTTTATTCTTTTTGTAAACCACTTTGAGGTTGGGTTTTTACAATCAAGCTGTGTGTAACTTTTATGAAATAAATAAATCTCAACCCTCCCCCTGCCCATCTCTCACCCAAGCAAGGAAGCAAATAAACAAAACAAACAAACAAAACAGCAACAGCAACAATAATAATTTTATTATTTATACCCTGCCCATCTGGCTGGGTTTCCCCAGCCACTCTGGGTGGCTCCCAACAGAACACTAAAAACAGAATAAAACTTCAAACATTAAAAACTTATCTAAACAGGGCTGCCTTCAGAGGTCTTCTAAAAGTTAAACAAAATAAAACAAACAGAAGGCATTATTTAAGGGCACATTCCAGCCAGGCAAAAGCAGTTGTAGAGAACACAGAGCAAGGCTGTTAAGCTGTATGGCCTGGAAAAAGTCACGAGAGCTTCGTTTAACCCCAGGTCTGAGCTATCCGTTTCGGATTTACTTGCTACTTTTATTTCCTTATTTGTATCCATACTTGTATCTGTTCGATTGCAATGTTATTATGGTATACAGTGGTGCCTCGCAAGACGAAATTAATCCGTTCCGCAAGTCTCTTCGTTTTGCGGTTTTTTCGTCTTGCGAAGCACGGCTATTAGCGGCTTAGCGGCTATTAACGGCTTAGCGGCTATTAACGGCTTAGCGGCTTTAAGAAAAAGGAAACAAACTCACAAGAACTCGCAAGACGTTTCGTCTTGCGAAGCAAGCCCATAGGGAAATTCGTCTTGCGGAACGACTCAAAAAACGCAAAACCCTTTCGTCTAGCGAGTTTTTCATCTTGCGAGGCATTCGTCTTGCGGGGCACCACTGTATATTACGTTGCCATTTTTTAAAAGCACTGCTGTAAGGACAGCTCCCTGCCCCGAAGAGCTTGCAACCCAGTGTTAGAAACCTAATGCATAAAGAGCCTATGGTTTGTTTGCCCAGAGAACAAGGCAGGAGTGAAAGCAGCAATGAGCAGAGCCATCTGATTTCCCCCCAAGGTCACACTCTGCCTCTATTTATTGCTCATTCCCTTGCAGTGCTTCCTGGCTCCATAAGAGGGCAGCCCCTGTGGCACTTCCAAGACGTCCCTAGAAGCAGGACAGTGGCAAGCCAGCCTTTGAGCCTCCAGGACATCCCAGGATGCCAAGAGAGATGACCATCATATGACAGCCACGCTGGAACAGATCAAAGCCTGTCTTGGAGACGTTGTCTTTGTGGGCGGGAGTATGATCACCATCTCGGTAAGAGCTTTGCTGCCCTGATACAAGAAACACATGACTCGATGGCTGTAATGATAAACTTGGGGCTGTTTGGCCTTATTTCCTTAAAGCTGGGTGACAAACACAAATGGTCCATTTTGGAACAGAAACAAGGAAGCATCCTCTGCTCCTTACAGTGACAGACTGAAAACTATGAAAGCAAAGCCAGGGGGCCTGGAACAAAATCCTTAAATCGATATCATCACCATCCCAATTTCAACGAACATACAAAGAGACAGACCATATGAAGGTTCCGGTCTTATTGAGATATGGGCAGCCACACGGTTTAATGTAGGAATGTAGAATCTGTGGCCCTGCAGATATTGCTAAACTACAACTCATATCATCCTTTTTGGTAAGGGATGGAGGCGAAATTTGGTCTGCCACAGATTTTAATGCAAACCTTCCTGATTTGTACCTATCAAAACAACATGGGAACTGGAACACAGCCATCCTTTGGTATTTGCAGTTTTTCCAAATTTTGTGATACAGTTCTCCAACCATTGTGCACAAAAGGCACACATTAGGGGGAAGTGTGCTCTAAAAATCATATAGTAGGGAAAACAGCAAAAAAAAAATGCATTTCATTTATTAACCTTACATCCTGCCCATCCAAATGAATCATATTGGGGGCAGCTGCTTACAAAAAGTATGCAGCCCCATAAGCGGAAGAAGAAAAAGAGTAACAGTTAATATTAATACCAATTGGGTTCTCTTACCAGTAGATTTAATTTCTCTGACGTAGTTACTGGGGAACCAGCCTGTCTTCCCATTAAGGGTCCCCTCCCACCAGCCTCCTTCCTCGACCCGGGTGACGTTAATGATGTCGCCTTTGTTGATTGACAGCTCGTCTTCATTGGTCTGCTTAAACTGGAATCGGACCTTGACCAACATCTGGTGATTGCCATTTTCAGTCATCTCCTAATGCACAGGAACATCAAGATAAATGATGATGGAAACAAACAAACAAACAAACAAGGAAATAAATGCCAAGGCCGCTTCTCAGCACTGCTGAAGGGTAACTCTTTGTTGTCAAGGAGAACATTAACAGCTGCTTCTACAGCTCTGGATATCTAATCACACCAATCTAGCATCTAGGCAGCTATTCCAAGGTCTGTGCTCTATGGAGCACCTGCAGCAACAGGGGGCTACACACTCCTTCCACCTGCGTGGAAGCTGCCGCTGTGCTTCCCTCTTCAATCCCCTCCTGGTTCTGGGAAACAACAGTGCAAGAAAGGGCGGGGAAGCATCCAGCCCTTCACTTGCCCAACCTGCCTCTTCCTCCTCTTCCTCCAGTGCTGCACCCTACAGCTCTGAAGCTTCCCCTGTCTGTGACTTTTTCCTCCTGGCTGATACACTTCCCCACAAATCCATAGTCAGACTCCAGCCCCGTGCACACAGCATCCTGCCAGCCCCTGACAATAAGTTCTGCATGTTTTGGGTAGGCAAGTCATTGCGGTCGGGAAAAATAAAATCATAGAATCATAGAGCTGGAAGGAACCGTGAGGTTCATCGAGTCCAACCCCCTGCAATGCAGAAATCTTTCGCCTAACCATGGGCTCGAACCTGCAACCTGAGATTAAGAGTCTTGTGCTCTACTGACTGAGCCATCTCAGATTCCTCAGCTTTTAAGCAGCATTTTTTACTCTCAAAAGTGCTCTGCAGAAATGATGAATGCTAGAAGAGCCTTGCCAGATCAGGAAGCATCCTGCTCTCGCAGTCGACATCCTAAGGGGACGACCACAGGCAGGATTTGAGCTCAGCGACAACACTCCCCATTTGTGGCTCCCAGCAACTAGCATTCAGAGGCAAAGCTACGTTTGAATGAGTGGAGGTAGAACATCTCAATCGTGGCCAGTAGCTGTCTAAGCTGAAGGCCATCCCTACATTCATATGCTTCAGCTATGCACTTTCACCTGCCCTTGCAACAACCCTGTAGGGTAGACCAATGTTAGCATTCCCATGCTGCAGATTTGTGGGGGAGGTTTTCTGGTGGGGTGGGGAGGAGGCAGCAGCTTATTCTTGGGGAAAGTGGGATTGAAGCTGGGAAATTTCTCTGCCCCTTAGACCTTCCTCCGCCCTCCCCCCCCAGCCACAGAACTTGCATAGGCTGAAACCTTAGACTCCTTGCTTCTTCTTCACTTTCTGTCTCCCCAGGATCCTGGGGTAGATTTTGAACAAAACCTACCACTACTTTTGACTGCCCGTGCAGTGCTTTTGGCGACTTAGGAGATGTTGTTTGCATGGAGGGATGGCCGTCACCCGCAGCGGAACTAGGCGGCAACAGATTGAAGCATGGCCTGGTGGCGCTCCGATCTGTTTAAAGACAAAGAAAACAACATGAATACTGTAAAAGTCAGCACTGGGAATGTAAGAAGAGCCACTCTGCTGGTCAGGCCAGCAGCCCATCGAATCAATGCCTGTTATGGGAAGCCCATAACTGGGTCTTGAAGGCAAGAGCCCACCCTGGCTGTTGCTTCACAGTGGCCAGTATCCAGAGGTATCCTGCCTCGTGCACTGGTTACTTCAAGGCTGGAGTACTGCAGTGCTCTATGTGGGACTTCCCTTGTGCTTGATCTGGAGCTGCAGTTAGTGCAGAATGCTGCACTGCAATTGTTGACAGGAATGAGGCCTTATCAGCATTCAATGCCTGTGTTCAGAAATCCGCAATGCTTGCCAATGTGCTACTTGGCCAAGTTCATGGTGTAATAATAATAAAAATAATAATTTTATTTATACCCCACCCATCTGGCTGGGTTTCCTCAGTCACTCTGGGCAGCTCCCAACAGAATATTAAAAACACAATAAAAGATCAAACATTAAAAACTTCCCTACACAGGGCTGCCTCACTTTTTGCAGGGAGGGAAGTGCCAGAAGGTCCTCAAAGCTGGATCTCAGTGTCTGGGCTGAACAATGGGGGTGGAGATGCTCCTTCAGGTATACTGGACCGAGGCCATTTAGGGCTTTAAAGGTCAGCACCAACACTTTGAATTGTGCTTGGAAATGTACTGGGAGCCAATGCAGATCTCTCAGGACCAGTGTTATCTGGTCCCAGTGGCTACTCCCAGTCACCAGTCTAGCTGCCACATTCTGGATTAATTGCAGTTTCCGGGTCACCTTCAAAGGTAGCCCCACGTAGAGCGCATTGCAGTAGTCCAAGCGAGAGATAACTAGAGTATGCACCACTCTGGCGAGACAGTCCGCGGGCAGGTAGGGTCTCAGCCTGCGTACCAGAAGCAGCTGGTAGACAACAAAGCAGTGGTTCTCAAACTTTTTTCCTCTGCGCCACACTTTCAGATTAAAAATTTGTTCATGCCACAATGACTTTTTAATTGATAAGAACTACATTGGAAAATGAAACAACTCCCAGCAGTGCTTGATTTATAATAGAACACAACGCTGTGGGTTAAACCACAGAGCCTAGGACTTGCCAATCAGAAGGTCGGCGGTTCGAATCCCTGCAACGGGTTGAGCTCCCGTTGCTCGGTCCCTGCTCCTGCCAACCTAGCAGTTCGAAAGCACGTCAAAGTGCAAGTAGATAAATAGGTACCGCTCTGACGGGAAGGTAAACGGTGTTTCCGTGTGCTGCTCTGGTTCACCAGAAGTGTCTTAGTCATGCTGGCCACATTACTGTATGCTGGCTCCCTCGGCCAATAAAGCGAGATGAGCGCCGCAACCCCAGAGTCGGCCACGACTGGACCTAATGGTCAGGGGTCCCTTTACCTTTACCATACCCTCCAATATATTTATCTGATGCAAATAAGGACTTCCTAAGAAAAAGCAGGACATTCTGGGATCAAATCAGAAACCGGGAAGGCTTCTCTAAATCTGGGAGTGTCCCTGGAAAATGGAGACACTTGGAGGTCTGATAGCACCCAGCGCCTACCTACCAGCCAGCAACAGCTCATCTTTTCATGCACGTTAATCATCCTACGCAGTTGCCCTGGGATGCAGAAGGAGATAAGCTGCAAAGCCAGGTGCTTTGCAAAAGAGCCGTGACATTCTACTCAGTGATATAATCTTATAGCTGGTGAAAACAGGAAAACAGGATGTGTATTAAGAAAAATATATCTGAGTACCCACATGACCCGGAAGCTGTATGCCGGATCCCTTGGCCAGTAAAGCGAGATGAGCGCCACAAACCCAGAGTCAGTCATGACTGGACCTAATGGTCAGGGGTCCCTTTACCCTTTTTTACTTTATAATCATGGGACATCCAGGAAGTAAAAGAACAATGCAGCTGAGCTACGCAAGAACATGAATCATTCCCAAAATATGATGTTGGTTGTCCTGCCACACTTGCCATCCTCTCCTGCCACACCAGTGTGGCACATCACACCTTTGAGAACCACTGTTATAAGGCTCTTAACAACTCACCTGCAAGATTGCTTTACTCACATATATGCCCACTCAACGGCTTCAATCTGTGCAACCTGCACTGTTACAGGTGCAACATAATACTCATTCTGCATTTATAAGAAGTTGTTATTTTAGTGTGATTGCACTCATTCTTTGGAACTCCCTGCCTATTGATATAGGCAGGCACCACCTGTTAAAAACATTACTTGCTTAGAAAAGTCTATCCAGACATGCAGAATGTTGAGGTATGTTTTAATCTGGTTTTTAGCTTATCATTAATGATTTATGAATGTTTTTAAATCATTTTTACTGATAATTTTATTGTTTTATTTTTTACATAATCCTCTTTGACTTTTTTTAACAATCAAGGAGTATATATATATGCATTTTATGAGTTAAAATAAATTTAGCCATCTTGGTTAACATGCACAGTGTCATGAATCTGCCTAATACTCTTTTAGCCTTTCTGTGATAAATTGTAGGGAGGCAGGAATTGTGGACCACTGAAGAAGACACCCCTAGGTTGAAACATGTTTGGTCTTACTGTTTCTCACACTCATTTGTGGATCAAAGAATTCATTTGGATATATTATTGCATTTTAAGTATTTGTATTCATTATTTTATTGTGTCATTTAAATATATTTTAGCTACTGTGGCATTAAAGTCTGCACAGTCGTCTCTTTAGCAGAAGTTATGTTTCGATTTCTATTCCTACTCCATTTAGGGTTGCAAGCAGCTGATCCACTGAGATGAATGAACCCAAGTTACTCGTGTCCATTAACTTCAGCGGGTCTCCTCTGAGTAGGACTAGCACTGGATACAAACCCTATGGTTTTTGTTTGGTTTTCTTTTAAAGCCCAGTAAGTCTGACGGCTCAAATTCTCCTTGCACTGATCGGAAATCTTGTAACAAAAAGTTTGTAGGGTCATGGAACTTTTGGTTCACCTATCTCAGTAACGTTTCACATGGACTGTCGGCAGCTCTCCAGAGTTTCAGGCAGGAAGTGTCTCCCACTCCTCCTCCTGCATGCAAGACAGTTGCTCTACCACTGAGCCACAGCTCTTCCTCTACAGTATGTCATAGGAACATCGGAAACTGCCCTATCCTGAATCAGCCCATGGGTCCATCTAGCTCAGTAGTGTCTACACTGTGGGAGTGTTTCTCAAACTTGGGTCTCCAGCTGTTGTTGGACTACATTTCCCATCATCATCTCCGACCAATGGTCCTGCTAGCTAGGGATGATGGGAGTTGTAGTGCAACCCAAGCTTGAGAAACACTACAAGTGGCTTGCAACACTTTCCAGGATTTCAGATGGAGACATCTGCAGCCCTACTTGGAGATGGACCTTTGGCGTTCAAATCATGCACTCTCCCTCTGACCTATAGCAAAGTGCAGACTTGTTCCCACATAAGATGGGGCATGTGCTCGCACACCAAAGTGGCAGATTCCTTGGCTAGGTGGGCTGGGGGTGGAAGGAGAAAACCCTGATCTGTACCTCCCTGCTCTTGCCCTTGCTGCAACTATACCAAGCTTTCCAGGGGCCTCTCCTATGGAGAGCAATTTTGTTGCAAGCCATTTCCAAGATCAGGGGAGGGGAGGGGAGGGGAGGGTTTCTTCCACAGAGAGCAGGTCGAATTGCTCACTGCTCTGCATGATTTGCTTGCCAAACAGGACCCTGGATTTTGGCAGAACAACGGATTGTACGCAAAACCCACACTCTGCACACGACTGAAAAACATGCTGACATTTGATGCAAGTCACCACAGCTGTTTGCGGAGAAGTGGGAGGGATCGCAGATGGAGGGGTTCTGTTTCCAACCCACTGCCCTTGCACTGCCGCCTTCCTTCCACTGACTGTGGAAGGCAACCCTCCCCACAACACATCAGTGCTATATACGGCCCCCCCCCCCCCCGAATCTTGCAATCACATTCTATGCAATGCAACACTCTGGAGTTTCATTTCCCCCCTCGGATTCAAAGGCGAATCCTGAAAGATCAAAATACCGAGCTTACATCGTGCGCTCCAAGGAAGCTGCTTGCTGAAGATGCATCACATTCACAGCCCACGTTATTTTCCCTCCAGGGTGGCATGCTGCCAAGGATGGCTTGCTGTTGGAGGGCAAAAGATGATCCAACCTCACACAGCTCCTGCTGCCCAAGGGCTGCCAGCGTGTCATGGGAACACAGGAAGCTGCCTTACAGACCATGGGTCCGTCTAGCTCTGTATTGACTACACTGGCTGGCAGCTGCTCTCAAGCATTTGAGACAGGGGACATTCCCAGCCCGACCTGCAGGTGCCCCAGGGGATTGAACCTGGGCCTTTCTGAAGGCAATGCAAGTGTTCTAACATTGAGCCTTAGTACCAGAAACGAAGCTGTCTTATTCCAAATCGGACCATTGGCCCATTTGGCTCAGTAGCATCTGCACCACTTGGCAGCAGCTCTGGAGCATCTGAGGCAGGGACATGCCCAGGTCTATGGACATGCCCCGGATTGAACCTGGGACCTTCTGCAGGCAAAGCAGATGCTCTATCACCAACCCTAATTATTAGGGGGCCTAATTATTATTTCTTCCCCTTTTTATTATTTCTTACCAGCAAGGTGTCACACCCCAGAAGACAGACCCTCTGTGATGAAGAGGAGACAAGGAAGTCCCGAGGGCAGGAGTTACCTCCAGAAGACACCACCCTGTTGAAACCCTCAGTGTAAGGGGACCCTCAGTAGCTCGTCCAATGGCCATTGATATCCCCAGGCATCAGAGACTCCATCTTGACCTGCCTGCAGCCTCCTTCAGTTGGCTCTAGCATTTTGCTGGTCTACTTCTCTTGGTCATACAGATCCAGTCAGAGGTCTCCATGGGTCTAGTTCCTTGCTTGAACTCTCACTTTGCTTTCCCAGTTCTCTGTGTGAACTCTGCCCGGGGCAGGATACCTGATCCTCTCCTGCACACATCTATAACTGGGGAAGGGCAGCACCTAACATTACCTATGCATGGCTTCCTCATAAGTTGCTAGCTCTCACTGCTGAGATAAAGACATTATCTTCTTGTAAAGTTCAGCATACACATTTTGATAATGTTGCCCAACATGGGGGGAGCAGGTTTCTGTATACATTTGAATACCACTAGACACCATTTTGAATCAAGATGGTGGACCAAACCATTCCAAGCTTCACTGGTTTGGACACCTCTGAAGATGTAGTCACCCATATGTTGTGATGGTTCCTGAAATGGAGGAGTGGGGATATATTTGGATATCATAAGGCACCACCTGGTATCAAGATGACCCTTTCAAAATTGCACTGTTTTGATTTGTTTTCTTATCATACCTGAGCAATGCTAGGCACTTTTTGCTAGTAATATAATTACACACATATACATGGCTGTATGCCACTATGTTTTACTGAGAGAAGAGAACAAAAATACAAGGTCACGGGAATTCAAGATACAATGAAAAGATTTCAAAAATAATGACTATTTGAATATGCATATACTCCAAGTGCATGTTTAAATAATCATTATTCATTTTTTAGTGGGTTGAACTAGGTGACCATTATAGTCACTTCCAACTCCACAATTCTATGATTCCATTACAGTGGTGCCTCGCAAGACGAAATTAATCCGTTCCGCGAGTCTCTTCGTCTTGTGGTTTTTTCGTCTTGCAAAGCACGGCTATTAGCTGCTTAGCGGCTATTAACGGCTTAGCAGCTTTAAGAAAAAGCAAACAAACTCGCAAGACGTTTCGTCTTGCGAAGCAAGCCCATAGGGAAATTCGTCTTGCGGAACGACTCAAAAAACGGAAAACTCTTTCGTCTAGCGAGTTTTTCGTCTTGCGAGGCATTCGTCTTGCGGGGCACCACTGTATATCCTTTCTTTTGCTTTTGGTCTTTTGGTATTCATATTTGGGGACCTTCTTTTTGTTACTCAGAGTAAAAATAATTAAAATTAATGGACCTAAGTTAATAGTGTCCATTAATTTCAATGGGTCTCCTATGTGTATGAGTAACAGTGCATATAACCTCTTATATATCTACGTTAGCATATGCAAATTCTATGCAGGTTTTGTGTTGAGGGCCTATGCCTTAGGTATTATAACAATGCCCCTCTCTGTCCAAAAGATATCTCTTCACCATTTCTCGATAAGCTGTACTGAACTGCAAAGGTCTGTGGTTTCATTGCCTGTTTCCCAGTTCCTTCCGGCAGAAAACAAAAGATCAGCAACCACCAGTATCTAAATACCAACCACAAATACAGAACTCACAGCCGTAACAAGGCACTACCCTGCCATGCTTTCTCCCAAACAGTCCATTGATTTATTCTAGACAGAACTCTGCAAGCAAAATGATGCATGCTGAGACACTGGAGCCAAAGTCTATTATTAGAATCTGGTTAGAATTTAGCTGAAACGTCTGTTCGGCAACATACATTGACAATTCACTGTTTGCATTTTGTAAGGATTTAAACTTTAAACATTGGGTTCCATTGCGCTTTGCCAGCCAGACAACTCGGCAGGAAGGGCACTGCTTGCCAAATATCTGGCAATAATAAGAGCTCTGGATTTGCTGCCTTCTCCAGTAACAATAGGGTTGCATTCACACGTGGGGTTTATTTTGTTAGTTTTACTTATTCAGGGTTCAGCCACACTTTTGCATGAGAAGCTGATCGTACTGCACACCTATTAATTCCCCCTGGTCTGAGCGCTTTTCTTGTTCCATGGTTGAACTTTGCAAAAACCCAGTCTTACCTGCTGAACTGAAGCTTGGTTAAGCAAAACCTCTCTCTGGATTTTCCACAATTCAGCAGGTAAGTTAAGATTTTTGCAAAGCACAGCCATGTAATAATGAGAAAAGGTATTGGGCCCAGAAAACCATAAAATGGTAGTGTTGGAAGGGACCCCAAGGGTCATTTAGTCCAACCCCCAATCAGTACACAATACAATCAGAATACAGATCAAGCAAAAGTATGGACGAACCCTGTAAGGCTAGTGCTTCTGCCCCCTTTCACACCGGGGTACCAATTTACAGCTATGTCACAGTAAATTTCACTCACACCAGTAGGCTGATGGCATCCTTCTGTCTCAAGAGACAATGGACTGCATCTCTGGGGGGTGAAGTCAAACCATTGCATTAGCAGTGCCAAAGCGACCTCTCCAGGGCACAACCCTGACAACAAGACACCCCCCCCCTTGGCCTTGCTGAAGTGGTCCAAAGGAAAGCAGAGCAATATGTACCTCCCTTTATGCAAAGATCTCAGGGAAGTTCACAAGATAAAAATACAGGATAAAAGCACAAAGATAAATAGTTAAAACAAAAACAAAACAACTCCCCCCCCACGTGCATGTAAAAGGCCATAGAACAATAATCAGTTAAAGACCTCGTTGAAAAGGAACATTTTCACCTAGTGCATAAATATCTATAATGAAGGCACCCGGTGAACATCCCTGGGGAGAGGATTCCTCAAATGGGGAGCCATTGCAGAGAAGGCCCATTCTCATGTTGCCACCCTACAGACCTCTCATGGAAGAGGCACGGGAAGAAGGGCCTCAGGTGATGATCACTGGGTGCAGGTCAGTTCATATGGGGAGAGGCGGTCCTTGAGTATTGTGGTCCTGAGCTGTTTAAGTGTAAGGTTTGTTTCCTAGCATTTAGATATGGGATTTGCCCTGCTTAACAGTCGAGGTCATGAGAGTTTGGTTAAAGGGGAAGAAAGAATAGGACTATAAAATTTAATATAGGGGTACAATAATAAAAGGAATATATTCTCCTCGTTGGATTGGTGCAAAAGCCAATTTATATACTCAACAATTAGGTGGTGCAGCTTCTCCAAGACTGTACCATTGCAGGAGGATGTTTGTGTGTGCGTGTTCTGATTGCTCCTGCTTCTTCACAACAAAAGAAAGAACTCAGTTGTACATGAAGCAGTTGCGCTGTAGAGGAAAAAGATGCTGCGCTTTCTCACTTCTGCACTGACAGGCTGTTTCAGCAAACTGGCCACACCTCTTTAAAGGCACAAGGGACATTGCCTGCTTTGCACCTGATGAACCGAAATTGGATCTCGCACTGAAACTACCAATGGGGAAGTGCAAACGCTGCAATGATGGGGGCTGGGAGATGCTTCTGGTAGAGACATTCAGCCGAAAAGACACATGGAGAAAACTCTTTTGGGTGTGTAGACAACTGACAGTTGAAAGAAGGCCTAATTCTCTTATTATCACAGAGATAGATAGGCTTAGATATACAGTATCTGAGAACTGCAGCTGATGGATTTTGTTCTCCATTACTCCTTAATAATATCCTAAATTACGGAATTGTTAGCGCTTCATACATGCATAAACTGACTGTCTCCAAATCAAGGAGAGCATTCATGTGCTACTCTCTGCATTGATAAACAGATGATTTAATAATATCCTGGTCAACGAATGTCATTTTCTGTGTGTAGCTGCAGCAACAGAGTACGGTATGTTGATCAGGTTAGTTTGCTTTGTAACTTGTATAATGAGAGCACAGAGAGGGACTGATTCTCCCCCTATGAAGAACCCTGCTAGGAAGATCTTCTGCAGATTTGGAATTGTTTTGCTTCAGGAATGTTTCTTCCCATATTACACAGGAGGTTGCAAAAAAAATTAAAAAATTATCTGACTTCAGTGCAGGTTAGGAGAAATGTTTTGTTGGATTCTCAGTTTAAATTTTTTTTAACCAGTTGTATGACTTCAATAGTGTATTTAATTTTATCATTCCATCGCCACAGCGAACATTTCATTCAATTCAACTATTCCCCCCCTTCTTCTTACCTTCTGTAGCCTTGTTTATAGCTGCAAGGGTATTCAGCACCTGGGGGAAATTGTCTCCCGTGTATAGATCGTGTGCATCAAACAACTGTGGCCAGAAAGAGAGAGAGAGAGAGAGAGAGAGAAAGGAACATCAGGTCAGTCATCCAAGCTCCCACTTTGCAGCCATATTAAATGAATGAGACAAAGCTATCAAGACATAATCAAAAAATACATTTTAAAACTCATAAAAATGTGCCAAGCTTTCAAGTTCTCCAGAACACCTCAGCAGGCAAGTGGGGTACAAAAGCTTTAAAAATATATAGAAAAGGGAGGCTAGAATTATTTGACCCACTGCTTTGCACTCAGAAGATCTGAGGTTCAATCCCTGGCATCTCCAGTTTAAAAAGAAAATTGAAGCAGAAGATATTATGCCTCTGCTTGACCCTTGGCAGCAGCTGCCAGTCAGTGCAGGAAATACATAGTAGATGGGCAAATTGCCTGCCCTGGTAAAATGCAGCTCCTAGGTTCTCCCTTGGTGCTGCCAGGACTGCACTCAGGACAATGAGCGTGGCCCCCCCCTAAATGCAGCTGGGGCTGGCATAGCACATTTTAAATAAAGCAAAGAGGGGAGATGTCACCTACAGGTGGGCGTGTTCCATAAGACCATTAAGTCCAGAGTTTGAAAATGCTTAACTGCATTACTGCTTCCTGCCTTCCGAAAAAGACTGGAATCATAAGCATCACATTGCTGGTCTAAAAGAGAGCTGGGCTTTCACTCCAGTTCCCAGGGTTTCTGTGCAGAGATGCCAGGGGGTAACGACCTCACTGTAGTATGCCCTTAGGAGAATCCTGGCTAATGTGACCCTAGTCTTTCTCTAGCTTCAGCTACCCACCATTCTGCCCTGAGCTCAGAGTCCATGGTGGGCAAGCATTTGCCTTCAGCCTCAGCTTTCCATCCGTATAACAGTACCAGATACCTTTTGTTGTTGATGATGTTTTGTGCAGGTCATTTGGCTGTTTCGTGCTGATCTTTCATTTTAAGCAAATAAAGGACACATGGTCTGAACACTGGCCTGCACCGCAGGGGTGCTGTGAGGGCAAACGTTCTAAATGCCATCATGTGTATTTTTTAAATAAAACAAAAACGAGTTGTATCCAATGCTAGTCCTATTCAGAGTAGACCCATTGGAATGAATGATTGCAACTTACTTAGGTCCATTAATTTCAAAGGGTCTACTTGGAGTAGGTCAGAACCCATAGTGTATTTCAAGCTTAAAATCGTGTTAGAAACTGATTTAGTGCCTTATAACATACCCCAAGCCCCCCCAATCAATCCCACAATACTTTTCATACCCTTTAGCCCTTAATAATGTGGCCACTCAAGTAAGTGAGTTGTAAACATTTATAATTAAAGGAAATAAACATTTCCCTCTCCCTCCTTCCTTCCGAATGGCTGTTTTGAGCTACATGAAAAAATTATGCAGAGTTTACTGATCAACGAATTCTTTAAAAGCAACAGGTTAGTTTTTTAGAAAAAAATTCTTTTGTTAGTGAGCACGTCCTGCCTCGTGACAAAAGTCTCAGTGGCTTGTGCAATACTAGATGTGTGCAGGGCAGGGAGGAAGGAACATCTCGCTCCCCATGCCTGCAATTTTGCAGCTGTACCCCTTGAGAACTGCCAGTTGCCTCTGTGGCTTTGGCTTTCACGAAGGCTCTCCTTGGTGGCCACGCTGAGACCACAAGGCAGGCAAGCGTTTCTCCCACCACGCCCTCAGGCTCCAAACTATAATTTGAATCGGGAGGGGAGGGGGCAAGTTTATTTTCAGCCTATCTGCACAGCCGACTGCAAAGTGGGCAATGAAATCATACTGAAGTGTGTGCTAGGTTGTGGGTAATTTTGCGCCAATGTGCCTCTCCCTTTCACCCACAATTTGGCTCCCTTGAAACATCTGGAGTTAATGAAGCTGCAGGGAATTTTGGGCCACGTATCTCCTAGTGTCTTGCTCCCTATGCATGGCTTTTCTCATGGCCTGAGCTACGTGGGGATAGTCTTGGAGGGGAGGGTGCAATTGGCTTTATTTATTTTTATTACAGATAACGACCATTTTGTGTGGGGAGGACATTCAGAGCCCCGCCCCGCCCCGCCCCATGCATGTCAGTGGAGCATGCATGAGCTCCTTACACCCTGCTTTGCCCCCTGCCCTGCTCTGCCAGTCACTTCTGGGTTGTGGTGATGCACATGCGCATTGTCATGCACATGTCGGACAAACGTAAAAGGTTATTGCCTGTACGGTTATTACCATCCCACAAAAGCAGCTCATGCCAAACAAAAAAACCCCCACCCAATTTTAAATCCAAGTAAAGACCACAGGTTTTATTCAATTGAGTCCTACTCAGAGTAGATCCAGTGAAGTTACCCGACCTTAGTTGTGTCCATTAAATACAGTGCAAAAGCAAACCTTCTACCCTCCAAACATGCCAGGGCAGTGGAAATTCCTAATAAGAGGCCTTGAGGGACAGAAAAGGTCTCAGCACCCTTTGAAAGGAGGGAGGAGGGGGAAGAGCAGGACAGAGCTTCATGGGAAGAGAATTCAGGAAATGTGGATGGGGCCACCACCCAAAAAGCCCTGCGCCTGGTAGCCGGCCACTCTGATCTCCCCAGTGAGTGAGCCGAAGAGCTAGATTTCTGAAGATGACTGTAAGACCCTTGTAGACTCTTATGTATGGTTGTAGTCAGATGATGGTCAGTGTTGGTCAAGACCCCGTGAAATCAATGGGTTTGGTTTATATATCCCTTGATGTGAATGGATGTTAATGAGTTAGCTGGGTATCACCCAGCCCTCCTGGTTTTGCTGAACTACATCTCCCACAAACCCCAGTCAGCATGGCTAACAGTTAAAGCTGACGGGCGGGAATTGTAGTCCAACATCTGGAATCCCAAAATGTTAAAGACCACCTTCAGGGGGCCTGCTCCAGCTGTTTAGGGCTATAGGAAGCTGCCTTGGTCCACTGAGCTCCATGTTGCCGAGTGACGGCGGATCACCAGGATTTCAAACAGAGAGTCTTTCCCAGGAAAGGGACTTTTTTGGTAGCAGCACCCTCCTCACCTGATACCTCTCAGCAACAACAGGCAAACATATTTTCATTCACCCAGGCTTTAAAATTTTATTTTATGTTGCCTCTATTATGCCAATTGACTGTATATAGCTGAGGCCTTCACAATGAATGACAAAGGGCAAAAGCAAGGCAAAATCACACAACTGAAGTCTGTAAGTTTAAAATTTCAATGCATTAACATAACTGGAGCAAAGCTTCTTAGCTCCCAGAGCAAATTTGGCTACCAGGTGTTGTAATTTGCATATATTTATTGGCTAAGAGCTCAACTATCACTTCCGGGACAGGGGGTGGGCGGGTCAATTTGAGAACCAAGAAAAAATAAGAGAGAAGAATTTTTCTCTGGGCATCATATATAAAGGGAAAACAACAGAAAGTGCATGATAGCCTCATTTCATCCATAGACCCAGGGACTATGGATCAATCCTATCCATCCTTAAGGAAATCAGCCCTGAGTGCTCACTGGAAGGACCGATCGTGAAGCTGAGGCTACAATACTTTGGCCACCTCATGAGAAGAGAAGACTCCCTGGAAAAAACCCTGATATTGGGAAAGATGGAGGGCACAAGGAGAAGGGGACGACAGAGGACGAGATGGTTGGATAGTTTCTTCGAAGCTACAAACATGAGTCTGACCAAACTGCGGTAGGCAGTGGAAGACAGAAGTGCCTGGCGTGCTCTGGTCCCTGGGGTCACGAAGAGTCGGACACGACTAAACGACTAAACAACAACAACAACAACATGCCATATGAGCTATTCCTATGTTTCTCCCCTCTAAGGATGCTGAGAGCATCTGCTGGAACCTACCGTATTTACTCAAGTCTAATGTACCATCAAATCTAATGCGAACCTTAATTTTCGCAACGTAATTTGGCCAAAAAAGGTGAGCATTAGATTCGGGTAATTTCAGTAAGTTCAACAAAGGTCCTACATAAAGAAAGTGCTCCTCCTCCCCACTGTCTTTCGATGTCCATTGATGATTTTGAACTACTCCATGTTGTGCTTCTAAACATTGTTCTGCTGCAAGTCACACAAGGATTATGTGCTTATCGGTAGATAAGTGGCTACATAAAGGTAAAGGTACTCCTGACCATTAGGTCCAGTCGTGACCAACTCTGGGGTTGCGGCGCTCATCTCACTTTACTGGCCGAGGGAGCCGGCGTACAGCTTCCGGGTCATGTGGCCAGCATGACTAAGCCGCTTCTGGTGAACCAGAGCAGCGCACGGAAATGCCATTTACCTTCCCGTCAGAGCGGTACCTATTTATCTACTTGCACTTTGACGTGTCTTCGAACTGCTAGGTGGGCAGGAGCAGGGACTGAGCAACGGGAGCTCACCCCGTCGCAGGGATTTGAACCGCTGACCTTCTGATCGGCAAGCCCTAGGCTCTGTGGTTTAACCCACAGCGCCACCCGCGTCCCAAGTAGCTACATAAATTAATTTAAATAATAATAGCTGCAGGTGACCCTTTAGAGATGTTTAGGTTGAAGTGCACCCTATGCTTCTATAAAAATGCCTGTGTGTTCTCTCTCCTTCTCTGTGTGACTTTACAGCCATAAATGCTTTCATCCATGTGAGCAGTTGTGGAGCAGGAACAGGCAGGTGTTTGCTCACATAGAATCACTGAATCTTAGGGTTGGAAGAAACCCCAAACGATCATCTACTAGTCCAACCCCACTGAAATGCAGAATTCTCAACAAGAGCATTCAAGACAGATAGCCATCCAATCTCTGCTTAAAAACCTCCAAGGAAGGAGATTCTGCAACCCCCCGAGGGAGACCGTTCCAATACAAAACAGCTCTTACCGTCATAAAGTTCTTCCTGATGTTTAGTCAGAATCTCCTTTCTTGTAACTTAAAGCCATTGGTTCAGGTCCTACTCTATGGAACAGGAGAAAACAAGCTTGCTCCCTCTTCCATGTAATGGCGCTTGAGATACTTGACAATGGCTATCATATCTCCTCAGTCTCCTCTTCTCCAGACTAAACATACCCAGCTCCTTCAACCTTTCCTCGTCAGCCTTGGTTTCCAGACCCTTTATCATCTTCGTTGCCCTCCTCTGCACACCTTCCAGTTTGTCAACGTCCTTCTTAAACTGTGGCACCCAGAACTGGACACAGTATTCCAGGTGTGGTCTGACCAAGGCAGAAGTGGTACTATAGCCAAGTGGTACTATAATTTCCCTTCATCTGGACGCTAGATTTCTGTTGATGCAGCCTAGAATAGCATTTGCCCTCTTTTTGCTGCTGCATCACAGTGTTGACATGAACACTTTATTTAGAGGAGGGGCTGTAGCTCAGTAGTAGAGCACCTGTCTTGCATGCAGAAGACCCCAGGTTCAGTCCCTGGCGTCTTCTTCCCTCTGTCAGAGACTCTAAAGGGTGGTTGCCAGTCAGCCAACCAGAGTCAGTCAACATGGTGGTGTCCTGACCACTGGATATGTTGTTTGGGGCTGATCAGGCCTGGGATCCAACAATATCTAGAGGGCACTGTTTTGGCTATCCATTATAATGGTCAATGTTCTTTAACCCCCAAGGAGTTCTTGGACTACAACCCCCATAATCCCCAGCTGGCTTAGCCAATGGTCAGAGAAGATGCAAATGGCGTTATTCATTCATTCATTCATTCATTCATTCATTCCATAGTGTTTATACACTGTTTCCTTGTGTAAAAAAACACACACCCTCAAAGTGGTTTACAAAACATAAAACTGTAGAATCAAAAAGAACTCACAACCAGACTTTAAAACATACAAATGTTAAATACCCCACCAAGCTCCCACCTGCCTAGATGGGGCCCCCTTTGGTCTGATCCAGGAGGGCTCTTCTTGCATTCCTGTTTGCTTGTTTGTTTTAAAAAAGCACTGACATTAAGCTCTGCCTTAACTGTTCAGAGATCCTGAGGAACCATTCCTGCTTTAAAACTCACATGTGGCCCATGAATAATGGAGAAGCAAGACTGAATTCAACCTACCTATGACTGGTGTACAGGTCTTCACACAAAAGACACTGTGTCATAACTGTTCATGTCTTGTGGATTTTCTTTTTCAGAAACTACCCACCAGTAACCAGCAGGAGTACAATATTCTGCTCACAGATCTTTCCTAAAAGCTCCCTTTCAGCATTTTGCTTCTATGCAGTAGCAGAATTGGATGCCTCCATCTGCCCCAGCTGCAACAAAATATGTCTCTCCCGTATTGGTCTCTACAATCACAGCAGGCGCTGCGACCTCCCAACAGACTGACCTCACCCCCAAAGGCGCACTCCTCCGTTGTCTGCTGAGACAGACAGATGCCAACAACAAACAACCAGGCCAGGTGTGCACTGCACTTAACACACATACCCGCAACATGTATATAAAATAGAATTTTCTAGGTATTCCTAAAAGCTAGAAACTTGGCTGGGTTCGGGGGTTTTTTGGTTTTGTTTTTTTAAAGGAAATTCAGGTAAGTGAATTGTTCCCAACTCCAAAATATGGGCTGCTGTGGAATACAGACAGCCTTTCATATACTGTATAATCTTCTTTGAGAAAACACTCACACAAATTATGAGTCTATCAGAGATTGGTTGGGAAGAAACACATTTATCTCAGTTTCTGGAATTTTCAGCCTTTCAATGCAGGCTGATCCATTGGCCACCAAGCTCATTTGGCCCCCAGGTACCACGCCCCCCCCCCCCCGCCGCCTGCCTTCCTATGTACAATCAGTCCAGGGGTTGACCTGGCTGTCAGTCAGCCCCCCCCCCCCCCCAGTATTGCTCTTGTAGTTTTTAGTCCAACAACATCTGGAGGGCCATAAATTTCTCCCACCTCTGTGGCAGTTTCATGCAGAAAAGCCACATACACCTGGGAGGTGTGGATCATAAGAAGTCAGACACAGAAAACGCAAACACTCAGCACATGCCAGAATGGACAGAAAAGGCAGACATCTGTGGATGCAATGGATAGGGGATGTTTCACTGGGGGTGTTGGCTTGGGTGTGGCAAAGTGGGGTTCTCTGGTGGTCTTTCACATCCCCCACTGCGAGAAAGAAGTGATAGAGACCAACTCTCCCAAAGCATGTGCAATTGAAATAGCCCCATACTCTGCTCCTGCTTAGTAGTGCCTCCACTGCTGTTTCCCGTGTGTCCAATTTTAGCCTTGTAAGCTCATCTGGGCAGGGACCTGCTCCTGTTCCTGCTCTGTAAAGTCCCCATGCGGAGTGCCCCGTGCTCTTGCCCGCTGCAGGGTAGAAAGCGGTGTAATAAAGCGGGGAGGGAAGGCAAGTAGACGAGGCAAGAGACCCTAGCGAGGGAGAAGGAAGGAGGGTGCAGGAAGTTAGACGCCTGGAGGGGGAAGCATGGGGACAAGCTGACCCTCGTATGTAGGTCCGGGCAGGAAAGAGCCGAAGCTCTCCCGGCCAAAAAGACCAAGAACTCACCGGCCAGAGAGGGGAAAGTAAGCCTCCCAACGGAGGGACAGATCTCAGAAGAGACCAGCTGATGAGAAGCAATGGGAAGGTGGATGAGAGACGTGAAGGGCGCAGGCAGACATCTGGGTATCTGCAAGCGGAGATGGCGGGGGCGCAGAAGGGGCTTGCTGAGGCGCGCAAAGTATGGGCGCCCCTGCTATGGAGAAGAGGGGGCGCAGGAAAGGCGAGGCGAACGCGGCGGTGGGGCGACGCCGAGCCCATGAATGGAGGGGCTTAGGAGGAAGGGGGGATCGGAGGAAAAGTTGGAGAAGAAGGAGGGGGCGGTCAAGCACTCACCCGGCTGCTCAGTCTCTGCTCCGCGAACGTCCCATGTTGGCAGCAATTGCCGCCGCTGGGTGCAGCAGACGGAGGGCCGGGGAGGCGCCGCGCTCTGACCCGGAGCTGGATCGCAGGCGGGCGGCGCAAGGAAGGGGAAGTGGCAGGCGGCGGCGGCGGCGGCAAGGCAGGCAGGGTCGGGACTCGGGAGCACCACCCCCAGCCGAGCCGGGAGTCCCCGAGGTGCGGAGGGGAGGAGGAGGAGGAGAAGGAAAGCCAGCTGCCCGCTGCCGAAGCCTGCGCGCACTCACCCGCCCCCTTCCTCGCGCCTCCTTCAGCGTCGCTTCAAAACTCGGGGCGGGAGCAAAGAGCGTCGGGGCGTGCGCAGAGTGCCTTCTGTCTTGAAGGCAGTAGAGCGAAGGCGCGCACTCGCGCGCGCGCGCACACACACACATTGGGCTATTAGTAGTTGGACGCAAATGGTTCCTTCTCCACAAGGGTCTGTCAGAGCTTGACGAACCCTGCGGGGAGCCGGGATATGGGTTCTATTAAGATTTTGTTGAGATTCCTGCACTGCAGGGGGTTGGGGTTGACGACCTTCAGGGGACCCTCCCAACTCTACAATTCTATGATTCCAGGAACATGGGCAGCTGTGTAGTTCAGTATTGTCTACCCTGAATGGCAGCGGCTGTCCAGGGTGTCAGGCACGGACTCATTTCCCAGTGCTGCGTGGAGATGCCAGCGGGGATTGGACCTGGAAAGCAGCTCCACTGCTGAGATGCAGTCCTTCCTACCCTTTGCCCAGAGTTTTACTTGCTGGAAATAAGGGTTTGATGGGGGGGGCGCCTCTGTGTCAGTCTGCATATGTCATCCTTTCCTGTCAGGAGCTTATGGTGGCATGCCTAGCTTTCACGCTAACATTTTGCCCTTACAACAGCCCTGTGAGGTAGGACAGCCAGAGAGGCAGAGAGAGGTTGCTCCAGGACTGTCATATCAGGTCCATTATGAGTACTAAGGGTATCCCAAGAAACAGGGATTTCAAGAAGAGGTAGGCTGCTTCCTTGCCTCTCTCTCTCTCTCTCTCTCTCTCTCACACACACACACACACACACAGAGAGAGAGAGAGAGCTCAGTTGGTAGAGCATGAAACTCTTAATCTCAGGGACATGGGTTCAAGCCACAAACTGGGCAAAGGATTGCAAAGGGGTTGGAATTGATGATCCTTGTGGTCCTTTCCAACTCTAAAATGTTAGGATTCTCTGACATCCAGGAGTCTAGCTTTCTCCAAGGCATGTAAGGCCAGGGATAGCCAAGAAAAGAGTACATCTGAGCATGCACCATCATTTATATATCTCTATATTTATATCCTGCTTTCCTGCCTAGGAGCTCAAAAGTGGCATCAATGGTTGCTTCCCACCATCCATTTTACACTCATAAGGTTAAACCAGAAGACAGCTGTGTACACACCATACCTTTGAAGCACACCCAGAGCAAACCCCCTCCCTGAAAGAATCCTGGGGAACTATAGTTAAAGGTGCTGGGAACTGTAGCTCTGTGAGGCGTAAACTACAGTTTCCAGAATTTGTTGGTAAAGTCTGTATGCAGTCAGTGGCTGGCCCAACAAGCCACACCCAGTGGGCTTGTCTGTTCTTCTGGGGATGTGTTAAAACCTACTGCATGCTGATTTATTTATAAGCACCCGGCACCTCCAGCCAAACGCAGCTCAGAAGCAGTTCCTCCCAACCTGCCTGCTCCTTGTCAACCTTCCCTGTTTTGTCTCTCAGCAAAACCCTGTCGGATTTATCTTCACGGTCTGCCAGTGCGTGGCTAAGCTTTGGCATCCCACAAGGTGCTGGGTCATCAGTGAGATGTGGCCATCTCCAGCATTATTACCTTAAAAAAATCAAATCATGGGTTTCCCAAGGCATTTGGTGGCTGCAGAACGCTGGTCCTGGCAACCCCGTGACCACGGGATGGAGGAATGTTTTCCGCTGTAGCTCCTGTAGGGTTTTTTTAAAAATGCAATTGCTTTTGTTTAGAATGCCTTAACCGTTCCAGCATGCTTTTGCTTTGTTTTCAAGTTGCATCCTTGTTTGCTGCCGAGTAAATGGAAGGGTATAGATCCAATAAATAATAACCATTTACGCTTGATTGATAGGGACTGCCAGCATGACTCAGTGGAGGGCAAAGCGGGCCTTGGGGGGGGGGGGAATGCTGGAATGCCACAATTGACATTTCACCATTCCACATTATGTCAAAATCATCCACTTCTGATGGCTAGATAAAATCCAGGCATCTGCTTTGGTTTTCTATCAAGCCCCTACTGTGGCGCAGAAATCAAGGGATATTCAGAAGCAATTCTGCCTCAGTGACAGTCACATTAGGCTGCGAAACAACATTTCCACTTCTTGCATCCCCACCTCTTGTTAGAAGAATTAACTGTTCCCCCACATATGGCACTTGGTGGGAGTTGCCATATGTAGCTACAACTAACTTCTTTTTCTATTATTTTCTTCCTTCTCCTCTCTCTCTTTCTCCTGCTGCTGTCCTGCTGGTACCTTTAAAAAAAAACCAAAAAAACCAATTCCCTTCCAGGCAAACTTCCTGGGGGTGCATGCTAGTGCTGGTCAGGGCCAAAGGCCAAAGTGGACAGAGCAACAAATGCTAATTTTTTACCTTTGCAAAGCAGGCTAGTTCACACACTCACAGATGCCCCTCTCCATCCTCCACCCATGCAAGCAAGGGGCATCATTAGAGTTTTCAAGAACATGTTCCAGGCCAGGCAAGAGCTCTCCAGGAGGGTGCATAGCAAGGCCAGTAAGGGGGTGTGACCTGAGAAGAATCCTAAAGGGACCCGGAAGGAGACACTGAAAGATACTGGGGCCCGGAAGGAGACATTGGAGCCCCTGGGCCTGAGGCTCCCCCCCCCTAAACCCAGCAAAACTAGCATTTCCCAAGATGTTGGAAACAACATCTTTGCAATGTTGCAACAACACATCTGTGAAAAGTGGTGCCTTTGATTCTGGACCCTGTGTAGCTTGACTCAAAAGAAGGGCATAATTTGTGCTACAACTCAGCATCAGAATCTATTGTTATGAGTTTGTGGGTGCCAACTCCTTTAATCCCTGGATCTGGCAAGTGTTAGAATTTAATCAAGGCATGGGGTGTTAAGTTGCAGGTCAGACAATTCTAATCTGTGGATCCAGCAAGTGTTAGAAGTTTCATAAATCAGGCTAGCTTCCTGTGTTCATCCGATTGCCCAGGTGACAGGCCACTAGGAGAACAAAGGAAATGGGTCTCTGTGCCAGATGCAAAATGGGTGGGGCCCCTCCTCCAGCTCTTACATAGTGAGAAGGACAAACCCTGAGTTTGAGGGCAGTTTGCTGTCCTGTGAGCTAGAAGCACAAAAAGGAGTAAGCAGAGGACCGGAGAGCACTGTTGGATTTCTGCTGGAATCCAAGGTTGTGGCTATGGGAGAAGCAAGACCCTTTTGGGATGTTAATGCTGTGAGCCCCTCCATCAAAAGATATGTGTATATATGTGTAAACAAACCATCTATCATAAAAACACCACAGTCTCTGCTGTCCCACATTTCCAAAAGGAATCACAAACCCCTTGTGAGTGCCTGGAACCCCTAGAATCTTGCAGTGCTCGGAGACTGGGGTGGTGTGCAACATTATTTTGAACCATGGGGTTCTCACACACAGAGCATCCCTCCCACTTGCTTTGTCAAATCTCAGTGAAATCTCTCTTTTGCCTCTGGCTCCATCGCAGCCATGTGGCCTTGGAAGATGTGGCCAGGATGAAATGCAGCCCTTGAGCTGGAAAATGTTCTCCGCAGCTACACTAAGCCAAGCCATGGCTTAGCTCAGTGTGGTGCCGCAGCGAAACGACAATTGAGGCACATAGAATCATAGAGTTGGGAAGGACCCCGGGGGTCATCCAGTCCAACCCCCTGCAAGGCAGGAATCTTTCTGTCCAACTTGAGGCTCGAACCCACAACCCTGAGATTGAGAGTCTCATACTTTTACTGTCTTAGCTATGTACATTATAGATTTATATCCTGCCACTAGAGAACAACAACTAGAGCCCATCTAGTCCAGCGTCCTTTTCTCATAGTGGCCAAACAGATAAAGCTTCTGAAAGCGGAGGTAGAAGATAACTCCCCACCCCAACCCCAACCCAGGAAAAAGCCCAAATAAGGATCAGAAATCAAAGAAAATATGCATTTTAAAACAACTCATCAGAGAACTAGTACAAAGCCACAGAAACAGAAAACCAAATAAATCTTCAATAGCAGCTGGAGATTAAAACCGTGGCAAGAAACAGGAATTCAATCCCTTTTTTCCCCTTAAGAAAAATATTTCTGTCTTGTGCTAGAAGGCTGTAAATATTGACAGAGCTAGGTATTCAAAACATGCAGTGCCCCTCGAGTGCAGGTGAGGGACCTGCTGACAGAGGCAGATTTAGGGTAACATGACCAGTTCTGCTGCACTGGGTGCCAAGCCTAGGGAGCGCCGTAGGTTGGTACAACTATGACATCGTGAATTGAGCAGAATTTTGGCCTCACACAGGACACTGCTGAAATTTGGAAGACCAAATTCTGCCCATGCTTTGGCCCTCCAAATGATGATGGACTACAGCTCCCATTATTACTGTCATTGGCTGGGGCTTATGGGACTTGTAGTCCACTGACTGTTCTGCACTAAAGAGAAGGTCTATTTTTTGGTGCCCACAAGCTGAATCACAGAAGTCAATAGTTTTCAGAGGACCATACTCAGATGATCTCTGAGAGTGGGGGCGGGGGAGTGGGGAACAAGTGTAAAGGAGGGCAACCAAGATGATCAAGAGTCTGGAAACTAAGCCTTATGAGGAACAGTTGCAGGAGCTGGGTATGTTTAGCCTGGCAAAGAGGACACTGAGAGGAGATATAATAGCCATCTTCAAATATCTGAAGGGCTGTCACATAGAAGAGGGAACAAGTATGCTTTCTCCTGCTCTGGAGGGTAGGACTCATAGAATCATAGAGCTGGAAGAGACCACAGGGCCATCGAGTCCAACCCCCTGCCAAGCAGGAAACAAAAATTCCGCGCCCAACGTGGGGCTCGAACCCACGACCCTGAGATTAAGAGTCTCATGCTCTACCGACTGAGCTAGCCGGGCTGTTGAACCAATGGCTTCAAGTTGCAAGAAAAGACATTCTGACTAAACATGAGGAAGAACTTTCTGACAGTAAGAGCTGTTCAAGAGCTGTTTGGGAGGTTGAGGACTCTCCTTCTGTGGAGGTTTCTAAGCAGAGGTTGGATGGTCATCTGTCATGGCTGCTTTAGCTGAGATTCCTGTGTTGCAGGGGGTTGGACTAGATCATGGGTAGGCAAACTAAGGCCCGGGGGCCAGATCTGGCCCAATTGCCTTCTAAATCCAGCCCGCAGATGGTCCGGGAATCAGCATGTTTTTACATGAGTAGAATGTGTGCTTTTCTTTACAATGTTATTTGTGGGGTCTGCCTGGTGTTTTTTCAGGAGGAGAATGTGTGCTATTATTTAAAATGCATCTCTGGGTTATTTGTGGGGCGTAGGAATTCATTCTTCTTCTTTTTTCCAAAATATAGTCTGGCCCCCCAAAAGGTCTGAGGGACAGTGGACCGGCCCCCAGCTGAAAAAGTTTGCTGACCCCAAGACTAGATGACCCTTGGGGTCCCTTCCAACTCTATGATACTATGATCCAGAAGCAGGCAGGCCTTGCAATACCTTGTTCTCAAACCACATTATAAAAGCTCTCAACGTTTTAAACACCAGCATGCTAAGAAAACATAAACAAAAAAAACCACTGGAATGTAAATTATTTTGTTGATTTGCTTCAGCTATTGTGATCTTTAAACTTAAAGGCCTAAGGAGTCTAAAGTGTAAAAAAACAACCAAAACACCCCACAACACATAGAATTGTAGATCACCTACTCCAACACGCCCCCCCCCCCGCTGTGCAGGAATATGCAGCTGTTCCATAGGGGGATTGAACCTGCAGCCTTGACATTATCAGCACCACAGCCCAACCAACTGAGCTATCGAGGTGTAAGAGAACGAACTTGAATAAGAAATCCTTCTGCCCCAAAATGAACTTAAATCACATTCCTTTCAATCGACAGTTATGGGAGATACTTTCAGCTGTAATTCAGAGATTATTCAGTGAACATCATTAATCAGAATTTCTTCAAGCAGTGGTACTAACAACCTAACTTGGGCCACATTCATACAATACAGTTAAAGCCCTATGATACCACTTCAAACAGCCTTGGCTTTCCCACATATAACTATGGGAACTGTACTTTGCTAAGGGTGTTGAGAGATGTTAAGAAACCCCATTCCCCTCCAGAACTGCAATTCCCACAGCTCCCTCTGAAGAGGGATTGACTGTTAAATCACTCTAAGATTTGTAGGTCTGGGAGGGGAGCAGTCCTAACAACTCTCAGCTCCCCTCAACAAATTGCAGCTCCCAGAATTATTGGGGCGGGGGCGGGGAACCGTGACTGTTTAAAGTGGTATCGTGGCGCTTTAAATGCGTGGCGTGAATGTGGCCGTGGTATGAGGCAGCTACAAAGGGTTGGCACTTACCTCGACTTTAAGTGCAGCACACCCGTTTAGGAACTCCTCGATGTTGCCAATGCAGTCGGCTTCTGTCCTGGGCTCCCGGCAAAACTAAAGAGAGAAATTTTTTTTGCAAAAGGTTAGGGGGAAAAAACATCACCTATAGGAGCAGCGAGAAAGAGATTACGAGCCCTTCGCGGCTCCTTCTCAGCAGCAAAGCCAGAGAAGATGTTAGACCGCTTGTTGGCAATAAGGCAAGCTTGCTGCTGGATGGATTTTGCAGAAGAAGGTGGAGTGCGGCGTGGGTGGCGGGCGGTAGAAAGGAGGGAGGGAGGCAAGCTGTCAGCCCAGGAAGAACAAACAGGCAACAGAGCGAGCGAACCAAAAAGCGACAAGCTCACATCCCTGCTCTGAACGTCAGAGGGTGACACTGATGGCCCCTGAAGATCTCCCCTCCTCCTGCCCAAATTGCAGCCGGATCCTTTCAGAAACGGGTGGACCAAGAGATGGGGAAGGGGGGGGAGAGAAAAGAACCCCAAGAAATAGTTGCGAGTTTAATTAGTAATTAGGGGAGGGGGCAAACAGAGGCGCTTCCTCTGCAAGGCATGATTTGTGTGTCTGTCTTTCTTTTCGAAATTTATATGCCACTTCACAGTGAAGGTGTTTGCCTGAGGTGAATAGGCAGGGAGTTCCAAACGTGCAGGTGCTGCCACTCTAAAATATCAATTACCGGTACTTATAAATGTGGAAGGAGTGTTACGAGGCACCTATACAGTGCCAGTTGTCCTTGAAGATGCCTTGGGCAATGCATATTTATTTATTTATTTATTTATTTATTTGTATGTTGGTTCCCCCCACCATGGTTTTCCCCACCCACATTATATCCACACAACAACCCTAAGAGGCAGGTTAAGGCAGGGGCAGACTTGGGTAATATGGTGCCCTGAGCAAGGGCAAAACTTGGCACCATCCCTAAATATTTTCCCAGTGATTCCTTTTGGCACTGTTGCTTTTTAAAATTGATATTCTCAGTAGGTCCCCATATAAATATAGGGTTTTTTATCACTATCATTATTTTGCAGCCCTTGGCTTGGTGCCCTTTGTGGAGGGACCACCCGTACCGCCTTAAATCCGATTTGGACATCCCACCAGATGTCACAGAGATAAACAACTACCTGACTTTCATAAGACACCTGAAGGCAGCCATTCCCTGTGTAGGGAAATTTTTTAATATTTGATGTTTACTGTGCTTAAAGTTTTTAATTTGTTGGAACCTACCCAGAGCAGCTGGGAGAGACAGTGATTGGCCGAAGGTCACCCAATGAACTTCTTGACCAAGTGGGGATTTGAACCCTGGACTCCCAGGTCATAGTCTGACATTCAGATTGATGCACCACGTTGGGGTTTTTTTTATGCTGAACCACAAGATGTACTGTAGCTAGATTGTTGAAGGAGACCAAAAGAATGTAATACTGTATACATGCGCTGTTTTTTAACCTTGAAAGGCTTTTAAGGTCACAGAGACACAGATATCAGAAAAGCCCATGTTCTCACATGAATATGCTAGATGATTGCTGCTCTTTTTAGTATATTGTGGGCCTATTTTAAATTGTTCTTTTATTCTGTTCCTGATTCATTTTTTAAAAAAAGACTTGAAGGGTCGGGTAGATATTTTTCTCATGCACAAAGACTGTGTACAAACTATATTCTTCACAGAACATTTGAAGCACATCCTCCCCCCGCCCCCAAAAATTATGGGCACTGTAGTTTTGCACTTACAGAGTTACCATTCCCAGCAGTTAACAAACTATAATGCCCAGAATTCTTTGAAGGAAAGAATGTGCTTTGAATGATTGTCAGAAGCCCTTTCACTGAGGCAGACCATCAGAGAGTAGCTGCATGGTGAGCTGAGAGGGGTGAAGCAGTAAATTTTGAAATACAGGAGGTCCTTGTGATGCCCACCTCCCATAGCCATTCTTCCAAGGAAAGTCCAAAAATGCCGCTGGTTGCCTTAGTCTATTGTTACCCTCATAAACACCGCAGATAAGTACATAGCATAGCCCCCAATTTATAAGGATCTGCATGACTGAAATCATATGCAGAAATGCCTAGGAGTAACCTTCACTGAACTCCCGGGTGCTTGTTCCTAACACCCAGTAAGTTCAGTTTTCAAACACCTTGAGCTTTAACAAAATGCCACTTTTAGCTTTTGAATGGGAATGCAAACAATCAGCAACAAAGTGCTATCCTTTAAAATGCTGGTGTGAAGTAGGAACGCCATTAAAGACAATGGAATTTAGGATCCAGACTTCTCTCCTTGCATTCTGAGTTTGTCTGCTCCAATCTGCCAAAAACAAACTTGGAAGTCTCATTATCATCCCATTCTCTTGCCAGAGCAAGGAAGATCAGCCAGTTATCCTGATTGATACACCAGCAGATGATGTTATCCCTCCTGCTCTAAAAGGAACCCAGAAGTGGTCACTAAACCATTGGAGGTCAGCTATGATTCCCTGTTTTGTTGTTGTTTAGTCGTTTAGTCGTGTCCGCCTCTTCGTGACCCCATGGACCAGAGCACGCCAGGCACTCCTGTCTTCCACTGCCTCCCGCAGTTTGGTCAGACTCATGTTTGTAGCTTCGAGAACACTGCCCAACCATCTCATTCTCTGTCGTCCCCTTCTCCTTGTGCCCTCAATCTTTCCCAACATCAGGGTCTTTTCCAGGGAGTCTTCTCTTCTCATGAGGTGGCCAAAGTATTGGAGCCTCAGCTTCACGATCTGTCCTTTCAGTGAGCACTCAGGGCTGATTTCCTTAAGAATGGATACGTTTGATCTTCTTGCAGTCCATGGGACTCTCAAGAGTCTCCTCCAGCACCATAATTCAAAAGCATCAATTATCCGGCGATCAGCCTTCTTTATGATCCAGCTCTCACTTCCATACATCACTACTGGGAAAACCATGGCTTTAACTGTACGGACCTTTGTTGGCAAGGTGATGTCTCTGCTTTTTAAGACGCTGTCTAGGTTTGCCATCGCCTCTCTCCCAAGGAGCAGGCGTCTTTTAATTTCGTGACTGCTGTCACCATCTGCAGTGACCATGGAGCCCAAGAAAGTAAAATCTCTCACTGTCTCCATTTCTTCCCCTTCTATTTGCCAGGAGGTGATGGGACCAGTGGCCATGATCTTCGTTTTTTTGATGTTGAGCTTCAGACCATATTTTGCGCTCTCCTCTTTCACCCTCATTAAAAGGTTCTTTAATTCCGCCTCACTTTCTGCCATCAAGGTTGTGTCATCTGCATATCTGAGCTTGTTGATATTTCTTCTGGCAATCTTAATTCCGGCTAGGGATTCATCCAGCCCAGCCTTTCGCATGATGAATTCTGCATATAAGTTAAATAAGCACGGAGACAATATACAGCCTGGTCATACTCCTTTCCCAATTTTGAACCAATCAGTTGTTCCATATCCAGTTCTAACTGTAGCTTCTTGTCCCACATAGAGATTTCTTGTGGAGCATTTTTTGGAGGAGAATATGCCTGATGTCAGCTCCCAATGTGCTGGGTGACCACCCTTTCTATTTACCCAGATCTTAAAAAGCATTTGAACACTTTCCTTTTTTAGCTGCTGGTGTTGCTGTTTCCTAAAGCTGTTTAGTACATTGGTTTTGTACTTTTTGGTTGTTGTTGTTGCTTCATTCGTCATGTTGCATGTTCCCCTGGGGGGAAGCAGGTTCGTCCTCAAATAGAAGACAATTGTGTTCCACTGCAGCACCTGCAGTTGCCTCACTCTGCCCAATGGTAGGGCCAGCCCTGAGGGGGGGGGTTTCTAGTCCTACCTGTTGAGGACTGAACCTGGGACAATGTGCATTAGGACCATGAGTTTGCTGCTAAAGTGAAGAAAAGCTCAGTCCCCACAGCAAGGCTCTGGGCAGCAGCAGCAGCCTCGAGGCTGCAAAGGTATGCTTGCAAGCAAGACATGGCGAAATCTCAGAAGCCACAGGCATTGCTTAATAATAGCTCCATTGCTTAGAGGGGTGGGGGATAGGGCTGTGTCCTGCAGCAGCCTGCAGCCTGCCTGCCTGCCTGCCTTACACACACACACACACACACACTTCTTCTTTCTTCTTCTTTGGCAATCACTCGTAGCTGAGTAAGATTGTCTTCCATAAACACAGTTTTAAAAATGAGTCTGTAAGTGACTGTGGAGGCCAATTCTGGATCCACACGTCCTTCCACAGTGGGGACATTGGTTTCCGGGCGGGAGCTGATCACGGTGTGGATTTGCCAAGCGTGCCTTCCTCTTAGCACGTTTATCCCTTGCGTCCTGAGTTCGAGTGCCTTCAAAGCCCATGACACCTTTGGTAAAGGCTGTTCTCCAACTGGAGCACCACTGCTTCCCAGTTGTCAGTGTTTATACTACATTTTTTTAGATTTGTCTTGAGACAATCTTTAAACCTCTTTTGTTGACCACGAGCATTATGCTTTCCATTTTTAAGTTTGGAATAGAGTAGTTGCTTTGGAAGACAATCAGAATTAACAGAAGCAGTAAAATAGTAACGGTTTTCTGAGCCAGTATGACAGATAAAGAGGAAACCACACATATCCAGGATCCTGCTTTAGGTCACCAGAGTGCAGATTTTGTAATTATTATTTCTTGCAGTTAATTTGATTTCTTACCCACCCTCCACCATGAGGTCTCAGGGCTGGTTGCAGCAATTTACAAGTACAACATTAAATACAGTTTCAAACTAATTGTGCAATATAATTGGGCTTTCCTCTCAGCTAGGAACATAGGAAGCTGCCTGATATTGAACCAGACCTTTGGTCCACCCAGCTCAGTGTTGTCTACACTGGCTGGCAGCAGCTGTGCAGGTTTTCAGGCAGCAGACATTCCCAGCCCTATCTGAAGATGCCAGGGGTTGAACCTGGGACTTTCTGCATGCAAAACCGATGCCATATCTCTGAGCTGCGCGCGCGCACACGCACACACACACAGCCTTGCTCTTGAGCTTCCTTCCATGACAACAACAAAATTGTCTAGGATGCCGATCAACCAACCACTACCTTGAATGTTTCTGTCCCGCCCCAGACCCTCACATCCTTTTATGGGGCATTTCTCAAGTATACAGGCCTGCCCTTGAGGTATACATTTAGCCAATCAGAGTGATTTTGCAGCTAAAAGGTTCCCTTTTTTGGAGAACAGGGAGGAACTTGGAAGGCAACAGCCAAGGACAGGCTGGGTGGGTGAATATTTACTATCCCTTCTTGCTAACCGTCTTTTATTGCACTGCTGTTTCCTCTTTCCTGCCAAGTTCTTTCCATTTTGCCTTTCCAAATATTGCTGATTGAGGCTGCGACCCACAGATCCTCCTGTACAGCTGGAATGGGGAGGGGGGCTTATGATGTTGCTTACGCTGCTGCTATATGTGCTATTCTCCACCAAACTCCAATCTCATTGCCTTGTTTCCCCACTGCCATCTGAACTGCTGCATTTCCAAACATTACAGCTGCTGAAAGGCTTTACCTATGCCACATAGGTGGTGTCTGTTTGACCTCTGCATGCTGCAGTTCTATAGAAGATGTCCTTGACCCTCTGATATGCCAGTGACACGGATCATGTGCAAAAACTACATAGCCTCCAACATTTCTTCAATGAAAATAGGGACATCCTACCATACCTTCCAACATTTCTCTAATGAAAATAGGGATGTCCCACCATACCCTGTAGGGCTTGCCGATCAAAAGGTCACCAGTTCGAATCCCTGCAACGGGGTGAGCTCCTGTTGCTCTGTCCCTGCTCCTGCTGACCTAGCAGTTCAAAAGCACGTCAAAGTGCAAGTAGATAAATAGGTACCACTGTGGCGGAAAGGTAAACGGTGTTTCCATGTGCTGCTCTGGTTCGCCAGAAGCGGCTTAGTCATGCTGGCCACATGACCCGGAAGCTGTACGCCGGCTCCCTCGGCCAATAAAGCGAGATGAGCGCCGCAACCCCAGAGTCGGCCACGACTGGACCTAATGGTCAGGGGTCCCTTTACCTTCACCATACCCTCCAATATATTTATCTGATGCAAATAGGGACTTCCTAAGAAAAAGCAGGACATTCCGGGATCAAATCAGAAACCGGGAAGGCTTCTCTAAATCTGGGAGTGTCCCTGGAAAATGGAGACACTTGGAGGTCTGACAGCACCCAGCGCCTACCTACCAGCCAGCAACAGCTCATCTTTTCATTCACGTTAATCATCCTACGCAGTTGCCCTGGGATGCAGAAGGAGATAAGCTTCAAAGCCAGGTGCTTTGCAAAAGAGCGTTGACATTATACTCAGTGACACAGCTGGTGAAAACAGGAAAACAGGATGTGTATTAAGAAAAATATATCTGATTACCCACCCTGATCCATTCCTTCCCTCAAGTTCCCTGCCTCTTGGATTCATTTCTGCAACACTAGCCTCTGCAGGGAGAGGGCTGCTGTTAAATGGACCACAATCATTTTCTTTAAAAATGGGTTTGGGTACCCCTGACTGCAGCACCAGCCATGACCCTTGTGACTTTTCAAACCAGTAAGCCCCACTGAATACAGTGGGAAGTATGTCCAAACAAACATGCATAGGGTCTCATGTTTTTAAGGGTGCTTAGGCTGCAGTCCTAATGACACCCACCTACTGGAAAGTGGATTCCATTGAGTGGGATCGCTGTTGAGGATTGCACTGTTAAAATCACAATCGACTTGATTGCATCAATAATAATAATAATAATAATAATAATAATAATAATAATAAATTTTTATTTATACCCCGCCCTTCCCGGTTCAAAAACCAGGCTCAGGGAGGCTAACAACAAATTTAAAACACTTAATTGTAAAAGCAGCATAAAATACAGTATAAAAACACGAATAACAATAAAATTCAAAGTTCAGAAATCAATTTTGGGTAAATCCATCTAATAAGCATTAGATAATCCCCAGGGCTAGCTGGCTGAATTTGTCCAACTTGGGCCAGCGAGGAGGCCAGGGGAGAATTAGCTGTGGGGTCTCAGAGCAGGTAATCTTCATAAAAGGGGAGGGGGAGGGGGAGGGAAGAGAAGGGAAGGGAAATAAAAGATCAGGCTGAATTCAAATTAAAGGCCAGGCGGAATAGCTCCGTCTTACAGGCCCGATGGAAGGAGGTTAAATCCTGAAGGGCCCTGATCTCATGGGACAGAGCATTCCACCAGGTTGGAGCCATCACCGAGAAGGCCCTGGCCCTGGTGGAGGATAGTCTGACTTCCTTAGGGCCCAGGACCTCTAAACTATGGTTATTCATGGACCTTAAGGTCCTTTGAGGGGGAGAGCAGGAGGCAGTCCCGTAAATACGAGGGCCCTAAGCCACAGTCAGTCGCAAAAGTGTTTTCAGGGCTGCACAAAATGACAAATGGCTCGTAGAAGAGAATCCAGGTGTCTCTCTGTGTGCACAAGGCCCTTTGGGTCATTGGAATCCCTTAGAGCTTTTGAGCCATATGGTTGCAAACATACCGGCAAGACAGAGCCGTGCAGTGAGATAATTTTAGGCTTTGGACATAAGGAGGGCCTTATGGAGGACTCCTTCTTGGATGGCAATGTGCATAACTCCAAAATGTGACAAGCCACCAGTCCTGCTGCATGGAGGATACTTCCTGCTCATTCTGCAGAAGAGTGACCTCAATGACTCCGCTCCAAAGTCTTGCCCTGGCGGTGCCACTGCAAGGCATAGGCAGCTGCCTTTCACCAGGCCAGGAATTTGCCCATCACATCACTTGCTACCACATCAAGACCTCCTGCATGCAAAGCGTCAGTTCTGCCATAGAGCCACCAATTGGTATTGCTTTTCATTACACATGCAAATGGATCTGGCCATGCATCACATCCACAACCAATGCATGGTGATCTACGGAGGGATCTGTCTCTGCAATAGCTCAGCCAATACAGCATAAGACTCTACAGGGTCATGGTTTTGAGCCCTGTGTTGGGCACGGGGTTGGGGAGTGGATTAGATAACCCTCAGGATCCCTTCCAATCATTCTATGATTCTTTAAGGTGATTTCAGTAAATGTGCACAACTTCTCACAGTGTACCATTCAAAGAGATAATAGTGTGGTTGTGTATTTTGTTGATTATTGCTTCTTACACGTTATGAAAATAAGTTAACAATATACATGGTGGTGGTGGGGGGAAATCCTATGCCATAGAGCAATAGTCCCTATCTGGAAAACACAAAGGACAACCTCAATGGAAAGATTTTGGTGCCTGGACAGATTCACATGGAGGTAAGCAGGCCTTTGGGTAACCTTGTCCATAGCCCTTAAAAGGGTAAAACCAGGGCTGGAAGCAATCAATACAGATCAATAACTTATGAAGCTTCAAGACCAGAGGTCCACCTGCCTCAATATTGTCTCCACCAGCAGTGGGAACCTCCAGCCATGAGCCGCATTTGGTCCAGTAGGAGTCCCAATTTGCTCTGGGAGCCTGTTCTCCCATCTCTATCTGGGCCACACACAGCTAGGAACAGTGAATAAATCTTAATTCAGTTCATGTCTAAAGGTGAACCTACCTAAGTTGCACTTTCTGAAACGTAAACACAACCATGTGTACACATTGCTCATAGTGGTGTAAAATGTGCTTCAGAATTTCATGCATTTTTATTTCTTGCATTTGTATTTTATTAAATACAAAAAACGCATTATACAGTGGTACCTCGGGTTACATACGCTTCAGGTTACATACGCTTCAGGTTTCAGACTCCACTAACCCAGAAATAGTGCTTCAGGTTAAGAACTTTGCTTCAGGATGAGAACAGAAATCGTGCTCCAGCGGCGCGGCGGCAGCGGGAAGCCCCTTTAGCTAAAGTGGTGCTTCAGGTTAAGAACAGTTTCAGGTTAAGAACAGACCTCCGGAACGAATTAAGTACTTAACCTGAGGCACCACTGTATTTTGACCCGCAAAAGTGTGTATATTAGGACAAACCCACAGTACAATGTTGGCAGATTTCCAGACGGACTTCAAAAGGATTTCTTGCCATTACAAACAGATATGGAAATGTGGAGAACTGAACTCAAGAATGGAAGAAGGATAAATCGACAGAACCTGGATTTGACAAGATTTGCCCAACCCCTATACCTCATCATCATATGCAACATCAGGTATGAGGGTTGGTAGAGAGACGGCTGCAAAAGTACAGCCGGGAACTTTAAAGTGCACTCACACATGTCTAGCTGGGGCTAGTTCATAGAATAACAGAATTGTAGAGTGGAAAGGATCCCAAAGGTCCCATAGTCTACACCCCTGCAATGTAGGAATCCCAACTCAATTTCTGCTTTAAAATCTCCACTGAAGGAGAGTCTATCACCTTTTGTGGGTGTCTGTTCTACCAATGGCTCTTACTGTCAGATAGTTCTTACTGAATCTTTTGTAACTTGAATCCATTGGTTTGGGTCCTAGCCTCTGGAGCAGGAGAAAGCAAGCTTGCTCTACCTTCCATGTGACAGCCCTTGAGATATTTGAAGATGGCTATCCTTTCTCCTCTCTGTCTCCTCTTTTCCAGGCAAAACATACCAATTTCCCCAACTGCTCCTCATAAAGCTTGATTTCCAGATCATCTTGATTTCTCTTGATCATCTTGGTCACCCTCCTCTGCACATTTTCCAGCTTGTCAAGATTTCAGGTGTGGTATGACAATGCAGAATAGAGCGGTATCTTGATCTGGATGCTATACTTATGCTGATGCAGCCTAGAACTGCATTAGCTTTTTTTGCTGCTGCATCACACTCTTGACTCATGTGAAGCTTTTGGTCTATTAAGATCCCCAGCTCCTTTTCACATGTACTGCTTACAAGCCAGGTGATCTGTGCAACTGGTTCTTCCTGCCTAACCAGTGCCAGATTACCAAATGGGCAGAATAGACACTGGTCAATAAGCCCCATGCCTTGTAGGAGCCCCGTAACAATGGATCAAAATAATATTGATTTGATCTTGAAAGAAAATTACAATCAAGCTTTCTTAGTTCCATGTTACGCCAACAAGAAGGGGACCCCCGAGATTTCAACTGCCTAGGGGCCTCCACAGGGTTTAATCCAACACCTTACCTAAGTGTAGAACCTTACATTTGCCCCTACTGAAATCCTCCCAGAAGCCAATTTCCTTCCTGTGTCCAATCAGTGGGTCTTGGGGAGGGATCAGTTGCATTTGGGATCCCTCAGCCTAGTCAGTTAGAGGCAACAGAACTAGGAAAGCCGTCTCTGCCAGAGGCCCCAGAAAGCTACTGGTCGAGGAAATAATGTGACCTGTTATAAAGCAGATGCTTATGTCTCAAATTCTCATATCACCACCTTCCATGAAATCAATAGACACAAATAGGCAAACCACTGTTTTCTCAGCTGCATTACTGCCCCCCTCCTTTCTGCAATTTGGAGATAACAACACCACCACCAGCCTACTTTACAGGGCTATTGCAAAGTTTTATAACTGCTGTTATGAAAAGCATTTTTTTTTTATATGCCAAGACACCTTAGTCACTCTGGTGGCTGATTCTGACAGCAGCTTTAACCCAGTTGACAAAGCATTGGCTGCTTCTATGCAGTCTGGGGCTTGTTGTCTTAGTGTAGCAGGCCTGTTGTTGCTCCCATACTAGCAGAGTAACGCAACCACTGCATGCCAGGACCATGCCTATCATCATCAACTTCCTTTTCTTCTTGCAAATATTAAAGTTTGTTGGAAAGAACCAGGGGTTCAGATTTAAAGCAATGGCCACATCCTTGCAGCAGGGCACTGGAAAATATATAGGATCACTCCCAAATGGTACCTCTCCTACAAAGCCCAGAATAAACTTTCATGGTCTTACCTTTCCTACAGATCCTGGAAGAAGACGGTGAAGCAGTTTGCACAGAACGACCCCATCTTTCAGAGACGTTTTCAGGAACTGCACAGGGTCGTCAATAATCATTTTGGGAGAATTTAAAGCCCCCAGAGAAATCAGCCAGGTTACGATTTGCTCTTCTGGATTCATGGTTGAAGATTTAGTGTCTTCAGCTTTGCAGATCTTGCATGCAACGATGCCTAACCCACATCCGTGACTGTATCTTCCTGCTTCTACTGGAGTGAGCAGAGCAGCAGCAGAGGTTACCGTACTTACTGCTCTGCACTTAAAGCCACAAATGGATTGATTGTGGGGGGTTGGGGGAGGTTACCAGAAACGGACTTTTCTCTGACTGGTGGAACAGGTTTGTGTGCATTTGCATGATAGTTTCTGGTCTTCTACGATAACTTCAGAAGAAGTAGGAAGGGGAAGAGCTTTTGTGACGGATGTTTTGCTGTAAGTATAGAGGTGCTCTTATCCTGCATCTCTCAAATGTTTACTTTGCATGCCGCCTAACATAAAACAGAGACCTTGACTACTCTTGCAGCAGAATGAGCCAGTAGAGGGGATCATGGGAGATGCCCTTGAGTATTCCCCTGTGCAAAAATAATAAAAAGCTCACCAGCAAGCAAGTTAAGCTCAGCCTCAGCCTTGCTGCACTAGCTTTTTAAATGCAGGGCTCTTTAAATGCAGGAATCAATTAAAAATGTGGTCCCCTGCCTGCAGTCCTTAGGTGATACAGGGAAGTCTACCTCAGTCCCTGTCACCTCATTCTCACTCTGTTCTGCTCAGCAGATAGACCTGCACAGGAAATGTTAAAGAAGTGTTATAACTTTCAAGACAGCAGCCATCTTTTAAGAAACTATATTTAAGGCAGCTGTAATTCTGTTTCAGTTTGAAATAAAGTATGTTTTTTAGGCATCAGCTCACAAAACACACAAAATTTGCATTTAAAGTCAACATATCCGCTCCTGCTGTATACTCCCTAAAATTGTAATGTGTGGACACAGGAAACATCTATCGGACAGCTTTGGTTCAAACTCACTATTGACTGCACTTGAGGGCAAACTCAGCAGGTATTCCTTTGCATAAGCCACCACACATGCAGGTTAGTGGTTTGTTGTTGAACTCCAGCTCCCATGACAGGTTACAGCTGCCAGCATGGCCAATCACTAGGGATGGAAGTTGTAGTCCAGCAACATTTGGAGGCCAAGAGATCCCTTGCCCAGTGTGTAAAGAATGCATCCACCTGTGCACATTAACACAATGCAAAAATATGTGTACCTAATCCCAATTTAAAGGGGAACTCAGACCCAGACCAAATATGCTGGGCAAGGTAGAAAAATGAACAGATAATTGCTCTTTAGATCCACTCTGTTACCCTAAACCAGGGGTGGGAACCTCAAACCCAAGAACTGAATGTGGCCCTTCAGACCTATGCACCCCCTGAGACTCTCACCAGGCCTGTTCTCGTGTTTTATACTAGAATGCATGGCTGAACAAAGCCTTGTCTCTTGTAGGCCTGGATGGAGATGTGTAGAAATGTCTAGACTTATGAGTCTATACAAGCTAGAAAAGGGCACATAATTTATTGCTAGGACAGTCCCAAATATGTGGGCAATATATGACATATTGCAAAACCTGTTTTTAGTGAAGTGTGATGGCATTGATGCAAAATTGTTTTAAAGTGTTTATAGACTTGGTCAACACCATTTTTTCCTAACAGGATTTCTTCCCTTGCCTTTTAAGAAACACATTTCTCAGCTTAGCAGCAGCACATCCTACTTTGTAATGCACATGGCACATCTAATGGTCGCTTACAGCTGTTTTTAAAACAGCAGCAGGCTCTGTCTTCCTTTCTTCAGTTACCCCCTCAAAAACAGCAAGCAGTTTACAATTCCACAATAGTAGTGCTGACTACATTAAACCGGACTGGTCTCCACTGAAATTCAAGCATCAGTACTGTAGTTATTGCTAAGATTGTCTGGGTAGTCAATTTCTTGGGACTCTCCTCTGCTGCAGCACTATAGCTCAATTCTTGTCTAAGGACAGGCTGTAAATGTTGTGGAGCCACACTCATGTAAGCACTGAACCTCCAAGCTCCTCTCTACTTTCGCACCTGTAAGAAGCGGTTCAGACAAAGCATGAGCTACAAAAGGCCTTCTCTTGCCCATCACTGGAGCTTTCTTCAGAAGTTAAGCTCAGTATGAGGGATTAAAAATATGTATGAGACCCCCCCCACACAGGGGCCTCGCCTCCTCCACCGAGCAAGATCTGATGCTCCCAAGGGTGTCTAGCAGAATATGCAATTACCAACATTCCAAATTCAGGAGAAGTTTAGAAGTCTCTTTCAGACCTCTTGGCTCATATAGGAAGGTTGAGGGTTGAATCAGCAGGGACTTATTGAGGTTAGTGCGCTCCCTAAATTTCCTCCATCCACTTGAGTTTGGCCTATGTGGCACTGTGCTTCATTCTGAAACTAGTGCCCTCATTTAAAAGACAAACAACTTTGAAACAATGAAACGAGTCTTAGAAAAATGAACATTTTTATTCCAACAATGGATTTAATACAATTATCTTGATTAGTGGAACTTTAAAGTTGTCAGAATCTCCATTTTGGGGTTGGGACCTTTTTCTGGTTGACATGTCTGTTTGAACAAGGCAACTTCTTACATTTGTAACAGTAGCTCACTTGGAACCACAAGAAAGACACCCCAAGTTTTCTTCATTACCAATCTTCACACCTTTTTCAGAACCCTTTTTTTCAAAACACATGCAATTTTGTGCTTCCTGAAAATGCTCTAGAGAACACCTGAGGCATGTTTATTTCATTTGCCTTCTAGCTCTAAACATTAATTTGCCAAGCTGTAAAAATTATCCTACATCTATCATAGATAACACTTCAGCTTGCCTCATACCAAAGACTCAAATACAATGTTACAAGCATTTAACTTGCAGGATTTGAGTCATTTTTACAAACTTTGTTTTTAAAATTTTCAATAAACAAAACATAACATACATGGTTGAAGACTCCTGGTTGAAATCCTGCAAAGTGAAAAGTAAGCAAGGCAGAGAGCTCTTTTTTTGCATTGGGTTAAAGGCTCTCTGCCTTGCTTGGGATGGGGGTGTTGAAGCCCTCTTGGCATGCCAGCTCTGGAAACCCCGGGATGCTCAAGTGTGTGGGAGTTCCACAGGCTAGAGAGTAAGTGTTTTTGCGTATATATGGAACCCCTGGAACCAAACTCCTCCAGAAGATGTGATCATATAGTATTGTACTGCCAGAGTAGCACATTACATGCCAACAACTTTTGCTACACAGTATTTGTAAGAGGACACAAACAATCTGTATCCAGCTGTTTCTGACATTTAGGCCTCTTCCTCTTCTCTTCTATGAACATCCAATGCTCACAGCAATGACTGACACTGGCATTTAAGATCTGACTTCCCTCTGAAACGTCTTCATTAAACACTGCAGACATATTTAAGCTGCTCAGCAGCTGCATTCTCCATGGGCATCCATTCCTCAAATGTCAGCCACAATTAACCTTGTACCTAAGATGAAAAGAGTAACATTAGCTGTGTCTCAAAAGCAAGTTATCAAAAAACTATGATTTGCTCAGGGACAGTCATGACTAGGTATGCTTTGATGCAGATAACAAACTCAAAATACAGACTGTATAAACTACTATGGTCTGCAACTCAACACTTTTATCAAGTGTTATTTTACAGTCGGAAGCGGACACATGATCCTTAAGGGATAGAAGAGGCTTCCTCTAAAAAGCCAAACCCAAACACATTAGATACTCAAGGATCCTTATTAGGTGCAATGTGACTGCTGAATCCTTATTCTGCTCACTGCTAATGTTTATTTTTTGCAACTGTTTAGCTATGGCAGGCATAGGCAAACTTGGCCCTCCAGATGTTTTGGGACTACAACTTCCCTCATCCCTAACAGGACCGGTGGTCAGGGATGAGGGGAGTTGTAGTCCAAAACATCTAGAGGGCAGTGTTTGCCTGTACCTGAGCTGTGGCATCTGCCCACTACCTTTCCTTTTGGGTGGGGTGGGGGAGAGAGAGAGAACTGAAGTGTTGTTGTTTTTAATTCCGGCAAGCTTCCCTAGTTGGATGACTATGTCTTTGCCACGGACGTCTTGCTATTTTTCTGCTGTTTTTATTTTATTTCATACATCACCTTGGGACGTATGTGGAAGGTGAAAAATAGTAATACTCCCAAGACTACTGAACAGCATGTCTGAAATCCTGGTCAAACAGTTTTCATCAGAGATTAAAGTCTACAGCTTTCTATGCCACCATTATGGGCATTCCAGGTATCAGGGCAACAAGTGAACTGAACCCTGACAGCATATTTAACTCATTTACACTGGTATTGAAGTCACCATTCCTAGCAGAGCCTCTCCAAAGCTTGAACTTGTATCAGTGGCATCTGCATATTCTTTTACCGAAATGCCATTCACAGCTTCCCTTTAAAAGAAATCTAGTTTATTCTCTCCTCTTCCTTCAGAAATTTGCAAAGGCTAGATTCCAAAACAGGGTGGTTATTTATTTACCCAAATTGAGCAGCCAAGAACTCACCACAAATTTCACTGAAGGTATCAGCAATTTAAGTTGTACATTCTATCTGCCCATCTTTAATTTGCAAAAAGTATGAAGTATTCCTAACATTGCATCCATCCACAGCTTACCTGTTGTACTATTAGAGTAGAAACCCATGTTGTCCACCAGCACTGCCATGCACCAGGTCACATCTTAAAAACAGCAGTCATCCTGCAACAATTAAAACAGGCATGAAAAATTATTCTAGCACAAACTGCCCAAGCCCCTAACCACCCCCAGAAACACAGCAAGAACCCCTGTGTTTGCCAATTAACCTGCTTCAAGCACTAATGCTTTAAGTTTGAGAGGTGGAAGGTTCACTGGATTGGAATGAACTGGAATGGCTTATGGATTCTCATTTCCTTTCCAATGGTGCTTTTCATGGTAAATCCATAACTTGACTGGCATATGTTTTGAGGATTATAGCAGAACTTTAGTTGGAGGTCTTCAAGTCTTACTACATTTCAAGAGCATCTTTTGGACTTCCTGGCTGCACCTGGGTCATGACAACTTGCCACAGGTTCTGCTATTTGTATCAAAACTGCCCACCCGACTTAGTACAAAGAAGTCAGGCATCCAACTAAACATCAGGTTCGTATTAACGGCTTGTCTGAAATTCCCCAAGCTGGTATAGATTTTGGCTATTTAAGCCAATTTCTGATTTGTTAGCATTTTAATTTCCTACTATAGTATAGTACAAGCAGTTGTTGTTTTTTAAGTTCTTCATTGAAACATAGTGGGCAAAAAATAACCCCTCCCAACCCTTTAAAGAAATGTTTGTCTACAGTGAGTTGCTTTCTTAGTGTTGCTTTCAAAAGCTTTGTGCCATACAGTTTCATCTAAGATAAGGTTATGTTGAATTTGTAAGGCTTCGCCTAAGGCTATCCAGCAGTTTTTCCATTGGGTGCTGCTTTAAAATTTAAAAGCTTCCATTGCCATGATGTACAGCATGTCCTACCGTATTTAAGGACAGTAGTTCTGGTTTCAGTTTGACTAGACTGAAAAACTAGTTTGCTTTGCTTACCATCTTTGCTGTTTCACACGCATTTGATGCTTTAAATCTGTTGTGGAATGCTGAAAGTTGAAACTTGTTTATATGAAGCCATAAGCCTTTCAGAAGTTGGAGAGAAAGACTTCTTTGCTTATCTTATTTTCTCCATTTTGCCTTTGGAGTCAAAGATGTTCCTTTAAAAATGAGACACTACAGGATTGCAAAAATTTGAAACAGTAAGAGCAAGTACCGTTTTGCAGCTTCTTTGATGGAACTGGCCAAACCTCTTACTTACAGATCTGTAGCTTGCTTACTACAGGTTAATGTTATTTTGGGGGGTGATGTTCTTGCAAATTCCCAAATGAAATATGTAGAAAGGAACAACGTACATTCAGCATTATCCGTATGTCGTTTTGATTTAATGACTGAATGGTATCCTGAATTTTTATACAAGACTGAAGAAATTTTCTATTTTGGAGCATTGTGTGCATTTCAGCATGGAGAGGATGTTTTAACATTTTAGTTTGGCACACATCCCACCACCCTCCAAAAGCTAAAATGGGTTTGCTAGAAAGAAGGCACACGTTTGCATGTGTAGAACGATCCATGGCCATTTTAGATGGCTGCACGTTGTACGGGAAGCCTTAGGGTTGCCGGTTTCATGGATGAGGTGAGAGCGTTGCATTTCAGGGTTAACCTTTACTTTAAAAAGTTACAACACTAGTACACAGGCTAAAAATGTCATACATTAACATCTGCTTTCTGAGACAAATATTAACAATTTTGAAATGAAATTAAAACAAGTTTACTTTCTCCTCACAAAAAAACATTAAGTAATGGAGGGGAACTTAACAAGCAACAATAAAAAAGATAAAAACATATGTTTCAGTAGTCCTCTGGAGTAAGGAAAGAATTTCCACATTTCATTTGTTGGAGGAAAAAACTGATTTGGTCCAGCACTTTAAAAGGTTTCAGTATCTGCTTCGGCCTCCGCCTCTATCAGAGCGGCTCCCTCCACGGCCGCCACCTCTGGGTGCTCCGCGGCTGGAGCTGCTGTAAGAATCACGTGGAGGAGCATAACCCCTTTCCATAGAAGGGGGGAGGCCTCGGTCTTGTCTTCCCACACGATCCCGGCCACTTGAGTAGACATCACTTCTGCTGCTTGAGTAACTTTCTCGACTTCCACCATACCCATCTCGGGTGCTCCCATAATCGTCATAGCGACTGCTTCCACCATAAGATGGAGGGGGCCCTCGTGCAGGTGGAGCACTACGTGAGTTACCTGCAGGTTCAATGGTCAGGTAATAGGACAACACTATAAATCATATCACCACAACTTTACATCTGAGTTTAAAAGAATTTGTATCAATGGTGTCTGTTACTCTTTTGTATTAACTGAAAGTTTTAATATAATCTCACATGTTGGGACATTTGGCAGGGGAGTATCGGATAGTGAACGAAATAAAGGCTGTTTGAAGACGATGATATTTCTCAAGGCAGCTCTTTTTGGGATTATTCCAGAACAGCTTGCTATTTTTACAGCAGAAATTCCACCATTTTTTTTCCAGTGATAGATGCAATTCAGAACAGTTGAACTTTTGCTTCGTTAGTTTATGGGAACTGTAATTCAATCATTTTGTTAAAAATGAAGTACCGGTGTATTTTCACTGCAGTGGACAAGCCCAGAATGCCAATTCCCCACTTAAGTAGATGCAGTCTATTAAGTCAAGAGTGAGGCCTACTGAGTCCCTTAAGACCTTCAAAATAAGCACTTACCATAACTCTCATAGGAATCTCTGTATGAGCCCCCACTTGGGTGATCAGAGTAGTCCCGGTCACGCCCTCCATAGCCATCACGATCACTGTAAGAGGAATAACTGCTGGGGTTTAGTACAGGCCATCGCTAGGTGAGTTTTGCACAGAGTAAGGTAGCCCTTTCACTTATACCCTGTTCTTCCTCAAAAGATCTTAGATTTGGTTCCCAAGTAGTCTCCCATCCAAGTGGTTTTGAGATGACCCACCCTTTAGTCCCAATACCCTGCCTGATTCAGTCTAAGTACACATAACTAAAATAATCAAAGATCTATCTATCCTTGCCTCAGTTACCCTCCCCACTATTTCCTTTGTGTCTACGTAAGTCGCTTGGGGCAAGAACTAGCCAAAGCTGTTCTTTGCAGATCATCATGAATATCAGGGGTGGTAGTCAGAAGATAGATCTGGATCTATTAGTAGATCAGAAAAGATTTGTGATTCAAAATTATAGCAGCAAAATGTAGAAAGCTTGTGGCAACCATTAATGGATATGTGCGTAGAACATGAGCGCTGTTCAGTTGAACTCCTGGGCTCAAAATTCTTTAATTCCAAGTACATCATTTACACTAGGTTCCTGTTAATAGATTCCTAGGTTTTAGTTTCAAATAAAGTATATTCCAAAAGCCTGAAATCTGCCCCATCCCTGATAAACATAGATGGTGCTCTAGAAAATAATGACATATAGCTTCCCATAGACCTACATTATTCACCTTCACATGGCTCACTAGTGGCTTTAGAACTGCGTCAAGAAAGCCAACAATTGTTCATGTGAGGTATGGAGATTTGGTTTCTCTTCTGTAACGTAAGAGGGGTATACATGTTCTTGTAGCACCTTAAATATAAAGATTTATTATGACATAAGCTTCCATGGATCACATTCCACTTCACCTGACACATGAAGTACTATCCTTAGTTGCAAGTAGGTATGGTAAGACTTCAAAAGTGTCTGATGAAAAGGACTGTAGTCCACCAAACCTTCTGGCATAATGAGGCTGCTCAAGTTGCCACAAGACACTTGTTATATTATTGTGCTTATTGTTTGAATCAAGTAGAAAGAGGTACACTGCAATCTGAAACATAAGCTTGACTAACTTGTTGAATGAAATATTAAAAGATTTGTTTGAGAATACACAAAAGTGAACGTTAAGTACCTGTAACCTCTTGAGGGATACTCATCACGTGAACGGGAATGACCATAGTCACGGTAGGCATAATCTCTTGGAGGTGGAGTATATTCCTTTGTGTCTCTGGAACTTGCCAATTGAACAATGAGCTTGACTAGCTTGTTAATGGAATATGAGAGATTTGTTCAACAACACACAAAATCGAACATTAGCTACCTGTAGCCTCTTGAGGGGTACTCATCACGTGAACTGGAGTGACCATAATCACGGTAGGCATAATCTCTTGGCGGTGGGGCATAATCTCTTGTGTCTCTGGAGCTTGGATAGTCCCGACTTGAATAGCTATGGAAATGAAAACTAAAGTATTTTTTCCGATAGTGAAGTGCAGGAGCTCCTCATAACAGCTCACAGCCATACGCTCAAGCAAAGTCCTAATGCAGCAGCAGACACCCTACCACCCTACCACCAGTGGAGGAGACGTAGTGTAACATCTAATTAGACTTGGCTGACAAGTCATAGAATACTGAACTTCAAAAGGTGGTGTAGCCACTAGCATCTTAAACTTAGGTTACAGAAACCTGAGTTAACATCTCTGATTAGCATTTAGCTTTAAATAAGAAATACAACCAATTCTACAATTACTTGCTACAATTTAAATGGCTAGCATTAAGTACAAATTCAATTAAAATAGCCGGCCACTTTGATTCTCCTCATTCTTCCTTCATGCAGATAACAAATTGTTCATAAACAGTAAACGCCGAAAGCCTCATTATCTCATTGATTTGCCAGAACAAATCAATTGTCTGGTTGTCCAGACAGATGGGACACGCCCAGTCCAAAAAATGTCCCAGAGATGTGCTCCCCTTACACCCTTTCCATTAAATCACTACTTCTGCAATCAAAATGCATTAAGTTCAATAATTAAGTTCCTTGATCTGAAAAATATCCAACAGGGTTTGATTTTACCTGTCTTTAGTACTGTAACCATCATCTCTTGGAGACAAATAGACATCTCTTCGTGATGGCAGTGGTTCTCTGCGTGGCGGTCCTCCATAACTGTCTCTACCGCGTGAAAGGGGTGCTTAAGTAATCAAGCAGAAAATGAAATATTTTTGAAATAAAGCCTTCTGAAAACAAGGTATTAGTAAAGAAAGTTGTTCCCACCATGAGATAAGACCACACCATACCGGATCAAACTTTTCTGTGGTGGTTTAAGTTCAATACAACCTCTATCAGCAAGATGAAGAGATAGCAAAGTCCTACATTATACTGAAAGTAAAGTTGCTTTCAGTTCTTGTAAACAGAGGCCTAGTCAAACTAAGCATACATCGACAAGGGCTGACTAGTGAGTATTTAGCCCATATTCTACAATTCAAGAATCCTTTTTCAAATGTGTTGGATACGACCCATATGTGGAGATATGCTGAACACCGCAGTCATCCAGCATAACTAAGGAGTGTCAATTCACACCTCGTAATCCAGCAAGGGGTATCTGCCCTAACACAGAGACACTAGCGGGGACTTGCTCCCAACTTAGCACTGCTGGAGGGTCCTGGAAGCAGCACAACTACCTTGCTATTTCTGAGTGCCAGTAAAACTCAGCAAAGTTGTAAAAGCCTTTCTCCAACCACCACAAATTTGTGGATCCATGCAATGGACAATAAAAAAATACTTTATTACATTTACATGCTGTTTGGCATCAAAGTGATAAATAAATTACCTCTGCCTCCCATTCCACTACTGCTACGAACAGGTCCAGAAGGAGCAGGTCTTTTAGGTGGTGGGCCACCGCTACGTGGGGGTGGACCCCTTTTCATCGGTAGAGGGCCTCTAGAAGAACCTAAAAGAGCAGCAATGTGTCAGCTAGATAACAGAAACAGGATTCCTCAGACAGATCTGCCTCACTGGGAGCACAATGTACTACTGTGGCAGTACCCATGATACACACAGAATATTCCTGCACTGTCCCTTCCCAGAGAGAGAATGTCATTTGGAATAGAACTGATTCTCAGCAGCTGTTTCCAATAATTTAAACTACTATGATCTTATTGTTCTATTTTAATGAACTTGTTGTTTATTTATTTGCTGCTGTGTTTGTTATTACAGGGATTGCAATACTTGTTTTTTAATGTTACTATGAATTTTGTGACCCCCTTTGAGCTCAACATTTGTTGTGGGAAAAGTAGAAGACAAATATCAATCAAATCAAACCTTCGATTCTAAAATTTGGAGTTCAACAAAGCAGGACCATGGACTACAAAAGATTCAAATTGCTATTTACTGTTTAATCTCAAAACAGCAAATAATGCAGGACAGCTATAAACAGCAAAAATCGCTGCCAATAGCTTATACGCAAATACTAAGAAACTCACCTTTGTTTAAGACATTAAAAAAACCAACTGTGTGGAGCAGTATAAACTGTTTCAACATCAAAAAACATCAAAACACTGATTGAAGAACAACATCAAAACACCGATTGAATAACTTTTGCCTAAGCTTGCAAAATTTCAGTGAAGGCATATCACCAATATGCTTAACATGAGATTAACCCCTGGACCAATTTCCAAAATACACCTCAATGTTTTAAGCAAGCCTACAAGTTCACTTGCTTCATCTCTATACCTGAGTACATCAAACACAAGAACAGCATTCATCCTGTGAAATAGCAGGACGGCAATCTTTTCCCAAACTTCCAAAAAGGGTAAAATAACCACCAGAAATTCATCATTTGTATTATGTCTAGAGCTGGGTGATATATTGGTAAATTATCTGAAGCGGTATCTGTTTCAGATATTTTGAGGGGCTTCTTGCCCCTCAGCCAAGCAGTTTAAGGCAATATGGGGCCTTACTTAACTGCAGGGCATTGAATATGTATCTAGGCTGTTTATTCCTCTCCTAAGGTGGAGAAAAGCAGCAGCTGAGATGTATCATGATGTTTGGAATGTATCAGTATATCACAATATTTAGCTGCTGATATACAGTGGTACCTCGGGTTACAGACGCTTCAGGTTACACACTCCGCTAACCCAGAAATAGTGCTTCAGGTTAAGAACTTTGCTTCAGGACAAGAACAAAAATCGTGCTCCGGAGGCGCAGCAGCAGCAGGAGGCTCCATTAGCTAAAGTGGTGCTTCAGGTTAAGAACAGTTTCAGGTTAAGAACGGACCTCCGGAACGAATTAAGTACTTAACCCGAGGCACCACTGTATAAGAATGTTGAAAACCAGGTATTGCACCGTCCTAATTGTGTCTTGATTTTGAGAGGAAGCTGTAAACCAGCATTCTCTATGCAGTGGCTTGTATGCTGCACAATTACACATGGGAAAACACACATACCCAAGTAACTCCCTCTTGAAGGAGGACCCCGTGTTCCACTTCCACCTCTTCCGCCTCTAAAACCTCTTGGAGGACCTCTGCTCCTTGGAGGGGGAGGGGGCCCACGTCTACCAGTTTCAAAGGATGGCTTGGTAGCTTGTTCAACTTTAATTGATCTTCCATCTAAAGACTGAACAAAGGAATCTAACTCAGCATTAATTGCAAATGCTTTTTGTAGGACAGAGTGCCTCAGTTCTTATCCCTGGTCTGGTTTCTGGCAAATACATTTGGTTTGGTATTATGCAGATAAAAAACCTAATTTTAAAAATGAATATATTGTTTTAACCACATTTTGTAGACCACTCAAGGATTTAACCAACCAAGGTCAACTTAAAAATTGAACACCCATATTCTACAGCTACATGCTTTCAGTATGTCAATCTTATTTGTTTACATACAATTCTTCTAGATCTTTAGTTTCCAAGTGTATTCAAACCAATTTTCAGAAGCAAAGGTTTTGCCATGATGTGTGTTATTAAAAAGTAACAGTCTCTACAGGTATGTTCTAGAAATAACTGATTGAGCCATCACAATCAGGAAACAATGCTGTATTATTTCAGCAGTTCTTGAGATATCCAGTTTCGTTCTTAATTTAAGAGTAGCCCATAGAATGCCCATACTAGCATTCTGGAAGAAAATATGCCATCAGGCTTTATTTGTCTTAAAGCTAACCCTTAACATCCTTAAACAAATTCCCTTAGCTTCCCTAAATGCTATTACCCAAGCATTCACTCCATTATAACACATCACTGAACTTGTCTCATTAACTGAATAAAAGCAACTCTGTCAACCAATCAATCCAATCACCCTCAGCTTGACACTCTGCAATTAACACATTAGTTACTACCTTTCCATTCATATCTCTGGCAGCATCCTTGGCATCTGCTGGACTCTCGAAGGTAACAAAAGCAAACCCTCTTGATTTGTTGGTTTCACGGTCTTTCATAAGGAGAACTGAAGAAAGACAAAAGTGTTATTCCACTTTCATCATAGAATGATGTATCCCAAATTGTACACAAGCCTGCTCAGAACTTCTTAGAGGACGTATAAGCTCTATCACTTCAACTGATCAAAGCTGTTAAGTTCATCAAAGCAGACCTTTAACTTAATATTATGCCCTAAAAAGGCTGTGTGCTTACCCTCTACTATATGGCCATATTTGCCAAAGACAGATTCAAGAGCCTTCTCATTAGTCTCTGTGTTCAGCCCACCAATGAACAGCTTGCCAGGACGATCTGCTTCAACCATTTTGACACAGTTTGGGATCTGGAACAACACACATTCAACTTGAAACAGGGGAGAAGCTTGTGTCCTTTGGAAATATTTGACAAAACAACAGGATAATTCCTCAGACAGCAATATGCAGATATTGAAAAATCTGATTAGGGCTTGATGGTTCTTGTCCATGCCCTTAGTTGCTAAACAGAAATGGCAGCATCATTTCTGTGGTGACCAAGGCCTTGCATCTAATTGAGAACAAATATTGACACTACAAACACAGTGCCCCAAAATCCAGAACAATGGCCCTTTAATTACTACCTGCAAGCAAAAGCTCTAATGCAAGAAACTGTTACAATTTTAAAAAAAGAAAAGCAAACCTAATTTAAGATAAGGAAACATTCACAGGGGAAGAAAATACAACAGCTCCCCTATGGTTTTTTAAAACTGAAAAAGGTTGAAAATGCACCACAGTGGTTACTACAAAGGGAGCTGTCTCCCACAGGGATATTTATTTATTTTGCTTTTTGAAAACTTTATTCAAATTGATTAATAACAAAAACATTCTTTTGTATGGTATGTCCAAATATACTAATAAAAATCTATTCAAACTTATACAATTCCTTTCACCATACATTCTTATTCATATACATAAAACTCCCCCCATCACTTCCCACTGTATTTACCATTTCTTTTTTCTGTTGTACTAATAGTTATTTTTTTCTTTTTATGTTATCTTATACTTCCTTACATCTTTTCGTATCCATTTGCATTATTTTTTTGTATATTACACAGAAATATCCCACAGGGATATTTAAGTAGTTCCCCCACCTGAATTTTTTTCCCATTAAAAGGAAGGAGGGGAAACTACTTAGCCCCTTTATTGAGACAAGGAATACATTCAGAATTCTATTGAACAGTTCCCTAAACAATAATATAAACAAGTAACTTCTGAATATATTAGACCACCACTATGTATGCTTTGCAATGTTTCTATACTCCACCATCACAACATTATTGGCTAAAGGCTCAGTGAGGAACTTTCAGGATTTAAAAAAACTCTGTTCAACAAGGTCCAACACAGTAAGCTGATTGGTACATCCAGCTGCTCCACCACTGAGCTACAGCCCTTCCCCCAAACTTGCACTTGAGGCTTTTGCTCTCCCCTCCTCCATCCTACACCTTTTAAAATTTATTTTTAGACTCTTAACCCCAAGGACAGCCGCTGCCATGAGAGATTTATGCTTTTATAGTAGTGATTTTATAAGCCGCTCTCAGAGCCTTTCTTGGCTACAATAGAGAGGGGGGAGGGAAACTCGGAAATTAAAGAAAAGCAAGCAACTGAATATACCCAAAATGACAAAAGGCCACATTCAGGTAACCCTGCGGCCGCGCATGCGCGACGCTGAGACCGCCAAGAATAGGGGAGGGGGTGAAAGCGCATTCCATTAAGACGCAAGAAAAGAACGAGTCGCGCCTGCGCAGTCGCGGTTTCCAGCGCCCACCCGGCGCCCTCGCGCGCAATGCGCACTTCGGAGAAAGGGGAGGGGGCCACAAAGGAGGGGCTGAAGGCGATCGCAAAATGGCGGCTTTGGCGACCCTCCCTCCCTCCCTGCCAGGCCAGCCCCCCTTCCCCTCCCCCTCCGGCTCACTTTCCCCTCAGGGCTGGCCCAAGGCGGCAATCGGCCCCCGCCCGCCCCTCCCTCACGGTTTAAAATGGCGCCTCCGTATGAATGAGAGGAACGGGCGTTGAGAAGGCGTGTGCGGAATTAAAAAGGAATAAACGGGAGATCGCAGAAGGCGAATCTCCCCCCACCCTCACTGCCGCCGGTGTAAGCAAGCGGTGTGTGTAGGGGGTGGACAGTAAAGCGCGGGCGATTCGAAAGGCGTGCGCGCGTGCGCTTCTCTCTCGCCCCCCCCCCCCGCGCGAGCTTACCTCCAAACCGCCAGTAGATCAGCAACGACGCACTGAGAAGGAACAAAGGAGCCGAGGGCCTTTATATATCTGACGTCAGCACATTCGTCTCGAGGCCAGAAAGCCCGGATGTAGGCGTGAAAAGAAGGGGGCGGGGCAAGCAGGGACACACCAGGCAAGAGAGGCGTGGCCTTTTCAGATAGGAGGAGGGCCGCTTGCTCTGGCGAACAGTTGGTGGGTGGGTGTGTTGCAGCTTGCTCTGGAGAACTGTTGGGGTGTGTGCATAAGAAAGAAAGAAAGAAAGAAAGAAAGAAAGAAAGAAAGAGGGCTCAATCAGCACAAGAATACAGTATGTTGTCATAAGAGAAGCCCTGATCAGAGAGGGGAGTTAATAAATGAACCTCTCAGTGTTGCGTATTTCTATGCTAACAAAGAATGCATCTTTTTACTTGTACCTTTTACTTCTGTATCGCTGTAATACCACTAAAGAACGTAGCTGTGGAATGCAACTGTGGACTCTATCAAATGTATTGCCCTTTTGTATCTTTCTAAAAGGTGTTTTCTTACACTAGGAGATGTAACTAGAATAGAAAAATGTAACTGGAAGAATGTAGCCAAAATATTTTCTATTCTGTCTGACTTTCCATTGCCGTATACTTGATCTGTCAATATTCTGCCGTTCACAAACTGTCACAAACTGTTCACAAACTGGCACAAACTGGCACCACAGCGCCACCTACTGGGTCTACAAATGACGTCGTGAATAGATACAAAATGCAACATAAAATCAGTTTAATTAATAAAAGTATGCAGAGCAGAACTTCACACCAGCACAGATAATCATGCAGAAACAGGACTTCACATATGCACACCCCTTGGACTTATGCCCAGGTCTACAAACGGACAACAATTTCCTTGACTATGACACTGTAGACTGCGGGGGCAAGTCAAACATGGATTGAATGGGGGAATTTGACTACTGTCAGCCTGAGTTACGAGCCTTGCTCAGACACTCACTGACACCCCAGCTCCAAGGAACTCAATATTGGGAACTTTTTATATGAGACAGACATTACATCCGCCTGGGTACTGCCATTTTTACCCTGGATAATCAACAAAATCGCCTGCGATGTACGAACGGTAGCTACTTCCTTTACAGCCAAGGGGAAGTTACCAAGCACCCAAACTGGACAGAGGTGGACAATGCGGGAGCTGTTTACATCTACACAGATTCCAACCACCCCCCAGAGAACTTAATTTTGGGGTTCCAATGCCTTTGAATGGACTCTCAGCCCCAGAAAACCCACCTACAAGGACTTTTCCTACGGCAATTTTGTTGCCTCTGGGACATTGGAGTAACCAACGACTGGGAAGGGCCAGAATACCTGGAAGGCTGGCTTCACTCTGCGGGGGCTGCACAAAACTCCGAGTGGACCACAGCGGGCCTCAGAGGTGCGGGGGGTTGCCAAGGACATGAGACTTCTGAAAACCAATGACCCTCTGCATCCCCTAGGCATTGCACCGAGGCACTTTGGCCCAACCCCTTTGTACCCGGAGCAAGATCTTCTTTGCTCCTGGGACCAGGAGGAAATATTCAAATGTGGAGCAAGGTGGCCAGAGAAGCTCCCTACCCCAACTGCTGGATCTCCACACACACACCAAGTCACCAGAGGCAAGGCCTGCCCTTGGTAGCAGTGGCTGTGACCTTGGACAAATACTCCACTGGGGACATCACTTCCTGGAACCTGACAGCCCTGAACCTTACCCATCAATACCTATACTTGATGGGACCCACAAAAGGGCCCCTCTGCCACCTCTTCACAGGGGAAGGAACCCCTGTTGGGAAAAGCACCTGTGACATAAACCTTGACATCTTGATCACAGGGCAAGTGACTGTCTCTAACATCACTCAGTCTAGGACTTACGCAGACCTCACCAGTGCATTGAAGGAGGCCATGGGCCAACTGGCAGCCAGATTACCCCAACGCTATGCTTCTCCAAGCCTTTGCTTCCAGAAGTCAGCAATAAGGGGGAAAGAGTCCCAGTACCCTAAGGGGGGAAAAGGAGGCATAGATGAAAGGTGGATAAAATAAATTTGACTGTGGGACTTAAGGCAATGTTTCGAATGCCCAGGAAACTCAGCGTACCCGAGAGAGGTCTGGAACTTTGTACAGTGGTACCTCAGGTTACATACGCTTCAGGTTACATACGCTTCAGGTTACACGCTCCGCTAACCCAGAAATAGTGCTTCAGGTTAAGAACTTTGCTTCAGGATGAGAACAGAAATCGTGCTCTGGCGGCGCGGCGGCAGCAGCAGCGGGAGGTCCCATTAGCTAAAGTGGTGCTTCAGGTTAAGAACAGTTTCAGGTTAAGTACGGACCTCCGGAACGAATTAAGTACGCAACCAGAGGTACCACTGTATCCCTGCTGAGGAGTTTTCGGAATATCAACGGTTTACCCTCTCTCTATACCATTGTTGAAAACATTGTAAAGACCGTACTGAAGGTACTGAACCAGTAAATGTGCGACGTGTATCGCCCCACCCCCACTGCCTCAGTCAGAGGTTGTAAATGAAAACTGAATAAGAGGCTGAAGATTGAAGAAAGAGAAGAACTTAGAGGGGGAGGTGCTCAATGTCTTTTTATCTTTTAGGAAAGAAAGGATCTCTCCAGGACTTGGAAGAAACAAACTACCGGGGGATATATGGGGTTAGATGCAGTCAGATTGTAACCTGAAAATTAGTGATTATTATGTATGTTCTTGGGTATTTAATTATGTGTAGCATTTTCTAAGAGGGGAGATTCAATATAAGGAAACCATCTAGATAAGGAGGAAGGAACATTTTAAAAAGGTACTTAAGAGGTCAGAGACGTCCGCTGGTGGAAGGGGGAATAGCAGCTAAGAGAACAAGTTTATTGAGTTTATTGGCTAACAAGGTAACATACGACCCCTAGTGGGAATATATGAAACAACATTTAAAAAACCCACCAACCTAAAGGAAACATGAAACATAAAAGATTAAAAGTATTAAAACAACAAAATTATGAATCATCAAACAAAACTGGGAAACTGCTGGCTTGGCAATTAAGGAAAAAACAAAGCCAAAATATTATAAATAAAATAAAAGACAATTTACTGAAGCGTCTTAACCTGAAGCGTATGTAACCCGAGGTACCACTGTATTAGAAACTGCAGTACTACAAAATAATATAAAAACATTGTCTAAAACTTATGAGTTTCTACTAGAATGGCACACAAAAGATGAAGAAATTAAGGATGTTATGACCAAATGGGCAATGGATATAGGACATAATACTGAATATGAAAAATGGTCAAAATTATGGAATACAGGGTTAAAATTCACAGCATGTACACCATTAAAAGAAAATCTGTTAAAAATGATGTATATGTGGTACCTCACTCCAACCAAACTAACAAGGATGTATAAAAAAGGAAGTAAAAATTGTTGGAAATGTGGGGTGAAAGAAGGTGGGGTTTTTTCACATGTGGTGGTTATGCGACAAGGTGAAAACGTACTGGGATAACATATATAACAAATTAAAGAAGATCTTCGGATACACATTTCAGAAAAAACCGGAAGCATTCTTGTTAGGTATGGTTGGAAAAGATATTGCAAAGAGTGATCAGAAATTGTTATTATATGCAACAACAACAGCGAGATTATTGCTAGCACAGGTTTGGAAACAACAGCAATTGCCAACAGTGGAAGATTGGCAACAGAAGGTAATGGAGTCCACAGAAACAGCTAAATTAACTGGGAAAATTCGACAACAGGGCGATGAAACTTTTCAAAAAGAATGGAAGAAATTTATAGTGTACATAGGAAAGATTTGTATGAAATAGAAAAACCAGCAGAATAGAAATAAACCTCATAATGTGTAACACAAATATTTTTATTGGAACACAAAAAGTACAATGTAATCAATATAACCAAATGTATTTACAAATAGTATATGGATGTTGTTGTTGTTGTTTAGTCGTTTAGTCGTTTCCAACTCTTCGTGACCCCATGGACCAGAGCACGCCAGGCACTCCTGTCTTCCACTGCCTCCCGCAGTTTGGTCAGGCTCATGTTTGTAGCTTCGAGAACACTGCCCAACCATCTCGTCCTCTGTCGTCCCCTTCTCCTTGTGCCTTCCATCTTTCCCAACATCAGGGTCTTTTCCAGGGAGTCTTCTCTTCTCATGAGGTGGCCAAAGTATTGGAGCCTCAACTTCATGATCTGTCCTTCCAGTGAGCACTCAGGGCTGATTTCCTTAAGAATGGATACGTGTTTTTTTTAAAATAAATAATATTTATTACTTTTCCAAAAAATTTAAACACTAAAAGAAAAGAAAAAACACATACAATACAATACAATACATTAAACTAACAAAACAATGCAACAACAATAAAATAAATCAAATTTCATTCAATATCATATATTTCATTCACTTATTTCCAGCGACTTCCTCACACCTCCCTTTTTGTATTCCACTTCTATTATTTGTTTCAGCAATTCCTTTCCATCTTACTCTGTTTTCTGTTCTATAATTATCTTAACACATTCTTGCCATACTTTTCCTTTAATTTTCTATTAATCTATTTATACTTAATTCCTTATGACATTTCTACTAAAGCCATGTAATTTCATTCCAACATTTTTCTAACATTCCTTAATTTTACAATCTTTCTATAAATAGTCTTTAAACTTTTCCCAATCTTCTTCCACCGACTCTTCACCCTGGTCTCGGATCTTGCCAGTCATTTCCGCCAATAGTCCATCAACTTCGTCTGCCATTGTCCAACACTTCAGTGTTTTCAAGAAGCAACCATTCTCTCAACCAGCAAAAGGCAGATGCTTCACAACGAAGTTTAAAGGTCTGGCAGGGCAGGTCCACCTCCTTCTTTAGCATCCATCAATATCTTAAGTTTGACTCGAGGCTTCCTGCCCTGCCAAACAACTCTAGGAGCAACCCTCTGCCACCTCCTGAGACCCTCCATCCCATCCAGAACTTGCAATGTTTGGAACAAAAGCAACATCCCCAGCAACACAGCAGCCCTCATCCCCACCACAATAACTCGGCCCAACAGTAACAACTTCTGATTTGTCCATATTTCCAAATCCCCCTTCTCTTCAATCCAACACCCTTCACAGTTGTCCTTAAGCAGATTCACATTTTTGGCGGTCATACTAACCCCCAAATACCTCTCTTTCTCAACCAATGTTAGTCCTGTCGCCTCCTGAAACTCTGTCAGGCTTTCCTTTTCCAATTCAGATAGGGCTCTGGTCCTCAAATTCATCCATTCTTCTTTAAGTTCAATCATAACGAATGTCAGCTTATGTTTATCAAGTTGTATTTGTATGGATGGGACTCTCCTCTCCAGTTGTATTACTTTAGATTCAGCAGCAAGGTTTTTTCCCCTGACTTCATCTGCTGTTTGCCGTTTCAGAGTAGATTCCTGTATCAGTTTCTGAGTGGTTTCTGAATTGGTATTCACCTTTTGTCCCAAGTTGTTTAAACTTTCTACAATTAAATCAGTTTCAATATTTGCAACATCCAATTTCACATTTATCGCATCTGTTTTCTTATGGAGTTGTTCCAGCGAATCGTTTATTTTCAATAATGCAGCCACTAAGGCCTCCTCTGTCGACATCCCGTCTGTATTTTCCTTTCCGTCTGCCATAACACTTAAGAGATTCAAGGTCAGTTCCAAAATCTCACACTTTTTTTATCTTGCAGCTGGAAATTGGAAATTCCCCTAGCCCAGCTCCTATAAAGTAACCAATTTCAAAAGCTTCCACTAGGGGAAAACAGATTGTATTTGTATCGGTCAATATGTCCTCTTTTAAATACAGTTTCAATAATCCGTAGTTAGTTTCAATTTTTAGTTACTTTCCTCCTTTTTTAAAAACAACCGGAAACAGTAGAAACAATGTATTTCTCTTATTTAACTAGCTGTCAATGAACGTTCTAAACGCTGTCAATGAACATTCCAAAAAAAGGGGGGGAAACGTCAGTCTTACTAGCAGCCCGTTTCCAGGGTCAGAGCGGCAGTATTTTAAGCCTCTTCGCTCTCTCCCGCAGGCATACTCAGTCCGCAACTTCCCCCTCTTCTCCTGCCTCCAAGAGGGGGTTTAATGTTCTTTACCGTTGGAAATTTGATCTTTTACAAGTGACCTTCCAGGACTCCAGCTTGCAACTTCATTGCCTCAGTCTATTTACAAAAAGGGAAGGCGGACTTCCTGTTTTGAACCCCCCCGTTACGATACCAAATTAAGCTTTTAGGGATCCAATTCTTCCGTTTCAGCATTCTTCCGTTTCAGCTCTACTCATGGGTAATTCCTTTAAAGTCAAATTGTCCACAGGAAAAGGTCAGCGCTCTCCGGCAACAGCTATGCGGCTTCGCTCCGTGGAAGAAGCAGACGATTCGATGCACCACGCCGCTCACCCCACGTCGCTCCGGAGCCCCAAAAACCGGGGTTCCCCGCGAGTGGGGGAGGCGCAAAAGGTGCCCACCGAATCCCACATTCACAGGCTTCTCCCGCCTGTGATTTTAACGGGTCTCCGCCTTCGCCGTGGCGGCCAGACCCAGATTTCCACGGAGCAGATTCCTCCCGGTCAGAGGAATTCTGCCATTGCTGGAGGCGCCTCCCCTGGAAGTCAAGAATGGATACGTTTGATCTTCTTGCAGTCCATGGGACTCTCAAGAGTCTCCTCCAGCACCATAATTCAAAAGCATCAATTCTTCGGCAATCAGCCTACATGAATGAGCGGGAAAACTAATGGACATAAAACATGAAGGGTTGTTGGACTATAATTTACGGGATTGGTTACCAAACTAGGCTGGCTCAGGCAACTCCTTAAATGGATCTTATTTACTGTAGTTGTGGTTGTACTATGTATATTGCTGTTTTGTTGTGCTGCACACTGTCTAAATCAGGCATAGGCAAACTCGGCCCTCCAGGTGTTTTTTGAGACTACAATTCCCATCATCCCTGACCACTGGTCCGGTTAGCTAGGGATGATGGGAGTTGTAGTCCCAAAACATCTGGAGGGCTGAGTTTGCCTTTGCCTGGTCTAAATCCATGTTGCACTCTCTTGTGCTGTACTGCCCAGCACCCTGGTTGTAGTGCCTTACCCTTTAGAGCTTACTCCCGTTCCCCGACCGCAGCCACCTTCCTTGAATATGTGCAGATGCAACACCTGGGTGAGGGAGAATATGTGATTAGAGAACTTTAGTGGTGCGGAGAAAGGATTTGCGGTTCTTTCAGAACCTTAAGCAACTCTATCTCCGAAAGGGGAGCTGTTACGGAATTACTGGCGGGGGGGGGGGGGCACACAAGCGAGAGCCCAGTTCCGTTTCGGGTCTTACCATATCCAGAAAACCCTCCACACACACTTAGGGCATGAGACAATGAGCTCAAGAAAGCCCTTTACATAGATCGTCGCACCAAGCATAACATATATTTCGTTAATAAAGACTCGGCTTCCTTCTTATACTTGAAACCTGTACCAATACAAAGGCTTGTGAATGAACTCTGTATTTGCATGTTACCACATGAGGACCAATGAGGAGTGTTGAAATTTGACAGTCAGCCAATAGCGTGTAAGCAAATAGCAGCCTCTACTGGACAGACTCGTTTCCCTCATAAGCTGCCTTTCTCTTACCATTCTGCAAGGTAGCTCACCTCAAGCTTTTGCCCGCTTGATTAAACAGCTGAGTGGCCGCCTGCTGCAAGAACAATGGACTTATTATATTAAAAACCCATTACCTGGTTTCGATAGCTCAAAAACTGTTACATTGTTAGGCAATGAAAGGTCTGTAGGCAATGAGACAGTTCAACGCATCATCAGAGATCTACAGCCTCTCCTAGACAATGACAGTTCTCTTTCTCAAGCTCTGGGAGGAAGACCTTCCATTGCTTACAGACAGCCACCCAATCTTAAACAACTCCTCACCCACAATAATACAACAACCAGACTTAACACAGACACTGGTACCAGAGCCTGTAATAAACCCAGAGCCAACTTTGCTGCCACATACACCCGGACAACACCATTACTGGCCCCAACAACATCAAACATACCATCTCAGGACTATTTAATTGCTCATCTTCTAACATTGTGTATGTCATCAAATGCCAGCAGTGCCCTTCAGCTCTCTATATTGGACAAACAGGACAAATCCTACGCCAAAGGGTAAATGGACATAAATCTGACATCAGGAATTACAAGACAGAGAAACCAGTAGGAGAACACTTCAGTCTCCCAGGACATTCTATACAAGATCTCAAAGTAGCTGTCTTATTCCAAAAATAAATAAATTCAGGAATAGACTGGAAAGAGAAGTTGCTGAATTGCAACTTATTACCAAACTTAAAACCATGGAGAGACCTGGTCTGAATAGAGACATTGGATTCTTATCTCATTATACATATATACATATACATTATACATATATAAAGCTATTTTTAGCCATCTCACCCCTTGCTTTTTCCTGTAAGACCAATTGCAGACGTTAACAGTCGTCAACAGGTTTACCACACCTATCAGCCAATCACCCATTCCCACCACCCTTTTGAATAATACCCCTCCCCACCCTCTCACTATATATAAGGGTCTGGTGACTTCTGTTTCAGTGTATCTGAAGAAGTGTGCATGCACACGAAAGCTCATACCAATAACAAACTTACCGTATTTTCCGCTCTATAACACGCACCAGACCATAACACGCACGTAGTTTTTAGAGGAGGAAAACAAGAAAAAAATATTCTAAACGAAATAGTGGATATATGATTTTTGTGGTTCATGCTGTGCCCACAGACATGTGATCTGACAGTGAGTTTGGAGTAGCCCAATGCAAAAATCCTGAGGATCCATGTGGATCCATGCTTTGTAACCACGGAGGAGGGAAGGAAGGGGAACCATGGATCCTTTGCTCACGACTGCAGCAGATCCCCACCACCACCCGCAGGCATTCGCTCCATAACACGCACAGACATTTCCCCTTACTTTCTAGGAGGAAAAAAGTGAGTGTTATGGTGCAAAAAATACGGTAGTTGGTCTCTAAGGTGCTACTGGAAGGAATCCATCCCCTTGATCATTTGCGTTGCCCTTTTCTGAGCCTTTTCCAGCTCTACAATATCCTTTTTGAGGTGAGGCAACCAGAACCATAACAGTTCTGTGCAGAACTATGCAGTTACACCAGAGGTTTTCTACCTTCTTTGAGTCCACAGCTCCCTTGACCAACTACATTCTTTCTGCAGCACCCCTGTGGGGCTCAGGAGCCCAGTTCTGTCACCCCTTGCCTGAAGAGCTGGCAGCCTCTCACCTTTTATCGAACACCCTCCCTTGTGGAGCCTTGTCTCCTCTCCCCTCTCCTTGAGAGTCCTCTGGGCAGCTGCTGCTGCCACCCCGGTCTCTGAGCTGCCCCCTCCCCCAAGAGAGGTGTCCCCAGCGATCTGGGACTTGTCTGTCCATTCCCAACAGCAAGGCCTGGTGGACTAGCTGGCTTGGCTCCCTCGCCTGCTTGCTTACTCCAAGGCCACCTCAGCTCCTGGCAACCAGCACCCCCCGGCCAGCCCCAGAGACACCATTCACCTGCGGAACTTGTAGGCAGGGCTGCTGCAATAAACAGCTGTGCAAGCCTTTGGGAAGCAGAGATGTGAGAGGGCATCAGAGGAGGGAGCGAAGGAAAGAGGGACAAAGACTAGTGTTGCCCACAGCACCCCTGACCATCCTTCAAGGTGCCCCAGGGGGCCACGGCACACTGGTTGAAAACCACTGAGTTACACCATAGTTTTGTATGGAGGAGGAAGCTGAAACTCCTCTCCCCTAAGTAAGACGACAGGATGATGGGGGCTAGCTGAGACCAGATTGAAATTAATGGGGAATTGCCCCATTTTCCTTAATGGACTAGTCTTCACTGGCTGGCAGGTATATATTAGTATCATTCCCCCACCCCAGAATAGAATTGTAGAGTTAGAAAAGGCCAATTTAGTTCAGGGGTCGGAAAGGTTTACCGGCCATGGGCCAGATCACTCCCACGGAGATTGTCCGTGGGCCGGACTGGCGCAGTGAGATGCCGGAAATCGCATATGTGCAGAAGTGATTTTCGGTGCCTGGACATGCACAGACGTGATTTTCAGTACCTGCGTGTGCGTAGATGTGATTTCCTGCGCCGCTCGGTGAGTTTAGCGCAGCATGCAGGGGACTCGCCAAGTGGGTGGCTCGGTTCGGGGGCAGTTTGGGGGCCGGTAAAACAGTCTTTGTGGGCCGCATCCGTCCCATGGGCCGCACGTTGCCGACCTCTGATCTAGTTCATCTAGTCCAACTAGATGTTTGCATATATAAGTACATGTGGCATGTAGTGAGAAACCTGCAAGCAGGATCCGAGCACAAAGTACTATCCTGTCCAGTAGTTACCAGCAACTGATATTGAGAATCACCGTCCAGACTAAAGCTGTGGTCTGATATCCATTTACTAAGGAGTAAGCCCAAACTGAATGGGATTTGCTGCTAAGTAGACATGACTAGGATTGCAGTACCTCACATTCATTTTAGAATCTTAATAACATCCACATCACCAGATGCCTCGAGTTGGTTCCTAATTCTTAATTTCATACAGCCCAGTCCTGTGAATCCTTAGGTCTGTACTCACAAAGGATAAGGCTACCAATTTCTACCAGCCATGAAGGCTATGCTCTGCCTCCATTGTTGGAAGCAGTATGCCTCTGAATGCCTGCCGCTGGGCATCAGTGTTAGCAGATCTTGCAGGTTGGGTGAATTGGATTGAAAAGATTGCTTACTCTGGAATTCAAAGGATTTATTCACGCAGGAACTATTTGCAGGATGAGTGGAGATGAGAGAGAGATGGCAGACATCTTGCCTCAACAAACTGGGAGAGAACAACAAACAATAAATGGGTCCACTTTTTGGGGTGGTATTCACTTAAACGAAGCAAAGACTACAAACAAATGCTGGCTAGATTGCAAGACAAACAGTGCCCTTGTGGGGCTTCGAGTAGCACATGTGTAAACTAGAATGTGTTTGCTTTTCTTCAACACTCACAAGTGTGTGTGTGCTTGTGTGTGGCAAGATGCAGTCCAAATAAGATTGATTTTAATTGTGGTGTGGGAAAGTTTTAAACAAATACTTAACTTTCTCATTATGAGACTGCACATGTCTCTGGGGGTAAGCCCAACTGAGTGCAGTGGCACTTGCTTCTAGGTAAACATGTGATGTGCCTTTTTTTGGCTAGATTTTTGCTGGTCTAGGCATTTGCTGGTGAGAAGCTCATAAGAACCTAAGATGAGCCTTCTGGATCAGGCCAATGGCCTATCTAGCCCAGCATTCTGTTCTCGTAGTGGCCAACTAGGTGCCCTTTATGGGAAACCAGGCAAGATGGGACCTGAGCACAAGAGCACTCAGTGGCAGAGCATAGCCTCCATCATGAGTAGTAGCTCCTTTTGGTAAGAGGACTGACTGCCCACCTAGAAATTATTTTATTAACTAAGAGTTATACAGTGGTACCTTGGGTTACATATGCTTCAGGTTACATATGCTTCAGGTTACAGACTCCGCTAACCCAGAAATAGTACCTCGGGTTAAGAACTTTGCTTCAGGATGAGAACAGAAATTGCGCGGTGGCTGCGCGAGGATCCCATTAGCTAAAGTGGTACCTCAGGTTAAGAACGGTTTCAGGTTAAGAACAGACCTCCGGAACAAATTAAGTACTTAACCCGAGGTACTACTGTAAAAGGCAGCAGGTACGTTATAAACCACACACACAAAACAAATTAGTCAGGAGCAGATGCTGGATGTTGTCTTCACATGCCTTCTCTTCCTCTCACTTATGGGACAGCTGATATTAAATGGGCCATAGATTCGTACGTATATGCACATACACATCTATGTAAATAAATACGTACAATTTAAATGTGCCTATTTCTATATATCTATCACATTTATTTATATTTGCTCCAATAAATTCAGGAAAGAATGCATGGTTCCCCTACATGTATTATTATATATTATATACTATATTTTGACACCTAAGTATTAGCATGTTAATATTTGTGCAAATAATTATACGTAATTTTAAATAATTTTGCAATATATATATATATATATATACACACACACACACACACACACACACACATCTATATTTATATCTTGTATAAAATTATACCAGTCTGTGCAAAAAAAGATAGCAAACGTAAGCGGTGTGGGGGTGGGAGGAAGAAAGCTCCCCCCCCCCTTTCCACGCTTCTCTCGTCGCAAAGGTTTTGGACAAGGAAGGGGGCGGGGCAAGATGCCCTCACCCAAGATGGCGTCGGCGGCGTTGTGTTCTGATCACGTGGTCACCCCCCCTCCGCTCCTCCTCCTCCTCCTCGAGCGCCAGGCGATTGTGACGAGGCCGCCGAGGAAGGCCCGCCCCGCCCCAGCGCTTACTCCCCCCTCCTCCTGCGCGTGCGCTCTCTCCACCCCGGCTGGGCTTCCCTTTCCCCTCAGTGCCTAGCAAAAGAGCGGTGGTCGCCGGCCGGTGGTCGCGGGAAACAGCCGGAGCCGCCACGATGAGGAGCAGAGCGCCGCCGCCGCCGCCGCCGCCGCTGCCTCTGGTTGTTCTGCTCCTGGGGGGCTGGGCGTCCCTGTGCGGCGCCTTCTACCTGCCGGGCTTGGCTCCTGTCAGCTTCTGCGACGAGGGAGGCGAGAAAGCCGGATGCAAGGTGTGTAGGAGAGAGGGAGGGGGTCGAGAGGAGGCGCCCCTTCCTCGGGGTGGGGGAGGGGGGCACACACCGAGCCCCGCCCCTTCCCCCAGGTGTACCCCCCTTGTTCTAAACACCCCCCTCTTAAGCTTTTCTCCTGGGTGGGAAGAACCCGCCTCCCACTGCCAAGCTTATGATTCTCTTTAAATAATTCATACCTAGTAGTAGTAGTTAATTCATGTGTATATATGTTCCTCTATAATATATTCATTTTCCCTGACAAGGGGCTCAAGGCATCTTACCGATAAAAGCAGAAACAGATGAGAACCTAGGAGGAAACGATGGTTGTTGTTTTTTTTAATCATTAAATACCGATAGAACGAGCATTTAAATACACACGCACACAGTGGGAACTTGACTGGCAGAGCTTTTCCGGGTAGTGCAGGACCCCTTTTTTTACCCAGTCTGGTCTGAAGGAGGTGGCAGGAAGGATAGTAGTAGCAGTTCTCTCCTGAGGAGTTTGCAAAGCATTTTGAAGGGTGAAATCGCTTTTGCATCCCCCGGGAACTTTGACTTGGCTGTTAGAGCAGATGAATCTCAAGGGGTGTCCGGAGCACCATCCAGTCCTGCTGTGTTGGATGAGTTTCAGTTGGTCAGCCATGGGCAAGGTGCTTGGGTCAGCCAAGGCTTATGCTCTGGGCGCTTGCCCCGCTTGTCCAGTTAAAAACCAGCAGCTGTGCCCCTGTCTGTACAAGGACAGCTTAATTTCCGTTGTCTGTCCTCTGCAAACCTCTAGGCTGGACTACTGCAATGCATTATTATTATTATTAATGCTGCTCCTGAAGATTGTTCAGGAACTTCAGCTGTTGCAGAATTCATTGGCCAGGTTACTCACTGGGGCAAAACACTTTGAGCATATTACATGAATCCTGGTCCAACTGCACCGGCTGCCAAATAGTTTCTGGGCCCAATTCACCTCTTCCCATGGCATATTAACCAACTGGGACCCTTTGATCATTCTGAGGCCCCTCTCATGTGCATCCTCCATGAGAGGTCAGGAGGGTGGCAATACAATAATGGGTGGTCTTTTTTGCAGTGGCTCCCTGTTTGAGGAATGCTCTCCTCAGGGAGGCTCATCTGGCGCCTTAATTACATATTTTTAGTCACCTGGTGAAAACACTTCTTTATAACCAGGCCTTTGGCTGATTAACATTCTATGGACTATTAAATGTGCTTGTGGGAGGGGGGTTATTGGTTTGTTGTGCTTGTTTTCTTATGTATTTTGTGTTCTCATTTTGTATATTTGTGTTGTGAGCCAGGCTGCGATCTTTGGATGAAGGGGAGTATACAAATTTAATAAATTAAAATGTATTCAGCGTACATAGGTGTGCACAATGCTTTACAGGGTGGATAAAAATCAATGATTTTTTTAAAAATCAGATTTTTAAATTTTAAATTGGATTTTTTTGATTTAAATAGTTTTTTTATTTAAATTGGATTTTTAAAATAAAATGCTTTTGGAGGAAAAATCTTTCTAAAGATAGTTTTCTATTTAAGTTACATTATAGTCCAAAGGCTATTCATCAGGAAATAAGGATTTGTTGTAAGTTTTTCATGTGTGCTAAAACTCAGTCTGAGGTTTTTTTAAAATAAAAAAATTGTTTAACCACATCAGTTAACAAACAAGGATACATATGCTGTAATGTTATTGTTTAAGTTAAATAAATTGTTTAAATTATTATTAAGAAAATTATTATTTTTTTCCTTCCAATAAAGTACAGCAGAAAAGTTGTCCAAATATAAACAGTTAAGATTTTAAGCCTCACAATAATTTCATAACTATCTGTCTATGTATTTCTAACAGTATAACCAAATCAAATTTTTGATATAACTGTAAAAACTGCTCTGAAAATTTATTATTTTAAAACTGAAACCTTCATCTGGTTGTAAATATTAAGATTATACCAGCAAGAATGAGTCTTTCTGTAAAAAAAATCATTTAAACCAAGTCTTACTGACTAGTGACGCTGGCCACGTGACCCGGAAGTGTCTCCGGACAGTGCTGGCTCCCGGCCTCTTAAGTGAGATGAGCGCACAACCCTAGAGTCGGACACGACTGGCCCGTACGGGCAGGGGTACCTTTACCTTTACCTTTATGTATGTATGTACCAGTACGTATAGAGCCAGCAGGCCTTTGCAGCTCCTCAGTTTTTATTTTTTGATTAGCCAGTTTCCTCAAATGGTTATCTGCTTTTTAAAAAAAGATTTTGTTCTATGTTTTAACGTTGTACACTGTCCCAATATTTTCTGTACAATGTAGTGGCAGAGCGGACATAGTTTTGTGTTCCAAAATATTCTTCAGAATATGGAATTTACTGTAGATTCCGATGTATAAGACGACCTTTTAACCCCAGAAAAGAGGTTAAAAAGTTGGGGGTCATCTTATACGCTGGGTATGGCTGCAGTGGGCGGCGGGCTCCGCGCCGAGATGAAGCTGCCCAGCGATGCTAAGCCGGCTTCACTGGGCGGCTTCCTCCCGGCACGGAGCCCGTTGCCCATTGCTGCTGCGGCGGCAGCAGCTTCGGCAGCTTCACTGGGCAGCAGCAGTGGGCGGTGGGCTCCGCTCTGTGCCGGGAGGCAGCCCCCCAGCGAAGCCAGCTTAGCATCTTCCTCCCGGTGCGGAGCATCACTGGGCAGCTTCACTGGGCAGCTTCATCCCGGCGCAGAGCCCGCCGCCCACTGCCGCTCCCCAGCGAAGCTGCCGAAGGGCATAAGACGACCCTCCAAATTGGCAGCTGCCAATTTGGGGGGTCGTCTTATACGCCCAGTTGCCTAATACGCCGGAATCTACGGTAAATGAAATCATTAGCTGCCACTTGTATGTGGTCTTTCCTTTATACTCTGAGAAGAAGTTTGACATGATTTTTTCTAAGTATATAAATATAAGATACCGTATTTTTTGCTCTATAAGACTCACTTTTTCCCTCCTAAAAAGTAAGGGGAAATGTGTGTGCGTCTTATGGAGCGAATGCAGGCTGCGCAGCTATCCCAGAAGCCAGAACAGCAAGAGGGATTTCTGCTTTCACTGCGCAGCAATCCCTCTTGCTGTTCTGGCTTCTGAGATTCAGAATATTTTTTTTCTTGTTTTCCTCCTCCAAAAACTAGGTGCGTCTTGTGGTCTGGTGCGTCTTATAGAGCGAAAAATACGGTATATGCATATAATGTGTCCTTCAAACAACTCCATGAAATGGGTCAGGCTAAATTATTGAGACTGTCCTAAGGCCCTTAGAGTTACCACTTGCTTCTGTGACTCCTTTTGCACCTTCAGTGGCCTAGCATAGAGTGAGTGGGAACATCAGACCTAGATACCAAATGCGGCTCTCCAGGCCTGTGTACCTAGCCCTTGAGAGCCTCCAGGCCACACTCCCCAGTAGCCGTGTTTCATTTCTTTTGAGTGTTTTTGCCTGCCTGGGGTATCTTGCTTGCCTGGATGGAAGGTAAAATTTGCATGCATTATTCTGCCCCCTTTTAGCTCTGTTTCCACTTGTCTTTGACTCCTGGGAGGCTCTTTGGTTGAAAAGGTTCATCGTCTCTGGCCTAGCAATTAGTAATAGAGCAAGGGAAATTCCCTCATTTCTTTTAGCTCCACAACAGGGAATTTGTTTTCCTGCTAACGTTCACCTGTGTTGGTTGTGTGTCAGGTTGCTGTTGCAACCTTCAGATCTATAAGTGAGAGATACAAGGTGGAATAGTGCTGAGGCAAATAATTAAGATGGTGGTATCTGCTTAAGGCTTTACCCCTGTGTAAACCCTCTTTTCCTACTTCAATGTTCAAATTTACAGTGGTACCTCGGGTTAAGTATTTAATTCGTTCCGGAGGTCCGTTCTTAACCTGAAACTGTTCTTAACCTGAAGCACCACTTTAGCTAATGGGGTCTCCTGCTGCTGCCGTGCCGCCGGAGCCCGATTTCTGTTCTTATCCTGAAGCAAAGTTCTTAACCTGAAGCACTATTTCTGGGTTAGCGGAGTCTGTAACCTGAAGCGTATGTAGCCTGAGGTACCACTGTATTGCGCCACAATGACTCATTTCCTGTCTTCCCCTCATCCACCCACTGACCTTGAATAGATCTATGCTATGTCACACCCACAGTAGTTCAGGCTTAGGGAAGCTCTATTCCAACCAAACAGGGCATCTCCCCCCCCCCCCCCCCCGTACAGCCCTGTTCCTTTGTCTTGCTCTGAGAAAAAAAGTATGCATTCAAATTTAATTGCCACTCCACCTAGATATACTGCCCTACCCGCTTTTGACATTCAGTTGGCTATACAGTGGTACCTTGGGTTACATATGCTTCAGGTTACATACGCTTCAGGTTACAGACTCCACTAACCCAGAAATATTACCTCGGGTTAAGAACTTTGCTTCAGGATGAGAACAGAAATCATGCTCCGGCGGCACGGCGGCAGCGGGAGGCCCCATTAGCTAAAGTGGTGCTTCAGGTTAAGAACAGTTTCAGGTTAAGAATGGACCTCCGGAACGAATTACGGTAAGTTCTTAACCCGAGGTACCACTGTATATCTCATCTAGGCTTTCCTAACATGGGAAGCAGGTAGGACCTAACCTCTCCCAGTCGGTGCACCTAATGGTTGGGATTGCATAAGATAAGAACAGCCTGCTGATGTCCTATCTAGTCCTGCATCCAGATGCCTGTGGGAAGCTCTCAAGCAGGACCCGAGCACAAGAGCAGTCTCCCCCCCTTGTGGTTTCTAGCAACTGGTATCTGGAATAATTAATTATTACCTCCAACTGTGGGGGTGGAGCAACTGATAGACTTATCCTGAATTTGTCCAATCCTCTTTTATTGCCTTCCAAGTTGGTGGCCATCGCTGCCTCCTGTGGGAACGAGTTCCATAGTTTAACTGCGTGCTGCCTGAAGAAGCATTTTATCTATCCTGAATCTTCCGACTTTCAGTGTTATGAGAGAGGAAGAAAGTCTAACTACTTCTTCTATGCCAGGCACATCCAGCTCCCAAGAGACTGCGATCTACTCCCAGTATAAAAAAAACTGAGAGAAGTGAAAGTTGTTGAGCTTTTTTAAAGGGGGGGGGGAGGCTAACCATTAACTATGACGCTAACAACTGCACAAAACAATAAAGTCAACTAACGTTGGAAGAAGACTAAAAAGGATCACACTTATGACACGATGTAGGGACAGAGCGAGGGGAGTGGGGGGGCCCCGGAAACATTCATTATACATTGCTTTTAATCCCGCAATCAAAAAGGATCCTGCGATCGACCGCTATCACCCGGGGATCTAGCTGTCGATTGCGGCTGACAAGCTGGACATCACCGCTCTATGCCATTCATATTTTTATACACTTCGATCATGTCAGTTCTTGCCTTTTCTCTAAACGAAAAAGTCCCAAAAGTCACCTTCTCTTCATAGGGGAATTGCTCTTGGTTGCCCTTTCCTGAACCTAATTTACCTCACACAGCTCTGTTGTTATTATTGCTATTGTTATTTTATTTATCAGTTGCTTCCTGTGAAACATCTCAAAGTGGTTTCACAATGTGGTAAGAACATGTTGCTATGAGTTTGGTTGAGAGGGAGACTTGCCATAACCTCTAGAATAGATCATGGGTAGGTACCGTATTTTTTGCTCTATAAGACTCACTTTTTCCCTCCTAAAAAGTAAGGGGAAATGTGTGTGCGTCTTATGGAGCGAATGCAGGCTGCGCAGCTATCCCAGAAGCCAGAACAGCAAGAGGGATTGCTGCTTTCACTGCGCAGCTATCCCTCTTGCTGTTCTGGCTTCTGAGATTCAGAATATTTTTTTTCTTGTTTTCCTCCTCCAAAAACTAGGTGCGTCTTGTGGTCTGGTGCGTCTTATAGAGCGAAAAATACGGTAAACTAAGACCCGGGGGCCGGATCCGGCCCGGGGGTGATCTGGGAATCAGCGTGTTTTACATGAGTAGAATGTGTCCATTTATTTAAAATGCATCTCTGGGTTGTTTGTGGGGCATAGGAATTCGTTCATTCCCCCCCCCTCCAAATATAGTCTTGCCTCTCACAAGGTCACAGGGACAGTGGACCGTCCCCCTGCTGAAAAAGTTTGCTGACCCCTGCTCTAGATGCAGTATAGAGCTAGAATTTGAGCAAACTCATAAGTTCATAAAGGAAGCAAGGTTTGGTTAATTAAAAAGCCAAGCATTTTAGGATCACAAGCCCAGGCAGCTTTGCACAGCTACCTGGGGATAAGCCAAGCACAGCTTTCTCCTGATTGAAGTGCAGAGTGTTTGATGATTGGGACATTTGCAGGGAAACCAAAATGCTTGTTTACAAAGCTATTGTACTACTGTATGCTTGTGAAAAATGGACCACTTATAAATGCCATCTCCAACTCCTCAAAAAGATTCCATCAATGGTGTCCCTGAAAATTTTTACACATCACTTGGGAAGACAGGTGAACTAATATCAGTGTACTGGAAGAAGCAAAGATCACCAGTGTGGAAGCAATGATTTTTCAACATTGCTTTTTTGTTGGACTGGTCATGTTGTTTGGATGCCTGATTATCATCTTCCAAAGCAACTACAGTACTCTATTCCAAACTTAAAAATGGAAAGCACCATGCTGGTGGTCAACAAAAGAGGTTTAAAGACTCTCTCAAGGCAAATCTAAAGAAATGTAGTATAAATAGCGAAAATTGGGAAACACTGGCCTACAAGTGCTCCAGCTGGAGAACAGACTTTACCAAAGATGTCATGGACTTTGAAGACGTGCGAACTCAGGATGAAAGGGAGAAATGTGCTTAGAGGAAGGCATGTTTGGCAAATCCTCACCGTGATCAACTCCTGCCTGGAAACCTATATCACCACTGTGGAAGGACGTGTGGATCCAGAATTGGCCTCCACAGTCAGTTATGGGCTCACTGTTAAGATTGTGTTCATGGAAGACAATCTTACTTGGCTAAGGAGTGATTGCCAAAGAAGTAAAAGAAGAAACTGTAAGGTCTGGACTCCCTCCACAAACTGTATTTGGTGTAAATACAGTGGTGCCTCGCAAGACGAAATTAATTCGTTCCGCGAGTTTTTTCGTCTTGTGGTTTTTTTCGTCTTGCGAAGCACAGTGTCGGAAAAGTTTTGGAAAAGCTTCAAAAATCACCAAAGTCTTCAAAAACCTCAAAAAAGGCTACCACACCGCGTGCTATGAGTTGCTCCTCGAAGTCAAGTCGCAACTATATTAACGGTTTTAAGAAAAAGGAAACAAACTTGCAAGACGTTTCCGTCTTGCGAAGCAAGCCCATAGTGAAAATCGTCTTGCGAAGCAACCCAAAAAACCAAAAACCCTTTCGTTTTGCGAGTTTTCCGTCTTGTGAGGCATTCGTCTTGCGAGGTACCACTGTATGTGAATGTCATATTTCTTAAAGTCAAGACAGCTTGTGCTGTGTCTTGATTCTCAAAGAAATACAGATCCTGTGTGAGTTCTTGGAACCTCCTGGAATCTTGCTGCTGCTCAGCTGAGAGTGAGGCGTGGTGGCATCAAACTTTTGCAGCAATATATAAAGCAGTTGCATTATATAAAAACTATTTCAGATTCAGTATAGGCACTGACTGGGATAACAGCCTCCACTTGGAAGACTTGTTTGAAGAGGCAAGTAGGTGCCGAAAAAGCAATAGAGAAAGTGCCTGTCTGAGATGCAATGGGAGCGAGTTCCAAAGGGGGAGGTGCCACCACACTAAAGGCCTGACTGACATTGCACAGAATAGCCCCCCTGAAAGGATGCTATCTGCAGGATGCCCTCTTTTGCAGAACGCAGTGATGGCTTGGCATGTAAGGGATGAGGTGGTCTTTTAGGTATCCTTGTCCCAAGCTGTATGAGACTGTGTACTTCAAAGCCAGCACTTTGAGCCTTCCTGTGGAGTTGATTATCTGCCAGTGCAATTTTTTCAGCAGCAGCATAACGTGATGGGGATACTCTGCTGCAGAGAGTGAAGGAGCTGCTGCATTTTGCACTGGCTGCAGTTTCCAGGTTGACCTCAAGGGCAGCTCCACATAGAGCACATTGCAGTAATCCAATCTGGAGGTTACCTGGACATGGATGGCAGTGGCCAGGCTGTTAAATGAGAGAGGTAGTGTAGTTGCTGAGAGACTGAATCTGGTACTCCCTGGTTTGCATCTTTTCTGTGCCGTGAAGCCTTGAGGTGGCGTTTCTTAACCTTGATTTATTTATTTATTTATTTATTTGAAGTGTTTTCCCCTTGCTCTTCAGCTGGAGAAGACTTCCAAAGCAGCTTACAAAGATTGATAACAAGGCAATGCCAGCATTCAGGCTTTCATTGTAAAGGACGCAGTTCAGTAAGAAAAGGGATGGGGGTGGGAAAGCACACTCAGGTGCTAGTTTTTAGTTACAGAGCTTTTGTAAGGATCAGGTGAAAAGGAGAAACTGTTTAGGGAGAGGAGGAACCAAAAGTTTCAGGTGTCTCAGCAGAGTTGGTGGAATGGGCTTCTTTACCTTCTCTATCCCCCTTACATGGACTAATTTAAGAATTGAAATAATTATTTGTAGCAATCAGTTCTTTAAGGAACTGAATATTTTAATACCTATTTTTAAAGCATTGTTACCTACTGTCTTTATGTGTTTTATCTTGTTTTTTATTACCCACCTCAGAAACTTGGCTGAAGGGCAGCTTATGAATATATGAATAAAAATCCTGGTTCCTCCTTTGTTTACTTTCCTTTAATAAGCTACCTGAACTTCCTCTGTATCTGATACAGGAAGCAAGGCTGTATTTGTTTTACTACAGCAATTCAGCGAGAGTAACTGGTTGTGCTGGTACCAGGAGAAAAGGAGCCACACGACCCCCAAACCCCCTATTTGAAGTTCCCCCCTCTTATTCCCAGGCTACAGCATCTGGAAGGTCAGAGATTGTCCACCCCTACCCTAGAATTGTCCATCCTTAGATTGTCCATCCCTAGCTTGGGGTTGTGGTGTGGCTCGGTTGACTGGTAAAGTATGCACATAGGATAGCATTTCCAACAGTGAGCCTGCCTGGTGCCTCCTCATTTGCCTGCACTGCCTCTCTTTTGTCCATCCATGGAAATAAAGGCACATATTCCAGCCAGGCATGAGCACTTAAGGAGTGCATAGCATGGCTTGGGGAGAGTCCCAAGGGCCTGATTGGCTTGGCAGTTTCCTAAGCACTCAGGTATTGGACTTGACTCATTGTGATTGCACACAGAAATAATTAAATTTACTGTCTGATCTAACTGTATTTATTGGGCACAAGATCCACTGATTCCAATAGGTTTTGCTTCCTGTTAAACCTGCTTAGAATAACAGCATTGTGCAGAAATCCTGAGTACACTTATTAGTGAGTAGGAGTCATTGAACTCAGTGGGATTTACTTCTGAGTAAACATGCTTAGGATTACAGTGTTGGGATAACTTCTTTAGAATGTTAAGTGTGGAGAATGCTTTAATGTTCTTTAATAACTTTTTAAAAATTCTGTCTTGGATTATTACATTCAACTCCAGGTGTCTAAATCAGCTTTTCTGTTCTTCTAGTCAAAAATAGAGCTGTTTGTGAACAGACTGGACTCGGTTGAATCAGTTCTACCGTATGAATATGATGCGTAAGTATACCCAGATACCATTAAGCCAGAGTTTGCATTTCCCCATTAAAATGTTTGTTTAAGCAAAGTGACATCTAATTTGCAGTGTTCAGATGATTGCTAACTGAATGGTAAAACTTCTTTGGAATAGTTTGCACGGGTAAATTGGCTTTGAGATGATTTAGGGGTCTAGCCAACACCATCTGACAAACGGTGGTTTATGAGTGACCAGAAACCGTGATTTGAAACTATGGTTTTGGCAAACTGTGGTTTAACTTTGCATCCAAACCAACCAACTGTGGTTTGGGATGTTACTCCCTGTCAGAGCCTACTGCTTGGGAAGGGGTTCTCAGTGAAGGCTGGTGAAGAGAGTTAGTACAGAAATCATGATGTGCCTGTACATTAAGAATATACATCATGGTTTGGCAGTAGAACTATAATGAATGAAAACCATGTTTTGTGTTGTATCTACAACATAATCCATCAGTTAAAAAACGCTTAGAGCAAGGACGTGGAACCTGCAGCCTCCAATTGCCATGTTTCCCAGCCAGCATAGCCAGTGGTCTGGGATGATGAGAGGGGTAGTCAAAGAACAGAACACCACCTGCTTGATTTAGATTAGAACCTAGTTACAAGTGCAACTCTTGTAATGCAGAGTGGAAACAACCTTCTTCTTCTTTGTTTGTTCATAGTTTTGACTTTTGTCAAGATGCAGAAGAAAAAAGGCCTTCAGAAAATCTTGGACAAGTCTTGTTTGGAGAGCGGATAGCATCATCGCCCTACAAGGTTCATGCAACTTTTCAGTATGATTTGGATGACTCTGTGTGTGTGTGTGGTGTGTGTGTGTGTGGCTAAATGCTGAAGGTTTGTTTGTTTTGGTCTGTAGTACAGATGGGAAGGCCTGAAACCCCCCCGCCCAAATGGGGGGAAAACCAGTTCCCCACCCCCCGTTTTTTCCTGAAGCCATTTTCTTGAAGCTGAGGGCCTTCAGGCAGTTCCCTCATTTTGAGAAGCAAAGCTACAGGGAACTAGGCAGAGGGCCTTCTCGGTAGTGGCGCCTGCCCTGTGGAATGCCTTCCCATCAGATGTCAAAGAAATAAACAACTACCTGACATTCAGAAGTTTTTAATGTGTGACATTTTAGTGTATTTTTGGTCTTTGTTGGAAGCCGCCCAGAGTGGCTATGGAAACCCAGCCAGATGGGCGGGGTACAAATAATAAATTATTATTATTATTATTATTATTATTATTATTATTTTATTATTACTTGTTGTACTTTGAGTAGCTTTAGATGTGGCTTTATGTCCCTCATTTTGTGTTTAAAACTTTTTAAAAAAGTATTTATTTGTATCCTGCCCAGAGAATTTTTTGTTATGGGGTAACTTCAATGGCCTTCCAATTGTATTAAAAAAAAAAATCAGTTAATTAATTTTGTGTTTTCCTTTTTTAGCTTAGGGATTGAAAACTTGCTTTTGAAGGGGAAAGCAAGGATTCTCTGAAAATACCTATTTGGTTGCATGCATTGCACCTGGAATTTGCACAGGGGTGTGTTTGTGTGTTTGGGGGAGCAGGAGGAGGGAAGAGATTTCAATTTGGGAGCACTGAAGAGAAAATAAAACTGCACAGAATTCATAAAGGTGTTTAGATGTTAAATGGCTGCTTTTAAGTTAAGGGTTGGGCTAATGATAACAAAAGTGTAATTTTGAATGAAAGAAGATGTGTCATTTCCAGCTGCATGGAGTAAAAATGTTAAAACACTTCTGTGCTTATATCAGTTTACATTTAAGAAAAACCAACAATGCCAAGTGGCCTGTATGAAGTCTTATGACCCGGAGAATACAAATGACAAAAACAAGCTGGAATTCTTGAAGAAAGGAATGAGGTTGAATTACCAGCATCATTGGTGAGTCCATACATTCTGTGAAATCAACAGTCTGTGGAAGGAAGGAATGGAAATTGTCTATTGAGATTTGAAAGATACCCCAAATTTTGTCCAATACTGATTTCATAAAAGAGAGCAAAGTAATTCACATGCAATTCTAAAATGCATTTTAAAAGCAAATGTGCCAATAAACTCGGGGGCGTTTCTGACTCTTAACAGAATTACCTGCTTGCAATTTTTCTTGTGTAGGATTATCGATAACATGCCAGTGACTTGGTGTTACGATTTTGGAGAATTACATAAATTCTGTAATCCAGGATTTCCAGTTGGATGCTTCGTGGCTTCAGATGGCAGAGCTAAAGATTCCTGCACTATAAATGTAAGTGGTCAGGGTGCATTTCCTTAATGTTTTCTCATAAGGTATTAGATATAGACCTCTGGCATTTTTTAGAATCCTGTGAAGGTTCAGATGCAGCACCAAACCTTGGAGCAGTGTCTGAACTCACAGTGTCCTTCAAACCATCGTCTAGAAGCGGCCACCAAATAACCACTTGAAACCATTGAATGAAGCTGACTTGCAGAGCAGAGCTTGAACAAAGTGGCTTGGCATTAAAACTGAACAGGAAAACAGTGATTGGGATGTTTCTCTGCCCTCAGTAGCTATTGTGTGGGATAGCGCCTAGGAATTCTCGGGGGAAAGCGAAACAGTATGACTCTTTAGCATGCTTGCACTTTTTGAACACAAACCATGGCATGAAGTCTAAACTATGCTTAGCAAAAGGCAGTCTCTACCACGAAATGTAAGAATGGTCACCAATTTGGATGGCTTTTAAAAGGGATTAGCTAAATTAATGGATTATAAGACTGTCAGTGGCTTCTACTCACAATGACTGCATAGCACCTCCAGAGTATGCTCAGAATGCCAGCTGCTGGGGAGTGAGGATGCTGTTGTGCTCACGTCCTGCTTGCAAATTTCCCATAGACATCTGGTGAGAACAGGATGTTGGACCAGATGGGCCTTTCGTCTTATCTAGCAGAGCTGCTCTTGAATTCTTGTGGCTTGGCATTGGCTATGTTTTTGTGTCACACTAAATCATGGTTTAGCAAGATGGGTGGCTTGTCTTTGACATTGACCATAGTTGGGAATAAACTGCAGTTGCTTGGTTACGTTACATGATAAGCCAAGATTTAGGAAACCGAAACTACACTGCAAAAATCACCTTCCTTGTCATGGGTGGAGTAGGAGGGGGAGTGTATGCGCCCAAGCTTCACAGCGGCTCTTTCCTCCTCGTGCATGCCACACTAATGCGGTTTGCCTCCCCACCACTGGCATGTGGCCCTTGGAATATTGACCATGGTAGAATGTGGCCCTCGGACTGAAAAAGTTCCCCCACCCCTGCACTAAATGGTGGTTTAGCTGGTTGTGCAAATGTTATGCCTGAACCATGCCTTGTTGGTACGTGCAAAAACTCCTGCTGAACAATTAAGAAGATATATGATGGGGGAAGGAAATACAAAATGTGTGTCATGAAGGATGAGTCTGAGCATGTTTATTTGGACTGGTTGCCAGCTGTGTATTGAAGGGCTCAGTTGATTATCACTTGCTGACTCTTGATTTTGATTGAATTTTTGGCCCTCTAAACATAGCCAAAATTAAATAATCAATGAGAGCCTATAATTAAAGAGAATTAAAAATAAATGTAGGCTACAGATTACAAGATAAGAGAAAGTAGACAAGAGAATACCAGCATCTGTAACTCAGCTGGGAATGACAATAACTCACTGGTAGAGCATCTGTTTCACATGCAGACAGTCACAGGTTCGATCCCCGATATCTCCAGGTAAGGCTGGTAGAGACGGCTGCCTGAAACCCTGGTGACCTGCTGCCAGCCAGTGTAGGCAGTGCTGAGTTAGATGGACCCAATGGTCTGACTCTGTATAAGGCAGTTTCCCATGTTCCTCTCACGATCATTACTATCGCATTTAAGAATTGCTTCCTATGAAGGACCTCAAAGCAATTTACAGTACAGTGGTACCTCGTTTTACGAACTTAATCCATTCCGGAAGTTGGTTCTTAAACTGAAACTGTTCTTAAACCGAGGCACGCTTTCCTTAATGAGGCCTCCCACCCCTGGTGCCCTTCTTCTGTTCGGCTTCCATTCTTAGACGGAGGTAAAGTTCGCAAACCGGGACACTATTTCCGGTTTTGCGGAGTTCGTAAACCGAATTGTTCGTAAACAGGGCTGTTCTTAAACCGAGGTACCACTGTGCTGTAAAATCATGTAAAACAGTTACATATATAAAATATTTTTTTTTGCATATAATACAGTTCAACAATAATGTAAAATCAGTTTCAAATCTGACAGAGATGCCAACTGAGATAACAAAACTCCGCTTAGAAGGCTTGGTGAAAGAGGTGAGTCCTCAGCAAGCACCTCAAAGACAACAGAGACAGCACCTGTCTCATATGCAATGGGAAAAAGGCCCAAAGGGTAGGCGTCACCACATAATAGGCCCATTAACAATATGGTACAGAACAGACCTCCTGATAAGATGGTAGCTGCAGGATTCCCTCTCCTGCAACACAGGGTTTGATTGGGGTCTATATGGAATGAGATGATCTGTTAGGTGTTCAAAGCTCGCTCCGTCATGGAACCAAAACCACCCTTTGCTAGTCTGGTGCCCTCTGGATATTGGCATCAGCTGCAGCCAACATGACTGATACCTAAAACATCTGTCTAAAACAGCCAGAGGGTCTCTGGTTGACCTAAAATATCTGAGCAGAGCTACATTTCACTTTCCCAGCACTTTCACTTGGGAACAGTTTGGCCGGAAAATAGAAAAGCAGTTTTGATTCCATGGCTAGCTCAGATGCTGTGTTGTTTGCTCCTGTGTGTTGTTCTGCCCATCCCAGAGTATGCATTACGTGCCCAGAAGTAATGTGAGAATTAGGCGATGATGGTTCAGGTCTTGCAGAAGAATTCTCGGTAGGTATTGCTGGGCATTGGAATATCTACAGGAAGAAAGGGCTGTTTAATGTCTCTTTGTACAGTGGCAAATTTCATTGGCTATAAAGATATTATTGCATATTATTATTCTTATTATTAACAAGGCATAGGACCAAGAAAGCAATCAATGATGGTCACAGGGGAACACATTGATGGGGATGTATACTAAAAGTTTAATTTACAAGGATAGTTGAGTGCTTTTTTATTTCCTTTGCTTTGGAGCTGCGTCCATGAAAAGTAAACAGCAGATAACCAGCGTCAAGTAGTGAGAGTGTAATTAAATATATTTGTCGGTAGGTTTTCAGAGATTGAGAGACTCATTCTCCAAAGTAGGTTTTTAAAATAATAATAATAATAATAATAATAATAATAATGTACAGTGGTACCTCGGGTTACATATGTTGCTTCAGGTTACAGACTCCGCTAACCCAGAAATAGTACCTCGGGTTAAGAACTTTCTGAAATTGTCATTTCTCTTCCCAAAGTTTATACAGCAGACTTCCCAGAGTCATCAGCTTTATTGCATTAGCCTGGAAAAGGCCATTGTTCTCTTAGAGGAACTGCAGCTACTATTCCAAAGCCCACCCTTTATATGCCAGAAACAAAGGGCTGCTTTACATATTGCATTGGAAATTAACAGTGTGCGTTATTGGGTAAGGCTGGAGGTGCATGAAAAAGTAGAGCCTGAACAGTTGAATGGAGGAGAAGAGTGTACAGTGAATGAAATGGGTAGTGCTTCCTATTCCACTCCCAAGAAAAGCATCTGTGTTTCCGGAACTTGTTTCTGATTTCCTTGAACCTTCAGTGTGACTCCAAAGGTTGGATCTATCCACACAAGATACAGACACAAGATACACCACACATTTAAAGCGCATGACTGTTTCTGAAGCATCCTGGAAACTATAGTTTGTTCTGGGTGCTGGGAATTGTAGCTCCATGAGGGGTGAATTCCTAAAATTCTTGGGATTCTTCTTTTTTATTAAAAAAATTAAGCTGTATTTAAAAAATTGAATAAATAATACTGAAAATAATAATAAATCCTTTTTAGGCATTTAATGGCTCTATTTCTCTCCCCCACGCCCCCAGTCTGAGTTCAACAAGAAGAATACCTACTATCTTTTCAACCACGTTGATATTACGATCACGTACCACAGTGCGCAGAATGAGAACTGGCTCGGAGCTCGCCTGGTTACGGCTCGCCTGGAACCCAAAAGGTAACTGCTGGGCACTTGACAATTTACAGCGTGTCAGTTCACAGGCAGATACTATTCGTACCGAGTTCCGTTTTGGTTACCTGCTCTGTTTGGTGCTGGGGTGCTAAGCAGTACAAGAAGCCTGCAACATGCACCTGCTTTCTTATGCAGTCGCGACCTTTCGCAGGTGGGGAATAATAAAGAAATGGAGAGTAGGGGAAGCCCACAGTTCCCTGCTTTCCATTTATTTATTTTTCCTTCAACCCTTTGCATTCACAGAGTCTACTCAGGCTTTAAGGAGGCGGCGAGAGGTCCCTCGGAGCATTCCACTTTTTGTGCTCCTGCATTGTTCTTTACCCATATATATATGTTTGCTTTCCCGTTTATGCTGGATACTGAATCTGTTAAAATCTGTCCTTAAGGAAGTGCAGACTCAAAACACTCTTCATCCTGTTCAAATCTGCTCAATGGATGTACGATTTGAATTTACCGTACAGTGGTGGTTCTTAAAACTGTGATCTGTGGACCACTGTTGGACCCTCAATGTCGTTCAGGTGGTCTGTGCTGTGCCTGTGGATTTGTGGTTGAAGGTGGGAGACAGCACATTCATTAGAGAATTATGGAATTGTAGAGTTGGAAGGGATCCCAAGGTTCATCTACGCCAACCCCCTGCAATCTCCGCTAAAGCATCCATGACAGCTGGCCATCCAACCTCTGCTTAAAAACTTCCAAAGAAGGAAAGTCCACATTCTCCCGAGGGAGACCATGCTGCTGTCAGAAAATTCTTCCAGGATGTTTAGTTGCAATCTTCTTACTTGTAGCTTGAAGCCTTTGGATTGGGTCCCACCCTCCGAGCTTGCTCTGTTTTCTGTGTGACAGTCCTTTAGATGTTGGAAGATGGTAATCATATCTCTTCTTAGTATTCTCTTATCCAGGCTAAACATACCAAATTCCCGTTGGATTGAAAATAAGTGGTTTCCAGTTGTACAGGTTAAAGATAAGGATAGATTAAGATTAAAGATTAAGATTAAAGATGCTTAAAGAAATGGAAATTTGATAATAAAAGGGAAAAATTTGAAGCTATGTGACATTAAGAGTAAGGATTAGGTTTAAAAAAGTGAAGTTATATATTTTAATATTTTATTAAATTAAAGATTGGGATTAAAAAAGTGGAAAAGAAACTGCTGGATAAATAATGTGGATTGGAATACAAAAGAGGGAGGTATGAGGAAGTCCAGAAAATAAGTAATTTAAAATTGGAAATGGAAAAGAGAGTTTGTTTTTAATTGTTATGTTTTGTGTTTTTATTGTTATTGTTCTTTGTGTGTGTTGTTTTTCTTTTTTCTTTGTTTAAAACTTTAATAAAAATTATTTAAAAAAAAATAAATAAACATACCAAATTCCCTCAACCGTTTCTCATACATAAGGCTTGGTTTCCAGACCCTCAATCATCTTGTTTGGCCAGCTTGTCAATATCCGTAAACTGAAGTGCCCAGAACAGGATACAGCACTCCAGTTGTGGTCTAACCAATGCAGAATAGAGCAGTATATTGATCTGGATTCTATACTTGTGTTGATGCAGCCTAGAAGAGCATTAGCTTTTCTTGCTGCTTTTTTTTTAAAAAAAAAACTGGAATTTTATTTACAACATAACACAACCCCTCACCCCCCAAACACATTAAACATGAACATAACATACAGTGAACATAACATACAAATACAAACAACCAAATAGAAGACTTACTTTATCCTGTATCTGGCTTCCTTATTTACTTCTTATAAACTGTGTCCTTTATGAATAATTATTAAGTTTTTTCTAGTTATAACTTTAAGTATCCACAAAGTTTCCTGCAGACTTTAATCAAAACAAATCTAGGTATGTATTTTAGGGCACTGTTTTGTGAATTGTTCTCTGCATTTTCCCCTTGCTTTTTGAAACTTTTGTCTAATGTGATCTCTAGTGTGGTCTCTGTTAATCTAGACAGTTCAATATACTCTAACAGTTTATTCCTTTTTTGTTGGCACAGTTTCTTTTTTCCAGTTTTTAGCAATTAGGATCCTTGCCGCTCCTGTGGCATAGAGGAATATTTTCTGATCTTCTCTTGCTATGCCTGTGTCCGTTATCCCTAGTAGAAAAGCTTCTGTATTTTTCATAAAGTTATACTTAAACATTTTTTTAAGCTCATCATACACTGTGTTCCAGAAGCTCTTGATTTTTTCACAGGTCTTTTCTTGCTGCTTTATCACACAGTTGGCTCATGTGAAACTTGTGGTCTACTAAAACCCCTAGATCCATTTCACTTGTACTACTGGCAATCCAGGTGTCCCCTATCTTATATTTGTGTCGCTGGTTCCTCCTGTCTGAGTGCAGAACCCCATTTATCACTATTGAAATTCATTTTTATTAGTTTTGGCCCATTTCTCCAATCTCCAATATGCGATTCATCTGTGGCATTAGCTACTTCTCCCAAGTTTTATGAGCATCCCTTCAATTCCTTTGTTCAAGTCGTTTATAAAGACACAGAATCCTGTGCCACTCCACTTCTCCCTTTTTTCCAGGATGATGAGGAACTAATAGCGAGCGCTCTTTGGGTTTGGTCAGTCAACCAGCATGTTGCACCAAATACTCGTATTGATTTTTAATGGTATTTTCGATTGCTTATTTTATTTCTCTTATTGTATTGCAATCTGAAATCTATGGAATGCATCCAAATGCATTATATAAGAAGGAGGGGAAGCTGCGAAAATGTAATTAAAAACCACACAGCCTTTAGTACAGCTCATTATGATTGCTACAACAAGGCAGAAAAATCATTAAGTGATCCACCAAGAGTCTCAGCAATTTTCAGGTGGGGAAAAAACGGGTTTGGGAACCACTGCCCTCCTGAATGGCTTGCGATAACTGTTTTGGGGTAATGCATTCCACAAGGGGGCATAGTTAAGTTTTCTTTCACTGCCTTGTTTCTACCCGTCTCTCATTCTCTAGTGTTTATGGGAGGCACCGTGAGATTTTGTGCTTAAAAAGAGGTTGAAACACATTCTTTCTGTGTGTATCTACAATATCTATCATCTATCTATCTATCTATCTATCTATCTATCTATCTATCTATATCTATCATCACAAAACGGATGTTTGCTGCCACACGTAGTCTAAAGATATATTGTAAGAGAATGGTTCGAGGTGCTTGAAAATACGGGTTGCTTCACCTGCAATGCCTGCAATCTTTTCTCCCTCCATTAGGTGGCCCTGTAGTTCCTTGTAAGAGTACTGGTCTACTTTGCTCCAAGGGAAGGAGATGGGTTAGAGTGAAAAAGTTAGCCCTTTCCTTTGGAATTGAGCTTGACCTGGCCCGTGTTTCTCCTGTGTTGCTGTCAGTGGCATTGAACCTGCTCTGCAAGTAGCGGGAGGGCACTGCTGGCAAAATGTGGATGGAGTTGCATCTTGTAAGGCTTCTCAAATCACAATGAAGATTGCTTTTATTTTTTTAAGCTCTGCATTCTGGAAACTTAGCATTAAACAGCAGTGGGGAGATATTCAACTGTTTGATCCAACACCCCAGCAAACTGGGAAAGGGCCATAGCTCAGTGACAGTGCTTTGCAAGCAGAAGATGTCATGTTCAGTCCCTGGTGTTTCCAGGTTGAGCTGGGGATGCTCCCTGTCTGAAATTCTGGAATACCATTTGCCAGTCATTGTGGACAATCCTGAGCAAGCTGAACCAGGATCACGAAAAGCTGCCTTATACCATGTTCTGGCTCCCCAGTTTTGGAAGCAGCATCAAAAATAAATTAGATGCAATGCTGGTTGGGCAAAGCTCTGTGCCCTGGTGGGAATGCAGATACCCCAATCATCAGATCAAAAATGGTGGTGGGGGCAATACCTCCCCCCCCAGCCAATCTGCATGTGTCAGCTGAGGAGGGTGGGCTGTACGTGTGTCATGAGAACGTGCGTGCAAGATTGTGGAGTGGTCACACCCTCCGCTTTCATGTGCTGCTTGGCTAAAAATAAAACTAAAATTGGCCAGCCTTGTTTTACAGCTATTTCAAGGAAATAACTGGCAGCAAAACATTAACTGAGAGGGTTGAAATCTGTAAGTGTACAATGGGTCCAAAAGAGCTCTTATAGTAGCTGTTCCCAGGCTGTCGGTGCTGACCCACAGCTCCTGGAGGACTGTTGAGAGAGCACTGTTTCTAGGGCTCAGCCTCAAGAGTAGCCTCCTTAGGTTAAACTCTGCTCTGTTCTCCCTGCCCCTCTAGTTGGTCTGCTTCCTGTGTCTTGAAGCTCCTTGCCAGAATGATGGGGAAGGGGTGTGAACTAGATACCAGATAGGGATGGGTAATGCGCATTAGGAGCCACGTGGTCCAGATTCTACCATGGTCATTTCCCTTCCCTTCTGACAACTCTCTGATGTCAGAAGCAGCTCCACAGGTATTGCTTTTTCTGCAGGTCTGCAGGGATGGCGAAAGTTGCATCTTGCGAACCCTTTCCCAGCTGTATTGCTCTTTAGAAGTACGTGAGCTCTGTTCATGGTAAATCTAACAACCTTAGGCTGAGTTGTTTGCATGGAATTAATATGCAGATATTAATACTTCTCTTATTTGTCAGGGAATCCTAAGATTTCAATCCCATTTACCTCTTCAGTGGGCATACCTTCATGTTTAGGAACCCCCAATTCACGGGCAGGTGTTGTAACTGGGGCACAATGAGTCAGTTGCAGGTTATTCAGGGTGTCCAGACCTCTTTTTTCTCACATTGCAAATTGTTAGGTTCACACAACATGAAAGTTGTTACAAAACTCACCTGGCCTTGAAATAATAATTTTAAAAGCTGGCCTTTTAATTCATAGCTGCAGGGTAACTTAAATGTCTTCCCATTGCTTTGTTTGCTGCAGATTCCTCTACATAAATAAATAAATTGCAAGTTGTATTCCTATGCTTTGGGGATCTGTTCCTTTGCTTTGGGGTCTGTTCCCAGTCTTCTTGCAGAAGTAAATTCCGCAGGCTGCTTTCAATTGTCATACATGAAAAATGGCTCAAGTGTCTTTTCCACTGCAATTATCACAACAAAGCAGCTGATACATCAGGGATGGGAAACTTGTGGCCCTCCAGTTGCATCCATCCTTTGCCTCCACAGCCAGAGGCTGTATGCTTCTGAATATCAGTTGCTGGAAAATGCAGGAGGGGTAAATGCTCTTGTGCTTCAGTTTTTGTTTTGGGCTTCCCATGGGCATCTGGCTAGCCACTCTGAGAACAGGATACTGGACTGGATGGGCCATTATGTTCCTAGGCTTATAGTCAGCATGGTATGGGATGTTCGGAATTGTAGTCCCACAACATCTGGGGTGCTCAAGGTTCCTCAGTTGTGCAATAGCTGTCTTATGTATTCTTGGGTTGTGCTGGGTGGGAGGGGATGCTGGTACTTCATAACATAGCAATGTCCGAATTCTTAAGGAAAAATTGATAGTTCGTAACTTGCAAAGTGGCCCTTAACCTTATAACGCTGCTCTTGATTCTGCGGATCCTCTTGGATCTCACTTTCTTCAGGTTGCGTTTGGCTACCCATCTTGAATTAGTCAACATAGTGTGGGGGACAATTGTGAAATGATCATATTATAAATTGCAACGAAGGTTCTTGCATCATCATGTGTGATAAAACTATATTTTATCTTTGTAGTTATAAACAAACGGATATAAACAATTTGTCTTGTGAAGGCCCCCCCATGGAAATCTCTGCAGAGTTTAACAGCAAGCTGAATCTGATTTACAGTTACTCTGTGAAATTTGAAGTAAGTACAAGAGAGATGTTTTGCAGCTATAATTTCTTAAAGTGGTTCAGATTATCAGTTTTTATAGGCAGTGGGGGAGCAACCTGGGTACTTACTTTAAATTCAGAGTTTAGTCTATTTAGCCGAAACCCCTATAAGTTGTTTAACGTAGTTCATTTTTTATTTTTGAAGTATAAGTAATCGTACAAACATCCCACAGTTGAACACGTAATATACACTGCAATCAGTTACAAATGACATAAATAGTTGATTGATATTTCTCCAAATAGATCTTGTTTTTCATGATTATGATTAATATATACCATGTGCTATCCAAGAATAACCTTGGATTTTTTTTCTAAGGGAGATTGGGAGCCTTTTCGTCACAAAGGAACAATTCCTTCTCTTCTAGTTGCTTAGTCTATATTGAGCACGCATTTAGTTGCTGATCCAAATTGGGGTGGAAGGAATGACTCTGCTTTAATCTCTTAATGAAAAGTTGGTGTTGGCACTGAACGACTGATTGACAGCCTGCTTAGAGGAGAGTCCTGATTGAATATGACACAGCATGGTCAACTGCAGAGAGGGCTTAGTAGCTTGATTTCCATATCCGCTCCAATCCCAATAGCTGTGTTGAGACTAACCCCAAAGGGTGGCAATTAAAGTTAGGTTTTTGTGATGCAAGACACCTGTATTGCAAGGAAGTCGGCGGAGACCATTAACTAGCTTTTGCCCAGGCAGCCAAATGGCCGTCATGGGCTAACAACTTTCATTTTTCCTTCCAAATGGAATGTGACTTGAACCCATGACCTTGAAGTGCAAGCTTCTGTATCCTGTTACCATTCCATTGAGCCACTCGGTCCTCTTAATTTGACAACATGAATGAACTGCCTGTCAATATTTGGCTTTTTAAGAAGACTTAATTTAACTTGGGTATGTAACGTTAACTTCATTAAAAAGCACAAGATGTGTTGTGCCCTGTGGGAGTATCAGCTTTTACAGGTAAATCACCTTGCACCAGTAGCTGTAGTGTCCACACTGAACTCAGTATATGCAGGTACTGCCCCCCCTTCTATCAGTCAGAGATTTTTCTATGCAGCACCATTGCACATTCCTCGCTATAGAAAAGGACAGTTCTTGAGCACATAGATTGAGACCTCCTTTTAGCTTTCGGTTACAGCTAGTGGTTTGTTTTCTGGTGCTAACAGACACAGTTGCACCTACTCCCAGGTTGGCTTACCCAATGGGTTAGTTTAGCCAGCGATAATTAAATGTATGAAGACTTGTTTTCTGAGAAGTGCTCCATTGTTCATCTCATACTTTTTCCATGCAGGAGAACAACAATATTAAGTGGGCTTCGAGATGGGACTACATCTTGGAATCCATGCCCCATACCAACATCCAGTGGTTTAGGTAAGAGATGTTGAAAGTTCTGAAAGAAATAGCTTGCAGCAAAACTTGGAAGATCTGAATCTTGCTTTATTTTTTGGGAATTGTAACTTGTGGTTAGAAAGAAGGCAGCTAGCATTCAAGCCAGCCAACGTCTCATGTTTTCATTTGTGGACTTACTTTTCTCAGGACTGGCCCTCTTGGGAGCTGCTCGAAGTATTGTGTTTCATGCAAAGAATGTGCCTTCTGTATCCTGAAGAAAAGCAATCGGCACATTTTACTTTTATCTTCTCGTTTCAGAGAATTTCTGAGATGTTACAGTTGATCACATTCTTTTAATGCTGTCATGTGATTTGCTTTGGAGTTTTATCTCTGAAGTTAGTATCTACTGTTAAGGAAAAAAGCTCACAGTGAATATGGATTGAGTTCCCCCTTCCCCTTTAAAAAAATATGACGATAAAGAGGAAACCTCTTCTCAGTCTTGAGGCACACAGTGCAAAGTAAGCGTGTATCAACCATTAAACTACAGTTTGAAAAACCAGACTGTGGTTTGTTAAAGGTAAAGGTAAAGGTACCCCTGCCCGTACGGGCCAGTCGTGACCGACTCTGGGGTTGTACGCTCATCTCACTTAAGAGGCCGGGAGCCAGCGCTGTCTGAAGACACTTCCGGGTCACGTGGCCAGCGTGACGAAGCTGCTCTGGCAAGCCAGCACCAGCGCAGCGCACGGAAACGCCGTTTACCTTCTCGCTATAAAGCGGTACCTATTTATCCACTTGCACTTAGGGGTGCTTTCAAACTGCTAGGTGGGCAGGAGCTGGGACCGGACGACGGGAGCTCACTCCGCCTCGAGGATTCGAACTGCCGACCATACGATCGGCAAGTCCTAGGCACTGAGGTTTTACCCACAGCGCCACCTGTGTGGTTTGTTACATCTGAACAAATATCACCTGACATACCATACTTTGTAAATGGCCACAAACTAGGATCTGATACTATGTTTGAAAACCACAGCTGAAGAAAAACTGTAGCTTGCTGTTCACATCCAAACCAACAAACTATGGTTTGGGAAGTTGCTCTGCCCTTGGTGTCTGATGTTTGAGATACCATCTGCAATGTGCAGCTGGAGGCGAAATGACCAAACTGTGGCTTGTCTGTACTTGGAAACCCACTTCATGGGTTAGAATGTAAACTCTGTTTAGTGCAAATCATGGTTTGTGTTGGAGTTCAAAGGGGCATGAAGTTCATATGCACGTGTGCTTCTGATACATATATTTTAATCATGAAATGCTTAGTGTAGTGTTATAAGGCATAGGTCAAATATTATAAGAGCCTGTCGTAAAGCAGGTCTGCAGGGTTTCAGTCGTGAGTCTTTCCCAGTCCTGCCTGGAGATTTCAGGGCAACACCTAAAACCTAAAACCCAACCTAAAATACTTTTCATCAAGCAGTTCATCATAGCACCGTCCCTTGTTCAGTTTTGACTATTTAATCCTATTTAAAGTTTCTAATCACTTTTGCAATGCTGCTAGTTTTGCCACTGATCGCCTGCCCTGGACTTGGAGTGTTCATTGCCACATCATAGACTTAAGAATTTTGTCTGATGCCACATGGGATCGGTTTACCATCTCTGGGTTTGCTTTTCACTTGCAGCATTATGAATTCCCTTGTAATTGTGCTCTTCTTGTCTGGAATGGTTGCCATGATCCTTCTGAGGACTTTGCATAAAGATATTGCAAGATACAACCAGATTGACTCCTCGGTAAGTAAAATGGGGTGCCTTTTTAAGTTCTGAAATGGAGGGGTGGGGCAGAGCTGTACTAATGTGCCGGTGCTGCAAGGCCCCTTGAAGCAAGGGGGATTCTGAGTAGGTCTGTGAAGTCTGGAGGCTAGCATAGCAGTCCTCTTTCACGGTTGAGGGCAAGATGTGCCGCTGTAACTGTTGCAACACTGGAAAGAAAAGATGTGCACTTTGCTCCCTACCTTAACACAAGAACACAAGAAGAGCCCTGCTGGGCCAGGCCGAAGGCCCACCTAGTCCACCCCCCTGTTCTTCTCACAGTGATCAGAAAGATTCCTCTGGGATACCTGCAAGCAGAACATGAGTGCAACATCAATTCTCACCAATTTTGATCCCCAGCAGTTGGTATTCAGAGGCATTCTGCCTTCCACAGTGGAGGTGGAACCTAGGCAATATGGCTACCATCCATTCATTGCCTTGACCTACACTGATTTCTCTAATCTTTTAGAGACATACGAGGTGGTGGCCATGGCTACCCCTAGGGAGAGCAGATTCCATAGTTGCACCGTGAAAGAAGTACATCCTTTTGCCTGCCCTGAATCTTCCAACATTCAGCTTAACTGGAAGAACCCAAGTTCTAGTCTTGTGGGAGAAGGAGAACAGATGATGCAGAGCTGAGAGGGAGGTGACAGAGGAACTCTTGCCCCTTCTGCAGCAACCATTTGTTGCCTTCCTTGGGAGCCATATTCCTAAAGGCCAGGCATTTCTTGCTTTCCTTTGTCTTTCCATTTTCCCAGCGGCTCACTAGAAAGCTACAGGTGGTCTGCTTGGGAAGTGGCTCCTGTGGCCGCCTCAGTGAAGAGCTCTTAAAACTTTAAGCAAATAGGCTGTATTTACTTAGCTAATTAAAACAAAAGTCTGCAAAATACAGACTTTCCATCAGCTGTCATTTGGAAGTAATGAACAGCCTTACAAAAATCCTGCTTTCCCAAGGTGAGGAGTGCCTTGCTTCATATGAAACAAATCAGGGGCTCAGCTCTCATGCTTTGCTTAGGTAATTTGATTTCTTCTCTGGCAAGACATTATCAAGCTTTAAAGGCAGCAGTGTTGGTGCGGCAAGAACTTACTATGTCTCAGGTTTCTAGGGAAAATATTTTTTGCTGCATTGTCTCTTTGCAGGGGGAGTTTAATCATGGCTTAAATTTCCCAGATATGCTGCATGAGCAGTGATTTAGACACCTAAATCTCATATGTTGGGGAACCTTAAACTTATATTCTTAACCAACCCCATAGAAGCTTTTCCTTTCAGCTTCCTAGGTATTTGGCTCCCAAGATTCCAACCAAGGTTACATAGAGTAGAATGTGTCCCGCCACTCCCTTCTATGGAAAGTGCCCACCTTTGGAGGGTGGAAGAATTGCTGGGTGCCTGAGTACCTAGAATCATAGAATCTTAGAGTTAGAAGGGACCCCAAGGGTCATCTAGTCCAACCCCTTGCAATGCAGGAATCTCAGCTAAAGCATCCATGACAGATGACCACCCAACCTCCGCTTAAAAACCTCCAAGGAAGGAGAGTCCACAACCTCCAGTGGGGGATTGTTCCACTGTCAAACAGCTCTTACCATCAGAAAGTTGTTCTTTATGTTTAGTCAGAATCTCCTTTCTTGTAACTTGAAGCCATTGGTTTGAGTCCTACCCTCCAGAGCAGGAGAAAAGAAGCTTGCTCCTTCTTCCATGTGACAGCCTTTGAGATATTTGAAGATGGCTGTCGTATCTCCTCTCAGTCTTCTCTTTTCCAGGCTAAACATACTCAGCTCCTTCAAGCGCTCCTCATAAGGCTTAGTTTCCAGAGCCTTGATCATCTTGGTTTCCATCCTCTGCATACCTTCCAGCTTGTCAACATCCTTCTTAAAGTTTTCCCTACCTAAAGTGTCTTTGTTTAGTGCAGGAACAAGATTGCAGAGGGCAAGAAACAATTCCCAGGCCACGTTTCAATAAGGAATGTAGCTTGCATTGGTAATGATAGGGAAGTGAAGAAAAGTTACTGAGCTTCTATTTCATTGTTTTCCCCAACTACAAATTTGTTAGAGAAAGAGGAGTTACTCTCAGAATAGCTGTGTGGCCTGTTGACTAACACACACTTTCCAGAAAGGCCTCCAGTCAAACCCGTTGCTGATCAGCAAATATGGACAGATGCTCAGTAAGCAAGTTGTGTGGATGAGTCCAAAATGTTCACCTCATTTTCTTTAATTCTACCAGATAGGTAATACCCTCTGTTTTGGCGCGTAGAGGACTCCTGGTATTTTGACGTGGGGTTCTCATCTGACTGAATGCATCTCAGTTGATTAAGAAAATGAATTTTATTTGATTGAAATTCTGATGTACTTGTTTTTGACTGGAACTGTTGTTTTGAGGGGAAACAACCATGGTTCCCTTGCCTTTAGATAGCATACGCCATTAAAAAAAGGTAGCATATACCATGAACATATGTGGTGTATCACGTGTATGCATTGCTACAAGTGGAAACACAGAGAAATAAAAACATGTTTGCAAACTGCCAATATGTTTTATTTCTCCCAGTGCATTTTGGAAAGATGAATTGCCTTCATTGGGGCATCTTAGAAACACATTTTTTTTAACAGTATCAGAACAACCCTTTAAAAATAGTAAAAATAATTTCCCCTGAGCTATCTCATCATGGAGGCTCAGCAAAATATGTGCTCAAGTATTTCTTAAGTGAGTGTTGGCACTTCCTTTTTCTAGACTGGCTTTTGTTAACTGGACAGAAATGGAGATGCCCATTGCTGAGTGCTTTGAGATACATTGCACAATGTTTGAGTTGAAAGGAAATTTTGAGCTTGGAAAAGGGAGTTTGCCACTAAACCTTTGCCATGAAGGTGTTGTTCTCTGCCATTGGAAACAAGAAGAAAAGTTAAGGATGTTAACAATATGGACTGAAAAGAGGGGTGGCTTGTTTTGGGGAGGAGTATTCTGCCACAAAGATCTGTTTAGAGAACTTAAGCTAACATTTGGTCACATTGGTGCAGTAACTAACCCCAGATGAAAAAGAGGGAATCGAATGCTTCAGCAGTGTTGGGGGTGCAGAACAGCATCTTTGATTTGGAACAGCGTTTTTGATTTCATGTTTTATTCCGCTGCCTTGTTGCTCCCTATAGTGCCAGCCTATAGTGTGTGGAAACCACAGGAGTTGACACCTGATAGAACCTAGGCCTTGGTTTTGTGGCATGGTATTTCCTTTCCTTTCATGTCAGATTTGAAACTGGCTTGTTAGGCAACAGAAGACAAAGATGGATAAATGCGTTGAGTGCTCGCGATACCACTTAAATTGAACATGATCTTTTGTTTAATATCAATTAACATTGCAGCACTCTAGCTAAGCATGTTAATGTTTGTTTCTCCTCCTCAACATAAGCGTTTCTTAATATATCTACATCCTCTGCACACGCAAGTCCCCCACCCCCAACCAGCAGTCCATTAGGGAGTTGTAAAACCAGTGAGTAACAACGCTGATGCAATTAGTCCCCTTCAGAAACAAAACCTGGAAGATAATCAGGCTAGGAAAGTGAATTTCACGTCTGGCTTGTACTAATTCACTGTTGCATGATGTATGCCTAATAAAGAGATGTTATTACAGGAGGACGCCCAGGAGGAGTTTGGGTGGAAGCTGGTCCATGGAGATGTGTTTAGGCCTCCCAGGAAGGGCATGCTGCTCTCTGTCTTCCTGGGGCAAGGGACGCAGATTTTCATAATGACATTTATTACCTTATGTAAGTAGCAGGAGGTTGGCTGAAATCATCATTGTTATTTATGCAATATTGGCTTTCTGTGTGTTTATGTTATTACCAATATTATTAATATTTACCCGCCTTATGCCGAGTCAGACCTTAGGTCCACTTAGCTCAGCATTGTCTACAAGGCTAGTCAGCGGCTCTTTTGAGAGCTACTGCCAGTCAGTGTTCACTGAACTGAGCTAGATGGACTAGTGGTCTGACTCTGAATAAGGCAGCTTCCTGTGTGTTCTTGTGCTGCCTGTTTTGCATATGCAATTCCACCCCATGTAAACCTGGGGACAGCTGGCTGCTGGGAAGACAGATACTTTGAGGCAGCAGCTGTAGCCATCAGGAGAAAATATTTTTTTTTAAAAATTGTGTAAGCTCATCACCCTACAGTTATGCACAGTGGAGCTGAGTAGTCAGTGGAACTGAGATCTTGAGGACTAGTCACCTAGGAGGATGCCTTATTCCAAGTCAGACCATTGTTTCATCTAGCTTCATTGTCTACACTGACTGTCAGGGGCTTAAGGTGGAGGCATACCCAGTCCTACTTGAAGATGCAGCGGGGTTGAACCTGGGGCTTTCTTTGTGCAAAGCAAACACTGTGTACTGCTTAGCTGCAACCCTTCCCTCACACGCACAAAAGAAAGAAAGACAGGAATGGTACAGTTTTCTAAGGCAGAGTATTTTGTTGTTTGTTGTTTCAGGAAACTCTGAGCTTTAGCTGAGATTCCTTCATTGCAGGGGGTTGGATTTAGATGGCTGCCAGGGTCCTTTCCAATTCTACAATTCCTGGTTCTTTTCATTGGGAGCTTGCCAAGGGTTCTTTGGTTGGGAGGATCAGTACTGACAAGCAGGCTTTCCCTTTCAGAAGAAGCCATGCTATCAATACTGATCATCTGTACCCTCAGTTTGAACCGCAGAATGGTAGAGTTGGAAGGGACCCTAAGGGTCATCTAGTCCCTGCAATGCAGGAATCTTTTTTGCCCAGAGTAGGGCTCGAACCCGCAACCTAGAGATTTGCAGCCCTGTACTCTGCCAACCGAGCCATCCCAGCAGTTCAGTGAGGCTGCCTAGTGCTCCCATGCATTTGCCTGTGAACATGTCCCAGAAGCCTCTGCAGTGTACTGGGGTCCTGCAGTGGGTCTTCCTTGTCAGGTGATTCTCATGGGGAAAGGATTCCCCACAGAACATAAAGCTGTTCTAAAACTGGTATGGGGAACCTCTGGCCTTCCAGAAGCTTGCTGGGCTCCTAACTCCCATTAGCCCCAGCTGCTGTGGCCATTGGTCAGGGCTGACACAGGTTGCAGTCCAATGATAGCTGGAGACCGACAGGTTCCTCACCCCTTTCAAAAGCTTGGTGGGTGAGGGGAGGACCTTATTTCGATGGTAGAGCACCTGCTTTGCATGCAGAAGGCCCCCTCATATCTCTAGGCAGGGCTGCAAGACTCCCCCCGCCCCCGGCCTGAAATCCTGGAGAGCTGCTATCTCCCCACAACGGTGTACAAGTGTGGCACAGGAAATAATTAAATAACTTGTTTTAAACTGCATAATAATAATAATAATTTATACCCTGCCCATCTGGGCGGCTTCCAACAAAATATTAAAATACAGTGGTCTGTTAAACATTAAAAGCTTCCCTAAACAGGGCTGCCTTCAGATGTCTTCTAAAAGTCTGGTAGTTGTTCTTGTCTTTGACAAATGGCTGGAAAGGGGCAGAAACAGCCCAAAAAGAGCAGGAAAACTGCAAATATGGCATAAGAAGAGTGGGGAAATGGGTAGCAATCTCAGGGGCCTTTACAGCTTTGACCCCATGAGCCTTTGCATCGACCTTTGAGGCCTGTGGAGAGTTGGAGTTTGAGAAAGGAAGTCTGGAGGGAGCAATTGTGGTGGAGTTTGGCAGAGTTTGGCTTCTTAGATGGTTTTCCCCACTAAATGCGATTTCATGTATATGCACGGTACCCAGGAACTTTGACTGTTGCGTTAGTGGGGAGATACCTGTATTGAGCTAGATGGACCCAATGGTCTGAACCTAGCATAAGGCAACTCCTTACATTCCGATTTTGGGTGGGCGCATTTATTATTTTTAATTTATATCCTGCCCTTATTTCCTTATAGAGCACAGGGCAGCTAACAGCAGGTCAGATTGAAACAGATTGAAAAAATTCCCATCACTAAAAGCCACAATATTGCAGTTGAAATACAGTAAAACAAGCAGTTGGTAAATATCTTGGAAAATCATATACTTCAAGATCTAAACGCCTGGACAAATAGGAAATGTCTTCACCCTGTGTTTTGAAAGTTTTAACCCTAGGGGCACATTTGTATTTTTGGAACATTGCACCAATTTACACCAGGGAACTTCTTTTGTAACACACTTTTGTTCTCTGTGTTGACACTTTCAGTCCTTGCCTGCCTTGGATTCCTTTCGCCAGCCAACAGGGGGGCCTTGATGACCTGTGCTGTCGTGCTGTGGGTCTTGCTGGGCACCCCAGCAGGCTACGTATCTGCTCGGATGTACAAAAGTAAGTGCAAGCCTTGTGTAATGGAATGTTGCCAGGCTGTTGTTGAAACCACAGAGATTGTGCTCAGTGGCCGGTGGTACCCAATTGAGACTGGTAGGGCGGAAGGTGGGGGGCAACAGTAGGCGGACAATGATAGGCAGAGATAGAGCCAATGACTGGCAGAGCCCGCTGAATCTAGTTTTGCAATCATGCTCCTCCCATCTGAATTCTACAAGGGCAGCACTGAGGCTAAGGAAGCTGACAGACAGCACCACCCCCTGGGTTGGTTATATGTGGAAGGCAGGCAAGTGTGGGCTGGCTGGGGGCGAGGGGCCATGCCCCCATTCACCTCATCTGATCATACTTGGAAGTGGAAAGCCAAGGGTGGTTCCTGCCCAGCCCTTGATTGGCTGTCCTAGGTCAAATCTCTTAGCCTTTCTTCTGCCTTTGTAGAATGGGAACTGCCAGTGATTTTTCACTGGTTTAGCAGGGACAGGAAAGACCCAAGAGGTAACAGAATAAGAAAATGGTGTTCTTAGCAGTGTTTACCTCCCCACTCCTTTTCTGAACTGCAGTGCCCTGTCTCTTTCTCATGATCCTTTGCAAATTGGTTGTGAAACATGGGGAGGTTTGCTTGAAATGTAACACAAGTACATAGGTGGGGAGAGAGCCTGAAAAGCTTTCCTGGATCCTGGCTGTCAATTATGAGCAGGATATTGAGCCGGTTTGAATTATGGCAGAGGATCGTTATCAGCACTCCTTGGGGTTCAGATTCTATAAGCGGGGAAGATTCAGAGCAGTTCATAGTACTATGGTGAGCAATCTAGTGTTAAAATTATTGAGACTTAAAAATAAATAAATTTCTTCCAGCTACTTCAAATGTGTTAAATGTAGTGATTACTTTTTTCTCCTCTTCTCAGCATTTAGAGGTGAAAAATGGAAGACAAATGTGTTGCTGACAGCTCTGTTGTGTCCAGGGTTAGTATTCCTCACACCTTTCTTTTTATAAAACTCATTTTCTGCATTGCAAATTGGTTAATATGCACAAAGGCCTATGCTTCTTACCTCACATGACTGACAGTTACTCCAGTTCTAGATTCAGGTAGGCGTTGGTCTGACGCAGTCGAAATATATAAAAAAATTAAAAAATTGTCCAGTAGCACCTTAGAGACCAACTAAGTTTGTTCTTGGTATAAGCTTTTGTGTGCATGCACACTTCTTCAGATACACTGAAACAGAAGTCACCAGATGTCAACAGGTTTACCATACCCATTGAGTCAATCACCCGTCTCCTACTACCCTCCTGAGAAAACCCCCACCCACCCACCCTCCCATTATATATAATGGTCTGGTGACTTCTGTTTCAGTGTATCTGAAGAAGTGTGCATATTCAGTTACTCCAGTTGTAATCTAATCCAGTTGTACGCATTCAGCTCCTCTTCATTTCCATGTTCTTGAGTGCATATAACTATGAACCAGATCCCCATGTTTGTAAGTGCATTGATATTCCTGTTTCACTTTGTTTTTAAAATCCCTCTCCTTTTTTTTAACTATCTTTGGAAAGTCTTGAGTGCCTTAACTGTGGTTTGCTTAGTATTGAAGCAAAACTTAACTGTGGTTTGCAAACTCTTCAAGCTATGGTGTCATGCATTGGCTTTTAGTCTATTATTAGTGGTGCTAATAATTCAAGAGTATCTGATTCAAAACCTCCGCTGCCTTGTGGGACATCTTTGGGAGGAGAAAAGGCTAAGGAGTAAACTCTACCTAAATCTGGAGTGGGAGTCCCTGAGGCGGTTGGGTGGCACCTTTTTACGCTTCCTTCCAGCAACTCCTTCAGCCCAGCCATTGCTAAACATATTGCTCTGCTTTTGTTTGGACCACATCAGCAATGCTGAGATGGTTAAGAGTCACTTCTGCATTGAGCAAACTATGGTTGGGGCAGTGTTGCCAGTGTTTCTGCTTGCAAGGTGACATGTGGGACTTGGCGGTCTTAGGAAGCATGGTTGTGTTAACTCTTTCATTTCAAAATTAAAAAATATCAATAGACAGTGGACTAGAAATTAGACTGTTTGGCAGCAGGGTGTGAAATAGCTTGATACCAGAAGTCCCAACCAGAAATGTACATCCTGGCTGTCATCTAGATGACTATCTTGGCAAAGTCCAAAATGGCAAAATACCATGCTGATAGTTTAAATTCCAGTGTGCAAATTCCATTTCATAGAAGTTGAATAATTGCCTGGGGTGGTGGGGAGAGCACAAAATAAGAACAGATGTCTTGATTATGCTGTGCTAGTTCAGAAAATTTACATAATGCCATAAACAGCCCGAGGCAGTTACGTACACTGGATTGATTTTGAGAATTTGTAGACTAGCAGGATTCCCCGCTCCCAACCCCCTTCTCCCTTTGGAGGAGTGAAAGAGAGATTTGCTTTGCTTTGCTTAGGCAGAGCTTAACAACAAAACAACAACAACAACAACAACAACCTGCCTTTATACACAACAGTGATAGGTTTGCAAGGATATCCATCTTGCAGGAGATTAGATGACATTTGCCCCCTAAATATTCCAGGCTAAAAAAGAAAGATATAATTTTTGTATGAATTAATTAGAATTGGCTTCCTCTTTGCTTTTGGTCCAATATGGCAGTGCATGGAACATTGTACCTTTGGCTCTAAGAATGCTTTTGCAATGAGTCCCAGGCTGCAGAGTGTGGCAACATCCTTGCCTGAAGCCAGCTGATCTTCAACTGACACTCCCTTCTGTTCGTTGCACGGTAGTGGTTTCAGCTGCTGCTGATGTGCTACAGTGAAACTATGGCTTCTGTAGGACGCAGTATATTGGTGCAGGCATAGATGCTGAATGAATTCCTTCCCTTGAAGGGCCCTTACATGCACCTGTTGGTTAGGAAAGGGCTGGGGAACCTCAGGGTTCTGCCTCCACAGTCTGAAGCAGTAATGCTTGTGAATACTAGGAAGGGAGAGTTGCTGTTGCTCTCTCAGGTTCTGGTTGCGGGCTTCCTGTTGGGGCACCTGGTTAGTCACTGTGAAAGCAGGCTACTGGACTGGATGGGCCTTTGTCCTGATCCATCTGGGTTCTTGTTAGGTTCTTAAATTAGGAACGCCATGCCAACATTGAATCTGGTCATCTTCTGTTCCCTCAGAATTGTCTTTGCTGACTTCTTCATAATGAACCTTATTCTTTGGGTGAAAGGATCCTCAGCTGCTATTCCCTTTGGCACTCTGGTTGCTATCTTGGCCATGTGGTTTGGAATATCTGTCCCATTAACCTTTGTTGGTGCATACTTTGGATTCAAGGAGAAGGTGAGTTAGAAATTCAGTAGAGTTTATTATATATATACATATTTAAAGCTCCTTATTATACCACTTGAGAATTCCTTTCCTTTTCTGAACCCATGGACCTGGGTCTAAAGGATGATGAGCAGAAGGAGAAAATATATTCATGTTGTTTGGCAACCTTTGCACAATCACTGCCAGAAGACTTCTTGCGGTATAGCGCCACTGTGTTGTGTTGCAGCATGAATTAAAGAAGATCCGGGCTGTAGCATTTCGACTACAGCAGCCCATGGAAAGTTTTTGAGGGGGTCTTCTGCAAAGAGAGGAACATCTCTGGATTTGGGACTGCTTTTCTTACACAGTGGTCTTTCACTCAGATCAGAAATGGCCCTCCAAGTACATGCATTAGCCATAATTATTCCCTGTTGTGAGAATAATCATATTTTTACATATTGAAATCGTTGCACCTTTTAAATGTGGCTTTGCTGTTTCCTTAGATGTGTCTGCCATGTTAATTGTGGGTTTTTTGAAAACTGTCCCTAGCCCATTGAGCACCCGGTGCGTACAAACCAGATTCCTCGTCAAATCCCGGAGCAGTCCTTTTTCACCAAGCCTCTTCCGGGCATCATCATGGGAGGCATCCTCCCCTTTGGGTGTATCTTTATCCAGCTCTTCTTCATTTTAAACAGCATTTGGTGAGTATCTCCCCCTTTTCTGAATTCGAAATAACCAAGCTACATGCCAGGCACACTGCTGTTTCTTTGTGAGAAATAATTAAATGAAGAAAGGCTGCTGTGTGGGCCCAAAGCACCCATCTATAGAAGAGGTTGCCTGCTGGCTCTCTGCATGGTTTACTGCTCTGGGTTTGTCTCCTTCCCATTGCCTCCTGCTGGGGTTTGGTCATTCATTTGTTCTTCAAAACAGCAGCCGCTAGTCTGGGTGCAGATCCCTTAAAGATCTTGCCCCAACTGAAGGGAAGAGAGTGCAATGAAATACAGATGTTGCTGAAATACAGCTCCCAAATGCCTCCAAAAGGGGAGGGACCTCAAAAAAACTTGGAAAAGGAACAAAAAGCTCAGGAAAAAAAGACTATATTTTACAATGTAGCAACATCCAAACTAACAAATATATCATTCAGTAGTTGATGTTATCCAATTCTGGAAGTTTATTTATAAAGTCCCATAGAATGTTTTATATAGAATTTCAGTTGAGCCACGAAAGGAGCCAGAGAGGATCTTGCATACTTAGAAAGTGGTTCTAAAATTGAATCACACCCTGAAGCTGTTGTGTGTTTGTTTGAGTCACTGTTCTGGACCCATTGCCTTCCAGTTGGTAATCTATGTACAGAACAGCAACTTATTCAGAAGCACAGGTGCATAAGTTGGTATGTGATAGAGAGAGGCTTCTGAGTTCAGGTAGGTGAGAGGTGGGAACCTGACAGAGGGAAACTTGTTTGGCTGAGAATTTGAGGCTTTGGATTCTCAAAAACCACAGCCTAATTGCCAGGCATTAAACGTATCATGAACTGCAGTCTTTAACCAACTGGGGCGGGCTGGAACTCTTCCTGCTGTGACCATGCCACCTGCAATCCTTGTTAGGCCTTCACGATGCTGAACCTTGAGAAAGGAGGGTGGGTACAGAGATCTTGGGCGAAGGTTGACCCAGTGACTTCTCTCATTCCAGGTCTCACCAGATGTACTACATGTTTGGCTTCTTGTTCTTAGTCTTTATCATCCTCCTGATTACATGCTCAGAAGCAACGGTCTTGCTGTGCTATTTTCATCTATGTGCTGAGGTAAAACTGACCTGCCACTTCCGTTGCCAAGCTTAGTATGTTGCTGGACGGGAATCAGCCACCAGCTGGCAGCATCAGGGAGGCTGAGCCAACACCTGCAGCTTGCTGGTGCATCGGTGCCCCATTGTGTTGGAAAGATTTATGCATGTTGTGGCTGCCAGCTGTGCATAGTAGACCTGCTGGTAGGAAGGGAAAGTGGGTGATGCTGTGCTTGGGAAGCCTGGATTCCTTTCTGTGGAATAAGCAGCTTGGCTGTGAGGGCAACTGTTTAGGAGTAGCGGCAGAGGATAACACTTCTGCATGGTGGCAGTAGGCCAAGATGCCAAGGGGTGGGGAGTGAAACTGAGGATCCCCTCCCTTTCTATTTGCTGTTGCCAACGTAACAGACTGCTGCAGCTTTCAGTGCCAAATCAGTCTTTGTAATGTATCATCAAGATGCGATTGCATCTGCTGGAATTAAAAAACCCCGAAAGCATAGGTTGTTGTCCCCTTGTTACATTTGCCATCTTTGTGTCCCGTTCCCTTGCTAAGTAGCTCCATCCTGAAAATTACTTTTTATCTAGGGCTCCATGAAAGCCGTAGTTTAGCTAGTCGAAGAAAGAATTGCAAGTCTGATTTCAGATCCCTTTGGGATCTTGCCCCTAACTAAAGGGAAGAGAGTGTAATGTGACATTAGTTCTGAAAGTGTATAGGCTTCGTGATGATTTTGAAAGCCAAAGGGGTGGACTGGTCAAAGCATTGGTGGATTGCACTAAACTCCTCCCCATGACCTGCAGGAGCAGCAGAAAAAAAGTCATGCAAATGTATGCAGATTGTGTAATATAAAAGTGGTGGTGTTTTATCTTGGTGCTGATATTAGTGGCAGAGTCACAGAGATGTTGCTTCGTTATGTGGACAGTCTATAACACTCCATTCTCATACTTGTGGTAGACAGATTTTGGGGGTTTAGGCAAGCTGCAAACAGATGCCTTGTGGAACCAGCTGCATTGAGTAAAGATACCTGAGGCCTGCCATGCAAATAAGCTCAAGTGTAGGAATTAGTTTCAGTTTTCTAGATAACATGGGTGAGCCACAAACTGGGTTCTGAACCGTTTGTTGTGCACCTGGGCTGTGAAGAAGAACAGCTCTTTGGTCAAATGACACTAGGCTGGGGGGTGATCAGCTTTTTCTCTGTCTCTAAAATGCGCAGGCACACATCTCTCTTTTTCACCCACCCACCCAAACTTACATGTAGACACAGTCCCACAGAGAAAAACATTTGGCACAGACTGTTCATCTCACCTCTCCTTTGCAGCACTTTGCTCTCACGGCAGTGTTGATGCGAGTTCTCTTGGCTGGTAAGATGCAGCAACAGGACAGTGTCAGGAGGAGGAAGAAAAGGGCAAACCGAAGAAGCACCTGATTTTGCAGGGGCTGGCAGGCCATGGAAGCGGCTTGGTAGGCCAGATTTGTCCTGCAGGAATTTGTGAAATAGAATTCTGGGAAACAAATCTAATAAAGCATAGTTCAGACTAGTAAGTGTGGACAGGTGCAAGGACAGCTTAAGGCTGGTCCACTAAATATGCATGGGAAGCATTTTTTGGGGGGTCTTTCATGCTTTCCTTGCCTCTCAACCTCTTTTGATTTGCCTCTAGGATTATCATTGGTGGTGGAGGTCATTCTTAACCAGCAGCTTCACCGCCGTCTATCTCTTCATCTACGCCGTCCATTATTTCTTCTCAAAACTTCAGATCACAGGAACTGCCAGCACCATTTTATACTTTGGATATACAATGATCATGGTCTTGATATTCTTCCTTTTCACTGGTGAGTCAATTTCTCAAGTCTTTGAGCGTCTCAGGGTTGGGAGATATGTATAGGAGCATATGCGAAGGCACCTCGTACCAAGCTAGACTTTGGTTCCATGCAAGTCAGGATTCTCTGCCCTCTGCCTTAGGTGAGTCGTCCTGCCTGTGATCCTTTGAACAGGAGGTGCTATGGACTGAAGGTGAGGCCTTCTGCTTGCAGGGTTCATACTCTACTACTCAGCTGCAAGCTCTTCCTTTCTCCCCCACCCCTGGTATCTTAAAGTCCCAGTATGGCAGAATATGGGTTTAAACAGCCTTCTCTATCTGGGTGGCTGCCATATGATCTGGACTACAAAAGGCCAATGGTCAGCGATGTTCGGAGTTGTAGTCTAAAACATCTGGAGGGCACAACATAGGAGTATGGGTGCGATTAGTATGTGACACATGGGACCCACTCAGAGCACAAAGGCATCAACCACCTTCCCGACATATATTTAAAGCATGGGGCTTCCACCAAAGAATTATGGAAATCAGTCTGTTAAAGGTGCTGAGAGTTCTCAGGAGACTCCTATTCCCCTCACAGAGCTACAGGTACCAGAATGGTTCAGCAACCAATCCTTCCTAGGGAACTCTGGTAATTGTAGCTCTGTGAGGGGAATGGGGTGGGGTGTCTCCTAACAACTCTCAGCACCCTTAGCTGCAGTTCCCAGGATTCTTTGGGGGAAGCCATGGTTGTTTAAAGTGGTGTGATACTGCTTTAAATGTTGGGTTTGAATGTGGCCATCATTAATTCATGCGTTCCTGGGCCATTTTATTCTGGGTGCTTTCTTTCAGAGTATTACTATGAGGCTGTGAATGAATACTCTTCCGTCATATAAAGGGCTCATTCAGCACTGAAAGGAGTTTTCTAACATTCACCTGCTGGTAATCAAATGCGCACATATGCTGATTTCTTACTGTACGTGTGAACCAGGACAATGTGCATTTGAAGGGTGGATCGAGCTTACAAATGGATAGAGTATTTAGGGAGCATAACATGATAAAAGTGAAAAAATAATAATTCCCCAAATTCTGCTAGAATCATGTTTCTCTTGCTATTCATGACAACAAAGAGACTTTTTGGCACCTTAAAGACAAATAAAATTATCAAGTGTTTATTATATTTTGAGTGTTTAAGGTGCCACAAGACTCCGTAAAGGCTTTTGGCTGATGGCAGGGGTAGAGTGGGGGCGTTAGCTCTATGGCAGAGCATTTGCCTTCCATGCAGAAGGTTCCCAGGTTCAATCCCTGGCAACTCCAGGTGGGGCTGGTGGGAAAAGCCTTTTGTCTGGAAAAACCCTGGAGAGTTGCTGCCAGTCAGTGTAGGTATTACTGAACTAAATGGACCCAATACTGTAGTCTGAATCTGTATAAGGCAGCTCCCTGTGTTCCTACTCTCCCTTGCATAAAAAAGCAAACATGGCTGCTTTCCTGGAAGCTTTCATTAAAGGGTTTTCTCAACCTTGCTTGTGGCCTTGCAGAAGGATTTCTTCTTTAGCTGTCTTCAGTCGGATGGAAGTAGAAAGCGAGTAGGCTTTAATCTCACCAATTTAAAAGTATTAGTAAGTAAATACGGGAATTGGTGTTCCCAGCTAAACCCTTCTTTAAGTCCACAGCTCTGCAGGCAAGTTCCAGATGCCCCCCCTATAATTTACCCCAAATAAATTCTAGCATTAAAACAAAAAAATGTTTTAATTCTGAACTAAAGCAGTATGCTAATGCCTGTCTGGGTTTAGCTTGGGTTAGCTGCCAATTTCAGTTTCGCTTGTGTGATATAAATTGCTAGAATCAGAAATATCCTTTTCATATAGGAAATGATAATTGAAATTGTCACAGCTGCTGCTGAAAGGGATTAAAATAGTCAGATATGTCGGCCCTGATCTCCTTGATACGAAGGGCAGTGAGGCTTAAATGTGCCGTGGCAAAGTTTACACCTGTGTGTTCTCGCGTTAAGGTCTGGTTTAGACGTCATGTGCCAATGACAGTTTGGAGGCTTAGGAACATATCACTTTGCTTGCCTGTTCTAGCCCTCTTAGTGCTGATTATTGTCTCCAAACTGTGGCTTGCAAACCCACTTTCAAACCACATTTTTGAATCATGGCTTGAAGGCAATTCCTGGTTTGCACCATTGGCAAACCATGAAAAAGAGGAGGTAATCAGCTTGTGAGAAGGAAGATGGGTGTGTTCCTTATCCTTCAGACTTTGGGTTGGAGGTTTGTACTTACCGAATAGTTGCAGTCTGACCAAACAAGTACCATGGAAAATACAAAGCAACCATGATATCCAGACCTCTCTGTTTTGCCTTCTGATCTCTCCCCAGAACATGCTCCCCCTTTGAGTGCTTTTGCCTGGTTGGCATGTGTCCGTGAATGATAATGATGTCTCTTGCGTGCCTGTAAGAGGGGGAATGAAGTGTGTGTGTGTGTGTGTGTGTGTGTGTGTGTGTGTAGACCTGTGGCTTGCATGAGTGGAAAATAACTTACTGAACTTCAGTAAGTTATGTCCATTGTTCTGCCCACTTTTGCATCAGGTCCAATCCAGCATTGCTATGTGGCTCCCAGAAAGCTGATTTATTATATTTCTATTCTGCTTTTCATTCCGACGCATCCCAAAGCAGTTTAAAAACAATAAATAGCAATACAATAACATTATAGAACATCCCACGTACAGCGTAAGTCGTATACAATAATCAACAAATAATCGGTGGAACAATTACAATCCATAAAACACTGTTAACAAAGCAACAACTTAAAAAATGGGCTGAACATCACAATTAAAAGCAAAGGTCATATTATATGATGAACAAATCAATACAGCATTTGTAGTCTATAAAACATCCTTAACAAAATAGCAGCCAAAAAATAAACTAAGCACTGCTAAGTTCATGCACACATACCCCAGAGACTCCTCTTCCAAAGGTTCCTCAGGCTGGAGGTGCAGCTGCACAGGTGAAACCAACCACCCCCTGATGGCAAACAGTCTCTAACCCCTCAGTTCTTCCTCTGGAAACAGCTCCCTTATGAAGGCTCCAAGGGCTGGAGGGCGGAGCAAGGCAGGTGGGGAAAGCCTTTACCTGCGGGCCAACACTGAGTCTCTCACTTCTCACAGCTGTTCCTCCAGCAGCAACACCCTCCTGAAGGTTCCTTGGGCTGGAGGGTGGGGCAAAGCAGATTCCCCTTTAGGGTATGTGGCCTTCTGGCTGAAAAAGATCCCCCACCCCTACATTATATGAAACTTCCTTTGCTAAGGTGTCTTTCATCCAGCATTGTGTTGTTGGTCTGGTCTTAGCATCTCTTTGAAGTCTCAGGGGAGGGGCTTCCACAGCTCTGTGACTGCCAGGATTTGACCTGGGACCTTCAAAAGAGCAGAGCCCTGTGTCATCTTGTGCAATAGGTCTTTTCCTTGCTGCCAGTCAGTGATCCTAACTGGGTTCCCATGCCCAGGCAACAGGAGCCAGAGCACTGAAGGAGAATGTGGCTGGGTGGTGCTCTACCCTTCCACGGAAGACAAGTGGTTTTATGGGTGAGATGGCAGTGCCTGGATTTGTGTGTCTGACTCTTCACCCCTCTCCCACCCCTTCTGGGCCCCTAGCTTGGGTGTCTTCGGGGCTCCCCCAATAGCCCATGAGGACCTCGTTGTGCTGGCCTAATATCACGCTGCTTCTTGCAATTATTATTTCTGTTCTTCTAAATTTGTAGCTAGCAATTTTCAGTATGATTCTCGGGGTAATAATATGGTAAGTGAATGGGTATATTTTGTGCAGGGATAGCTTTATGATTACTGTCCTTATTACGTGCTTGGACACAGAAGAAAATGCTGCATTTAGTTGGAAGCAGGTGGCTACTCTACACCCTCTGTTTTGTGATCATCATTTTCACTTGTGAGTTCATGCCATTTTCAAAATTGAGTTTTGATCTCCTGGGTAAATTGTGTTTAGAATTCCAGATTCCGAAAGCAGCCCCCACTGTGTGGCGATTGAAAGCGGTATGATGTAGACAGTTCTTGGCTGCAGAAAACCAATGTGCGTACACACACACACACACATGTTGCCAGAGTGCAGGATATATTCTGTTTTTTGCTTTCTTGCAATTGGCCAGAGCTTTGAGTTCTTCTCTCTCTCTCTCTCTCTCTCTCTCTCTCTCTCTCTCTCTCTCCATTAAATGCACATTTGCGAAGAGTCAGGTGCAATGCAATATAGACAGACTCATTTCAAGTATTGCGACATTACCTAGGAACATAGGAAGCTGCCTTATGAACCATTGTATACACTGACAGGCAGTGACTCTCCAGGAATTCAGACAGGAAGTCTTTCCCAGTTGTAGCTGGAGATGCCAGGGATGAAACCCACGATCCTTTGCAGATACTTCACCACTGAGTTATGGTCATTGGTGGTGGGGAACCAAGAAACACACTAAATATAAAAATGCAGCTTTTCTCCATGTCAGCACAGAGTACTTCTATAGAGCACATGCAGACTGGAAGTAGTTCCTGATCTGTTGCATTACTGACATATGGTTTTTAGACGAGGGGGAGAACAAAACATCAAAGAGAAGAGGTTGGGATGTTAGTCTGAGCATAATAAAATGAGCCTGCATGTTGACTAGAGAAGATGCTTTGGCTTGGGGGTGGGGGTGGTTTGAAACATCCCATCTAACACTTTTACAGCAGGGCAGCACTTCAGTGAGCAAGGCTGTTCCTACATCTGTATATAAAATTGGGGAATGCAGAGTGACTGGCAGTAAAACGCACATAGTTAACTTGTGGGATTTTCTGCCACAAGACTATGGCAATGACCACCATCTTGAATAGCTCTAAAAAGGAATTACTTGTTTTATTATTAACACCTATGTCCCACCTTTACTCCAGGAAGCTCAAGGTGGGGTACATGGTTCCCCCCCCCCATTTCATCCTTGAAACAACTCTGTGTGGTGGGCTAGGCTAAGAGGTCGTGAACTTTGGGGCTGAGTGGGGTTTTGAACCCTTGTCTCCCAGGTCTTCTTCCTACTCTCGAACCACACCACCATACAGGCCTACAGGCCTATCACTCCGTGGAGGAGGAGAGGTCTGTCAAGGTTTATTAGTCATGGTAGCTGTATGCACCTCTGGGTGAAGGGTCATTGTGCTTTCTTGGTTCCCGGGAGGCACCTGGTTCTTCACTGTCGAAAATAGATTTTTGAAGTAGGTATGCCTTTGGTCTGATCTAGCAGAGCTCCTCCTTTGTTGTTAATGAACTCTGGGCTGCTTATTTGGCAAGAGTGATGTGCCACAAGTTTGGAAGTACATGTCTGCACACCCAAGGAAGAAACAGTCCTCACCGCGTTGGACCATCTCTGAGTGCCAAACATAATGATTCTCTGACCAGACTGGTGGGAATAGGGTTGGGATGTTTCATAAAAAAGCCCTCCTAACATATATACATGTTTGTGTGTGTGTGTGTGTGTGTGTGTGTGTGTGTGTGTGTGTATTTGGGGCTGTATCCAGTGCTATCTGCGTACTACCACCAAGGCTCTTGCACTAGCATATGGGTGAGTTGCAAAGTTGTGCAACAGAGGAATAAAATGCAACTCTTTTGCTAGCGGAAACTTGTTGGGCAGTATATTGTGCAACAGAGTTACCAGCAACCAGCTTGTCCGTTCTCTTGCGCAGCAGCGTTTCATTAGCGCAAAGCATTTCTCCGATGAAACAGGTATACCACCGAATGACTTTAACTTACTGCTGTACTGGATACAACCCATAATCTCATGCGTGCTCACACAACACCGAGATGTAACGGAAAAGGGAATTGACTGACCTCGTAGTTTGGCTATAAACACTGTGCAGACATTCACAATTCATATGCATACACATGAGATTTCCAGCCGAACCTCATTGGGATGCATCCTGCCCGGTGAGCCTCTCCTTTTTGTGTGCAATGTCATGCGCTTTGCATTCTTCGTGCACTCAGAGCTTCCAGACCTAGTGACGGAGGCTCTGGCTTGCAAAATGTTGCGGCAAGAGATACGTGAATGCTGTGCCCTTTCTAGAAGAAAGGACACTTTGGACAAACAGGCTGCTTCAGACATTTATTAGAGTGATGTCTATAATGCAATAAAGGGGGAGGGAGGGGTGTAATCCAGACAAGATTATGAGGAAGAGAATCTGCTACCAGATGTGTGCTTGTCTTTCAATGTGGTGTTTTAATTAGAGAAGTGGTCCCTGTAAATACGTGGTTTGGAAATAGCTGGTTCCCTCCGCTCAGGCCTGTAACTAGAAGGCATTGCCATCTACATCACCAGAGTATTTCACGAACCCCTTGTTCAGTGTGGTGCAGTGAATCCTCCAGTTTAGCTAATGTTCCATTGAAAAAAGTGTCCTCTGTAGATTTGCAGAGGGCGGAAGTGCAGGCTGGACCATTAGGGCAAATGGGACGCTGCCCCACCAACTTCTGCCTTTTTACCAGGCTCCACCAACAAGCAGTGTGGGTGGTCTGTGTGGCTGTCAGTTTTGTCTTCCTTAGCCTCAGGTTTCTCCTTGTGGAATTTAGCAGGGAGGAGATGGGACAAAACCAGAAGTAGCTGGCACCAACTGCCCTTGGCTCTTTCTCCACCCACGATTAGCCTCCCAGCCATCTGCCCTTTCAGTCCCAAGACACTTCACTCTCAGGGGTAGCAGCAGCCAGAGATCAACAATGGAGGAGAGAGCTGTTCATCTGGCTCACCTCCACAGCCACTGGAATTCCCCCTCCTCTTGAGGAAGCAGGCATTTTTGCACCTCTGGCCAGCAGAGGGAAGACTGCCCTGTTCCACCCCCTGCTGGCTGGCTGACTGAGAACCCACCTGGGCTGAATCTACCAGGGGAGTAGGGGCTGACACTGCCCCCTTCATAGGGAGCGGCATCAGGGAGAGGCAAGCGCCATCCCCATAACATTATTTTCTCTGGGGGTGGCCTTGCCCTAATGTTTTAAAATGTTTAAATTTGTTTTAACTGCTTTTTATCTTGTTTTTTAAAAAAATAATTTGGGTCCCCCCCCCCCTTTTCTAAATTAAGGGGAGGTAAGGTGTTCCTGGAAAGAGAGGAGCTGAAGAGAGCAGGGGAAATCCCAACTGCAGTGGTTCTAGGCAAGGGGGAGACACCATGTGTGGGGCAAGCCTGGTGAGGGGCACAGGCAGTTAGTGGCTACCTCAAATCTGGGGAATTGTGATTGTCTTATCAGCCAGCCCTCAGGTCCGCGGTGGTGCTGCTGCTGTTGATCTGATTGGGAATGAGGAGGCTGATCTGGTCTGTATCACTGAGAATGAAGCAGTGTGGAGGGACCTCAGTGTCCAGGCCAGAGCAGGTGGCTCAGGACATCATGGTTGCCACAACAAGCACGGGGCTGCTCTAACATGTCATTGATCCAATGCATGGGGCAGGTCACACTCTGGACCTTGTTTTCTTGGCTGGGCAGGAAGAGGGTGATCTGAAAGTAGGGAATATTGACATCAGTCCCTTGTCATGGTCACACCACTTCCTGATGAGATTTAGGCTCTCAGCACGCCCCCCCCCCCCGCAGTGGTGAGGGATCTACGAGGATGGTCGGCTCTCAGAGTTTGATGGATCTAATGGTTTCCCAGATAGCCCTGGTTTGAGTCCTGGTTTGTTTTTATTATTATGAATTTTGTATTTGTTTTTGGCTGAAAGGCAATGCACAATTATAATAATAGATATCAACCACTGGAGAGGGACTTAGTTGCTTCATGAAACTTAAATTCCATCTTCAGGAATTCCATATTTTCTTCAGATAAAGAACAAGAACTCCCTTACTGGTGAGAGCAAGTGGTTCATTTATTCTAGTATATTCACCTCTGATAAATCCTACTATCTAGTGTTCCATAAAATGCCATATAAGAGATATGTGGTGTTCTGCTTTTAAAAGGTGTTCTTCTCCTGATAAGGCCTTTTTTCAGGCTTAATTTTTTTTGGGTGGAGGACATGAGCAACTTAATGGATCTCTTCCCCCCCTCGTGTTGTCTGACAAGCTGCACAGAGTAGTCTCCTTGCTCTTCACATCATTCTGTAACCTTTAAGATAGGAACCCTTCTGACAGTTTACTATGAGCTATCAGAATGGTATTTTATGTTCCATAAAATGCTTTTATTTAGGAAAACATCCTGTTTCACTTGGTGAAAGCTACTGATAATGCAAAACAGCCTTGTCAAGCCAGGCACTTTTAAGTTGGATGTTATAGGGAGGTTGGATTTGGACAGCTACCTCTGTAGTGAGAGAGGTGCGTTGAAGGGTCTCTGTTTGCAAAAACACGGGGAGTGGGGAATGCAGCTTTGTTCTTGACCTGTGTTTCCAATTATTTCTTTTGCTTGCACTAATTGATCACAGATTTTGGTGTTGGCAAGGACGGCTGAACTTGGATAGCTGAACAGCTTTATTGAGTTTCCTTCCAGTCACTACCGTATCGCTAGATCGCTGGCGTTGTGGTTTTGCTAAAGGAGATCTTGGTTTGCAGTAATTCTGCAGTGGTGGAATTCTGACCTTTGCTCTTTACCTTGATGGAGCCTTTGGAAGCCACACTTTGACTTTGAGTCCAAATAATTAATATGGGAATGCCCATTTTATTATTCATGTATTAAGATCCACAGGCTCTCTGGTTGCTCGAACTTGTCTAAATCTTCAACTTTTTTGTTGGGAATGCATTATGTTTATGACATAAGACGCATTCTACTGGATCAAACCAATGGCCCATCTAGTCCAGCATCCTGATCTCACAGTGGCAACCCAGATAAATGCCTGTGGGGGCGCACAAGCAGAACCTGAGTGCCAGAGCACTTGCTCCACCCGCAGTTCCCAGCAGCGGATATTCCAAGTGTACGGAGAAGATAGCCGTCGTGACTAGTGGCTGTTGATAGTTTTATCCTCCATGCATTTGTCAAATCCTCTTTTGGTGGCCATCATTATCTCTTGTGGAAGCAAGTTTCATAGTTTAACTTGTATTTTTTTTTGGGGGGGGCACTTCCTTTTGCCTGCTCTGAGTCTTGCAGCACTCATCTTTACTGAGTGCTGCATGAGTTCCTAGTATTCTATAAGGAGTAAAACTTTTCTCTTATCCACTCTCTCCTCCCTATGCCTGCTTGAGTTTATATTGGAACACCAATAGACTCTTGGCTGTGTTTTATTCTGCTTGAGATGGTAGGATCCCAAGGGAGTTTGGAGAGCCTTGGTCCTAAGGGAGGCTAGAACTGTCTCATTGCGAGGAAGTGTAGTTCTGGGGTTTCATCTAAAGCTCTTCAAGGAACTACCAGGGGTGAGAGGAGAGGTTACCCCCCACCCCAAATCTACCCCTCCCAGATTCAATGAGTGTTCTTAGCTCAGAAGGTTATAATGCACCCATTACTTCCTAAAATAAAAAGATAAAATATCATTTTAGAAGAAAGCTATGCTAGATATCCATCCCATTGGCAGCTGGTTGGTCACTGTGAGAACAGGATGCTGGACTTGATGGGTAACTGGCCTCATCCAGCAAGGCTCTGCCTAGGCTCTTATGCTGCCCTCCCCCAGTTGTTTAGGACTTTAAATATCAACAATGAAACCTTGAATTTGGCTCTGTAGCTAATAGGTAGCCAGTGCAGATCTTTCACCACCAGTGCAATATGTGTAAAGCCTGTCGGAACATCTAGGAGCTGGAAATCCTTTTTTTTAACTCCTTGATGCTTATGTGCGCATGGGGAGTGTGTGTGTGTGTGTGTGTGTGTGTGTGTGTTTATGTGCCCTCTGTCTGTCTAACTCTCCATCTATCCATCTGAGGATCCCTAGAAAACAAAAATTTTAAATGTGAGATCCGAGAGGCCACAGAGGTCACACTAGCGCCAGATAGGAGTGCCTCACACAGTGGGGAAGAGTGAGAATTGACTGCAGACTGGAAAGACTTTGAGATGTCAAGCCCATAAAGGAATTAAATATCCTTTTGTGGCTGGCGTATGATCTCCTATCAAGCGCAGTAAATCTGCCGTCCCCCCACTGTTTGAAAGGATGATAGCTGCAAACCCTGCGGAAGAGGGTAATCTGCAGAACATAATAGCAGGCTGTGGGAAAAAAGGCCTTAACTGGGGAAAAAGAGAGAAGTGGCAATATAAGGGGACTAGAATAGCAAGCCAGGTGTGTCGTGGTGGTGGGGAAGAGGGCAGCAGTGCTTGCAGGGGGAGAGGGTCAGGGTGAACCCTTTTATTTTTCCTTTGTAAGGGTGCCTTCTTTTGGTTAGCACCAGCTACTGACCTGCCTAATTGCATGCATGCATAAGGATTCAGTTCATAAGGAGGTGCTCGCAAAGCCATTGTGCTTCTCTCATGGCTTGCTATCTAGAAAGGCATATGGGATGCCTTTGCGATAGAGATAGGTCTGTGAGAAATGTGAATGTCTTGGAAACAGGCAGCAACCAGAGTTTATTTCTTAATGCTTCTTCCCCCCCTTAACCAGTAACACTCCCCGCACCCCTAAAAACAAGGCAGCTCAGAAGAGTGGCCACAGATGCAAAATTTAAGTAGCAGGAATCAGAATGTTGGCATGCTTAGCTCAGTATTGTCTACCCAGGCAGTGACTCTCTAGGATCGCAGTTACTGGTCTCTCCTAGCCCTGCCGGGAGATGCTGGGGGTTGAACCCAGATACTTCTGTGTGCAAAACAGATGCTTGAGTTATGTCCTTTCCCTGAAAAGAATGTGGGGTAGGTCGTTGTGTTCTTGCCATGTCCACATATGGTGCAAAGAGCCATCTACCTCTGTACAGGGTGGCAAGGGAGTTGGGACCCAGTCTGGTGTCCTCTCACCTCCGTCGTTGTGCTCCTCTTTCCAATGAATTCGTGCTAAGCTGAATACCTGCAGAGAGACACCTGTGTGCACCTAGCTGTGCATGAGCCCTTGATCACATGGAAGATGCATGCATGAAGACTGTTGCACACACATAAGTACCTCTTGGCAGGCATAACTAGTCAAGCTCAGGTGTGTCCAGTAAGGCACGTCTCCACTCCCTCTTCATGTTTGGTGTATACCTGGAGGCAAGACATGTGATGAGCATTGCTTTGTAGTTATTTGGAGTATTGGAATTCTGGCTTTATGCTCAACCATGGTAGACCTCAGTGCGCATACTGTTATTGGCATCTGTTTGTTTTGGGAGACAATGGAAGAGTGCACCTTCAGGGGAAAGTCAAACTGTAGGAGAGTTACAGCTCCTGCTGTGGCTGTAGAGATTGACACAGGAGAGAGACATGTGTTGTTGCAGGTGGGGCACATGAAGGGGCCTGGTTGTGTTGCTGCAGATGCACCATGGCGTTTCTTTTCTCTGCATTCCTCCTCTGGTCACTGCTATGGATGCACAACTTGACTGTCTCCAGGCACTGCGGCCATCTGCAAGGAATTTCCATACAGCAGGATTCATGTTGCAAGCCTTCATGTCACGTTTGCAGGCACGTTTGTAACATAGAGTCGGTGCACAAAGAGGCAGGCAATTCCATGTACCTTCCAGGACTCTGGGAGCTGCTTTATTGCAGTTGCTGGAAAATGCAGGAGAGAGTTGCTTTTGCACTCAGGCTCTGCTTGGGGGCTTCCCAGAAGCACCTGGTTCACCAGTGTGAGAACAGGATGCTGGATTACATGGACCACTGGCCTGATCCAGCAGGGCTGTTCTTCAGGCTCACAGAACACTATGAGTCCAGAATGATTGACTTGAGTCCTTCTGTCTCCATTCTCATAGTGGTGTACTGTACATTCTTCCCAGCTTCCCAGAAGTGACTCTGGGTAGTGAGTCGCAGGGTTAGGCCAATGGCATTGCCACTGAGAAAATGTTGGGTGAACAATACAGTGGATATTCAGCTTGGATTTGGCTGCTAGGTTAACAGGAGTTTTGTTTCTTCTTGAGCGAGGATAGTTAACTACAGCCTTACGCGGTCTATTATTATTTTAAATAGATAATCCCTGCATGTGACTTAAGTTTTCAAGGCAACTTTTCACACTCAGGATCTCTTTAACAATTTTCGCGTAATTGATGTGCATGTTAAGCGATCCTGAGCATGCAGTTTTGCTTAAGAAGGTAAGATGTGCCTTGCAAACTCAAACCAACACTCCCTCTAGCCCACCATTCTCTGACAAAAGAGAAAGTAACCTAAGCAAGTGCTAGGTGGTGTAACAAGAACTACCCAACATTTCACCCTGTTCAGGAAGGGCGCCTTTTGCATTCCAGGAGCATGTAAATATCTCAACTTCTCTTCTTCTTTTTTAGGAACGATTGGATTTTTTGCGTGCTTCTGGTTCGTTAGTAAGATTTACAGCGTTGTGAAAGTAGACTGAAGATCTTCCATGTTTCTCTTGAACATATCCAGCAAGTCAATGGATATATATATTAACCATGTACTGGGATAAACATGACACCTTAAGAATAGACATGCAGAGTTGGTATCTTGGCACCAAAAAGCAGAATGGGACCCAAGGAATGCTGGACACTCCCAGAGAACTTGACTTCTATCACTTTTTACAAATGCTGCATCCCAAGTTGTTTATTATTACTATTATTATTATTATTGTTTGCAGCTGAAAGAACGAATCCAGTTTAACAACGTGTGTGTTGCGCACTTTGCTTCTCCCAAGCTGGGGTTTCTTGTGACTTTGCTACTTCTCTTTTTACACAGTTATTTGATTATTCTGTTCACAGTATAGGACCGTCCGGTAGAATCCTATGTAAAAAAAATGTGACTTTTAAAAACTTAACATTTAAGTACAACTGTACATAATAGTCTGCATCTCCTTTGCAGGTTAGCTGGTCACCTTATACAAATGTACAAGCATTTAGTGTCAAGTGCAGATCTCTTGGCAGGAGGAGAAACGCCACGCTGTCTTCGTTTTGAATAAAGCTGCACAGTTCCAACAGACTGGTGTGTGGATGCTTCATCCAGTTACCTTGAGTTAGTTAGTTTGCTGAAGACCCAAAACCGTTTGTTTATATATTGTAATAAAAGGATCATAGGGAGCAGCCTTATCCTAGCTAGATCCTTCGTCCATCTAATGCAGCGTTTACCTACATGAGGCGTGGGAAACCTTTGGCCCTCCAGATGTTGCTGAACTATGGCTCCCATCAGCCTCAAAAAGCGTGGCAGTGGTCATGGCGAGTTGAGCATATACAGTGGTACCTCAGGTTAAGTGCTTAATTTGTTCCGGAGGTCTGTTCTTAACCTGAAACTGTTCTTAACCTGAAGCACCACTTTAGCTAATGGGACCTCCAGCTGCTGCCACTGCGCTGCTCCTGCGCGATTTCTGTTCTCATCCTGAAGCAAAGTTCTTAATCCGAGGTAATATTTCTGGGTTAGTGGAGTCTGTAACCTGAAGCGTATGTAACCCGAAGTACCACTATAATGTCAATCCTGGCCCAACTTCATTGGTTACCAATTAGTTTCCAGGCCCAATTCAAAGTGCTGGTGCTCACCTATAAACCCTTAAATGGCTCAGGACTCCAATATCTCAAGGACCGCCTATTCACATGGAAATTGACCCAGACCCTGAGATCATCACCTGAGGCCCTTCTTTGTGTTTCTCCTCCATGAGAGTTCTGGAGGGTGGCAGCATGAGAACGGGCCTTTTCTGTGTTGGCTCCCCGTTGTGGAATACTCTCCGCAGGGAGGCTTGACAGATGCCTTTCTAACATATCTTTAGGTGCCAGACAAAAGCATTCTTCTTCAACCAGGCCTTTGGCTGTTAAGCAACCTATGGCCTTTTAAAGTGGGTGGTGGTGTCCTTTTTATTATGTGTTCCATGTTGTAAACCACCCCGTGGTCTCTTGATGAAGAGCGGTATATAAATTTAATAAACAAATAATAAATAATAACATCTGACGGGCCATAGGTTCTCCACCCCTGGTTCCACACCTACCTAGAGATACCAGCAATCAAACCCCAGAACCTTTTACATGCAAAGGTCTACTACCCTCTCCTCTGTTCCCCTCCTTTTGTTTTGGCTTACTACATACGGCTAGGAAGGTCTGCCCTTCTGCAGTGATGGAGCCAGGGATTTATAGTTGACATAAGCATCTGTAGTAGCCAATGTGATTTATTGTCTGTTTTCAACTGGAGGAAAAACACTTGGACGTCTGACTCGCTGCATTGAAAACACAGATTTATTGCAACAGCGAAGCAGAGGGCGCCCCCGGGTTGTCCCACAAAGAGCCAGATTAATCAGTTGTGCACGTTGGCCATATTTTTGTGTTTTGCTTTACTTCCCCCTCCTGTGCTGTTTGTTGACAGGCATCTTAATATATTGAAAGGCCATGGAGCCGTTGTCAAAATGCCTTAGACTATATGGCCTGGAGATCGTATATATTCCTTTTTTTAAAAAAAACATCTCCAGGGAATTCTCCTTTTCAGGCACAGAATAATGGGCAAATAACCATGTATGGAATCAAGGCTCCCCTTGAAATTGCAACTTCTACCAGAAGGTTTGGGAGGGTGTGTGGGGATGTGTGTGAAGGAGAGAAGAAGCACACCTTAACCGTAAAATTGTGAGAAAATGACAGTACTGGAACCAAACTGGTAGTTTACTAGTAATGTTGCTTTTCAGAAAACATTTGTGTCGTTATCACTCGAGGGCACCCGCACAAATGGGTAAAACACACGGCTTGCTCTGCCTTTGGGGCCAATTGCAGAGGAGGAAAATAGGGAAATTTTGCCTTTGGAAAGGGCTAAAGAAGAAGAAGAGGAAAAAGAAGAAAGCTGGCGGTCGAACTCTTGAGCAATTTGGTTCCACGAAGATTAAGGATCGGGGTTTTTCCCTCTCCATAACAATGCACAGTAACTCTGAGCTGTGTGTTACAGGTGGTAGGGAGAAGGCTGGAGTCTTGCTTTTAAAAGTTTCTCTGCAATCAGTACTTCTTCCTTTGTTCTATCAAGTTTGTCGTAATTTCATCAGTACATGTAGTATACCTTCCAGTCACTATCATACCATTCCTTCCACTTACATGCACCATCATATATGCATGTCCACAAGCCCCAACCTCAACAACACAGTGTTCATTTATTCTGAAGAAGGAAATGTCTAGAATTTTAGTCTGGATTGGTGAGTAATGTATAATTGTATGCAACATGTATAAATGTTTGAATGCACTATTACTACAATCATAGCATATGTAATCGACTCCTAAAACGCAGTATATTTAATCATTCTACATTTTTGCAGCAACTACTTAATATACATTGCGTTAAATTTCAGGCTGCATTTGGGTATAATCCAGTGAGTCTCATTGTGCTGTGATTTCTTTTCTGAGCATGTAACAGCCCTAATTTCAGGGCTCCTGGTGGTGGCAGCAACACCTTGTCACGGATGGTGGATTTCATGCTAGTCCTGATGCAACCATGCGACTTTACACATAGGTATATATCTCTCTCTGGCTCAACTTTTCCTTTCAAGCCAAATGTGTGAATGGCCAACTTCACTGAAGGTATTATTTGAATATAGAAACACTTGTTGTAGTCCCTTGTTCTCTGATGGTGGAGTCTTGCAGTCCCTTGAAGATGAACAGATTTGCTATAGAATCAGCTACAATTAATGTTGGTCTTTAAGGCATCAAGTGACTCTTTTTGTTTCAGCATGCTAAAATGGTTGTCCCTCTGGAAGTTGCTCTGTGACAGGTATTTCCTGTGAACACAGGAAGCTGCCTTATATAGAGTCAGACCATTGGTGTAGCTCAGTGTTGTCTCTACTAGCTGGTAGCAGCTCTACCATGGATTTCAGACCATGGCTATTCCCACTTCTATCCAAAGTAGCCAGGGTTTGAACCTGGGACCTATTGCATGCAAAGCAATATTCCTTCTCCTTAAAATAGGAGAAGAAACATGAACCACCCCATCATGGTCCTTCAGTCCCATCCTAACCACAAATAAAATAATTAGAGAAAGTCTCACAAAAGCTCCAAAACTACTTCAAAGAAAATGATACAGACAATACAACAACCCCCGTCCTTTGGGACACAATGAAAGCGGTCACCAGAGGAACTTGCATAAAAGATAAGGCATTCCTTAAACCAGAGCTGGAGAGCCAGTGTGTGCTGGTCCAGGGGGGAGGTTACCGTGGGGCGAGGTCCAGGACCTGAGTCCTCATGGCGAGCCGGGTCACGGGAGAAAACCAGAATGTCATCCAAGTACACCACCATGTACCTGTCTAGCAAGTCCTGGAACACGTGGTTGATGTAACACATGGGTCTGGGAAATGCACAGTCTGATTGACCCAGTCAATCTGAACGTTGTGAGCCTCCAGCCAGTCCATCCCGAGCACCAGGGGAAACCAGGGCATGGAGGCAATGTCCAAAGTTCGCACCTCCCGGTGCTGCTGGAGACACAAGACCAAGGGCTGGGTCTCCCGAGTGACGGCACCCGAACGCAAGAGCCGTCCATCAATTGCCTCCACCTGTACCAGTTCTAGCTTGTTCTGAAGTGGCACCTGATGATGAGCAGCAAAGGCAGTGTCCATATAGGAGCGGGTTGCCCCCGAATCTACCAGAGTGTGGGTAAGAATCCAGGGCCCACCTGGAGGGTAAAGACGCACCGGAACCATGAGATGTCGCAATTCCACTGGTGAGGGCCCCTCTTGCATGGTTTGGGACCCCAGGTTGCCAGGCCCTTCGGCTACCAAGGTTGGCGGTTTCCCTGCGGCTGGCATCTTCTCGGGACAGGACCGGGCGTAATGTCCACTCCCACCGCAGTACAGACACAGCCCCAAGCTGCGTTAGCTCGTCCGGCAACTCGGCTGTGGCCGTGGACCTGCTGGGAACGACTGGAGCCAGGAGCCGGGAGTGCTGGCGGTCCCGGGCCTGGCGACGGTCCTCCAACCGATCGTCTATCTGCAGGTTCCGCTGAATGAGGGCGTCCAGCGTGGTGGGATGATCCATCGTGGCCAACTGATCCAGTATATTGTCCGACAGTCCCTCAAGATACTGGTCCCGAAGTGCAGCGTCATTCCAAGACAAGTCCTGCGCCAACAGCTGAAATTCTGTGGCGTAGGCGGTGGCTGTGGACTTGTCCTGTCTCAACTGATGTATCGCCCGATTGGCTTGGCTCTCCTTCAGAGGGTTGCCAAACGCAGTCTCTAAGTGGTTACAAAACCCCACATAGTCTGTTAGCAAAGGAGAGTCTTGCCGGAGCAGTGGCAAAGCCCACTTGGCCGCCTGGTCCTTTAACAAACTGATCAAAAAGTGCACCTTGGTGCGGTCGTCAGGGAAGTTCTGGGCTCGCCCCTGAATATACAACTTGGCCTGGTCAAGGAACATGGGAAAGCTGTCCAGGTCCCCATCAAATTTCTCTGGCAAGGCCACTGGGTACTTGCCTGGAGCTGGGGCGTCGGCCCCAAGAGCTGGTAGGGCGTCCAACCGCTGCTGAAGTGCCATAATCACATGGCTTAGCTGCTGAACGGTGTGGGTCAAGGCCTGGTTCTCCTGGGCCAATGCCACCAGCGCAGCTGCTTGGTCAGCCATGGCCTCTGGCTCTTCCCGAATGCACCCCAACGAAGGGGGAGTGCGGGTGTGGGGGGAGCAAACTGTGCTGGTCCAGGGGGGAGGTTACCGTGGGGCGAGGGCCAGGATCTGAGTCGAGGGTCGGCAGACAGTCCTCCACGGGTGAAGCGGGGTCCACAGCGAGGAGCCGGGCAATGACAGGAACTATGGGGGAACAGGACTGGCTGCTGGCCGAAACAGCTCTTCAGCGACATTGCTCCCGCAACCTGGAACTGGGCTGACTGGCCTTTATCTTCTCTGAGGCCAGGGGCGGTCCCGGCCCCCAGGTGACCCGCCTCTCCTGGCCTTAAGACGAGCACTCCTCCTGGGAGAAACCAGTTCCCTCTGCCTCTCTGCCCTGAGCCTCTGCAGCTCAGGAGAGGCCGGTGGGTTACTGGACCCAGGGGAAGACTCACTTTCCCCTGACAGGGCTGGGAGAGGCGCACCTGTAGGCAATGCGTCCTCAATCGCCTCCGGAGCCAGAGTTGATTCACCTGGTGCCTGCTCCTGAGGATCTGGCACAGGTGCAGGCGCTTCAGAATCAAGGCCCTGCCCCAGCTCAGCCGGCCTGGAGGCGGGGACTCCTGTGCAGGCTGGTATTCCTCCGGTTCAGCCTCTGAATCGGATTCCCAGGCCATAACACAGTGGTCCTCCAGGCATTGCTTGGCTCCTGCTTCTGCCAACACTGCCCTTTGGTCATACTGGCTGGGGCTGCTGGGATTTGGGGGTCCAACAACATCTAGAGGCCCACAGGTTCCCCAGCACAGGCAATACAGAACCATATGGACCAGTGGTCTGACTGGGTATAAAGCAGGGAGTCTGCAGTACAGCACCCATTGATTCCAGCCTAGCTGCCAGTATCTGGCACCCATGAAAGGTTGCAGTAAAAGCCCTCAGTTTATGTTTGCACTGGCCTGGCATTTCTGTGTTAAACACCCCCCCCATCATACCTACCTTGAATGCTATGGCTGGACATCCCTGTTCCTTCTGTTCAAGGAAGGTGCATAGTAATTACTCCCTGTGAGTAATGGCTTTCGCATTGCTGAGAAGTTGATGGAGCAGGTGGGGGCAGGATATAATATAACCTGGATATAATTTAATTGTTGACAGTCATATCCTCACTGGATGCTGCAGTTACCACCTGATGACTGCAGTCCTGGGCTCATTTGTTCTGTGTTGTTATTTGTGGAAAGCGCAGCAGAATTAATGTTCAGCATTCCCCTACTCCACGCCACCCCGTTGGATTAGATGGCATGCTTCCCCAAAAACCAATCCCAGGGGATCACATCCATTCATAGATGACTGTATTGCTATGAACATGTTAACTTCCAGTGTGCGGCGTCATTAAAGTGTTCATCTGTTTGGATCAGCAATGGCTAAGCTTCAGAAATGTGAATTCCATTTGGAGAACAAAACTGTCCCTTACCAATTAGTACCCGCTTCTGACTTTTGCTTCTAGGGTTCTGTAGCGCTGGCCTTTTTTTATCCACTGCCCCATATACTTTGTGCTTTCCTTTGCTCTCCCTGTTAATGAGTTATCTCATGGCAGTGGGCAACTTCAGAACTTGGATCAAAGGACATTCAGAATGCAAATCATCAGCTTTCTGAAAGTTCTTTTAAGTCGCTACAATAGACAGTTATACTCTATTACTCTTAACACTTATATCCCACTTTTTCTGCAGGGAACTCAAGGTGACATACACTGTTCTTTTCATGGGTGTGGCTGGGGGGGGCAGAGTTGGGCAGTTGCCCCCCAAATCAATAAAAATCAATAGAAATACATAGCTAACTGAGATTCTGTCCCCCCCACAACAAAAGGCCTCCCCCCTAACAAAAGTCCTGGCTACACCCATGGTTCTTTCCTTCCTTCATTTATTCATGCAACAACTCTACAAGACTGGTTAGAGCCCAGAGACAATGACTGTCCCAAGGCCACCCCGTGAACTTCCTGGCCAAGTGGAGGTTTGAAACCTGGTCTGCCAGGTCCTAAGTCCAACACTCTAACCACTACACCACAGTGATTCCCTCTGTTATATATGCAATTCCCTCTGTTTCTGATGTCTCAGGCTTGAGTGCCCATGTGTACGAAGTCAATATAAATAAAATGGCGTAATCTGTCAGGAAGAGGGAGGAATCAACAGACATGGAGGATCTTGGGGGTTTGCAGAAGTACAGGGTTTTATCTGGGGTGGGGGAGGGATAAGGAGCTCTAACAAGGGAGCCCCCAAAACAGCCCAGAAACGACAGTGTGTGCTCACTGACCACAGGGAAGGAAGCCCTATGGGTCAGTGGTAGGTTCAATCCCCTGCATCTTCAGGCAGGACTGCGAGATACCACTGCCTGAAACCCCAGACAGCTGCTGCTGGTCAGTGTAGACAGTACAGAGGCAGATGGACCAGTGACGTGACTCAGTATAAGGCAGCTTCCCCTGACAGATGGTTAGGGGAGGAGGGGAAAACTGGGGAAGACTTTGGTAATATGGCACCCAGAGCAAGGACAAAATTTGTTGCCTGCAAAATATTTCTTATTTCAAAATTGTGTACAGTTGCTCTATTATGGATCTTCTCAGTATGTACCTGTATAAATATAGGATTATTATTATTATTATTAATTAGCCCTCTTGGCTGTGTGGGAGAACTGCCTGCACTGCCCTAAATCTGGTGCTGGTAGGAGTGGGAATGAAACGAGGTCTTGCAGAAAATGGAATGGTTGGCAGACAGGAACACTCCGCACTGCAATATTTTGTTGCAGATCCCGCTGCCTAAAGCGGTTCAACAATCCCAGGAGACTCTGGGGATTGTAGCCAAGTGATGGGAATAGGAGGTCTCTTTGCAGCTCTCAGCAAATTACAGCTTTGGGATTCTTTTGGGTCAGGGGAGGGGGCTATGACTGTTTAAAGCAGCATGTTCCTGCTTTGAATGCATAGCGCACATGGGACCGCATTCAGAGCATAGAGAACGGCTGAGCTTACTGCATTTTCCCCCCAACCCTATTTTACAGAAATGAGTATTGTTCTGATATTTAGGACGTGTAACAGCGTAATCCCTAGGGGTGGAAGATGATCTCTACCTTTACAATGCCTTTACAAAGAAGCTGAAAAATATATATTTAAAACAGGGCTTGTTAAAAATCGTTAATTCTCATATAGGAATGACAAAGGGAAGGCCCCCCCCCCAACTCCGCCCTGCACAATTTAGCATCCCTTTTTCACCTGCAGCAGAATCTATAAAGCTGAATGTGTGACATAATTTCTACGGCGGCCTGCTGTGATTTCATAAACGAGGGAGGGCGATTATAGTGCAGGATCAAGGTGAAGCTGGATTGCAGAGGAAAAAGAGCCCCTATTCAAATGCAAATTTT